TTAATAACTTAGAAGAATCTAATATAGCTTTAGAGGAGAAAAATACTGCTCTGGAGGTAAGTATTACTACTTTATAGCTTAAGCTTAATATCCTTAAGGAGGCTAGCTATAAGGTAGGTAAAACTTTATCTAAGTATAAAGTATTATAGATAGTTAATAAGAAGTAAGAGTTAGAGTTAGATAGAGCTAATAAGACTCTATCTAAGGCCCTAGTTATATATAGTAAATTAAAGTAGACTACTGAAATACTATTAAAGAAGATACCTACTAAGGTAACTCTAGGGAAGTTAGCTATAAATCTAAAGATCTCTTCTAAGTATAAGCTAGAGAATAATCTAGAGGGATCTATAAGCTAATAGGCTAAGTAATATAATTTAGAGGTATAAAAAGAGAACTGGAAAAGGGTAGTACCTGCTGTAATAAAGAAAAAAGTATAGAATAGATTAAGTATAAAGATAACTAAGGAAAGGGTAAATATAGGTATATAATTAGTAAAGGGGAATTAGAGTAATAGAACTTTTCTTTATAGGATAATATATACCAGCTAAATAGTAGTTAATTAATCTTTTATTAGGATTTCTTTTATTTATTAAAGTAGGCTAAATACAGCTAGGCTACTGAGGGTAGTAGTATTTTTTCCTTTGTCCGGGGTACTTATTATACTATAAACAGGGGCTGTATAGAGCCCCCTATAAAAGGGCTGTAAATAGTTAGTAGATAGAAAGAACTTAAGCTTTAAGAATTATATTATCTTATATATAAGTAAAGGTATTATAAACCTAGGCTTTAACTATAAGCTATCTAACTACAGCTACCCTGTAGTTAATAACTAAGAACCTATCTATAACGCCCAAGCTGGTTACAGCCAGTTCTGAGTATAACAGCTAGAGATATTAATAGCTAGATCTAAAAGGTATATTAAGATATAAATATATATAGGCTTATTAATAGTACTACTATATTAATAAGCTATATTCTAGATACTTTTTAGTCTAAGAGGATATTCTTAATTATTAAGATAGCTAGTTAAGTTAGATAATAATATCTTAGGAAGATTATCTTATTAATTAGTAATAAATCTATTTATAATTATTATTTAGAAAGAAAATAATAAAATACTTACTTAAGAATAGAAAAGATAAATAAGTTAAATAGTTATAATATATATAATAAATATAAAGATAAAAATAAAAACTAGATTTTATTCTTAAAGTATTTCTATATAAATTTAATAATTTTATAACTCTTATAACTATTAATAATAAGTAAATACTAATTATTATTCTTAAGCTTTATTAATAGGATAAATATCTCCTTAAGCTATATTAATATAATTTTATTAGGAGTTTATTCCTTCTTAGAAACTATAAAATACTATTATTTAAGATAATCTAATTTAATTAGAAATTACTATTACTATATAGTTTTTTTTTTAAAGATAATAAGAGATTTAAAATACTTATTTATTATACTAATATACTTAATTATTATAATTTAATAATAAGTTTTAAATTATATTTTAACTATTTAGTTCTTATAAAAAAACTTAAGAATTAGACTATTATTATTAATATCTTCTATAATACTTACTTTATCTATATTCTAATAATTATAAAAAGAGATCTTCTAGATATTAAGAATTAGCTTAAGTATAAAGAAATTCTTAATATAGTTAATTATAGCTTCTTTAATTCTTAGGAAATTAATTCTTTTATCTTAAAGAGTTCTAATCTTCAGATTATAATATAAAAATCCCTCTAACTAATACTTACTAAGAGAGTTAAATTTACTTTATTTAAATAATAGGAATAAAGTAATATCTCTAATATTTATATAGATTAAAGGAAATCTAATTAAATCTTAAATAAGAATCTATTTTATTAAATAGACTTTCTAGATCTTTAAGAGCTACTACTAAGTCTCTATCTCTTATTACTATATCTTATAACCTTCTATATATATATATAGGGTTATCTAAGGGATTCCCTATTATATTATAGCTATTTACTATAAATAGCCTGTTTTTATATTATAAATAGCTAATTAAATATTATCTTTAGAAAGCCTAGTTATTTATAAATTAAATAATATAATTTTTAATTAAAAAGAATAAAATTTATATAAGAAATTATATAGTTATAGGTATAGAAAATAAAGAGGTTAGGATATTTAATAGTAGACTGTTAAGGGGGGTAGGCCGTTGACTAGGGTGGCGACTTACCCTAGACACGGGTGCGATTAGGATGGGACTTTTTGCCAGAACTTGCACAGAATTTTCGGTTGGGGGTATTGAAGATATGAATTGAACGAATGTATTCTAGAAGCGGTGAGCCTATTAGAAGAGACTGTATTAAATCAGGTGTGAGAAGTTCCTAAATGACAAACTTGTTCTATCGCACTTGAGATGAGGGCAATGTGCGTTTACCTGCATAGTTTACCTGCACAAAAACGTACTCAGAATCATAGTCGAGGAAAGTCTGCGATATTGAAGTAATCCGCTTAGCTTAATTAAGGGCGGAATTCTATATAAGTATTCCTTAAAGATTCCAGTTGAGGGTGGCCTTGGGAAACCATCCGTCGCCGTACATGGGCTGGGCAGTCACTTGGCTGCTAAATCTACCCAGGGCATGTCCAGTACTCTTTTCTTATAAAGAAAATATTGGCAATGATTTTTATTATCTTCTCTGCAACTCGTTCAATCTATGGCTGGGTACTGTAGGTTATTTTTTCAATTCTTTACTCTGTAGTTAACGAGCGGGCTACAGCTTCTACTGGTACCGAGTAACTACAGTGTGACAGCTGCCATCAATCCGTAGGTAGGCATCTACCCCAGTACAATACGTCTAGGCAGCTACTTGTACCTCTACAAACGTATACCTCTCAAATTATTGTCGGGGTCGACCGCTTGTTGTCGTCAACTTTTGCATGCGGGACCTAGTTTTCACACTTGCAAACCTACACTCCTTATTTACGCAGTCTGCACTCTGCATTCTAAAACTTCTACACACCCGCCAAAAGTTTCACTTTTTTTTAGACGGCTCGGTCATCAATTACAAGAAAGATTTCAGAAGAAAGTATGGAAAAGTCTGACAATCCTTCTCCAGAAACCCAATCTGCTTCTGAACCTCAAACTTCAGTCTCTCTGAAATTCACCAACAAATCTCTTCCGAACCCCACCGACTGGGAACATATCATACTGTCCTTCAGACCGATCAAGCTGGAGAAGATCATGAAGAGTGTGGGAAAATCGCACTCCGAGGAGACTCGTTCCCAGACTTGGTCCGTCGTGGGCGAAGCGCTCTCCAACTCTCTGCTTTACGCCCTAGCTGGCGTGTACATGCAAATGACTACCGTGCTATTTGGAAAGCAGTATTTTCTCTTCATCCGCAGAGGGATCAAGCGGGCTGATGGGACAGGAGGGATCCTCGAGGTCAAGATCAAGCAGCAACATGAGGGCAGCGAGTGGGAGGCTCGCTGGCGGGTGGCGCGCCCTCACGTAACTAATTACGTGAGGAACTGTGTGTGATCACAGATTTTTTTCATCTTCATGACTTTGACTAATTAATACTAGTATTGGCTCGTATTTCCCGGTTGTGCGAAGAGAAGAAGAGGCGGCTGGAACTGATGCGCAAGGAGGAGAAACCAGAGGACGAGGAGGAGAAGCCGGACGGGCTGTGCGGCTCTTGAGGAGTTTGTTTGCCCGGAGGACTTGTTCGTGCCCAGAGAAGTCTGCGCCCACACACTCAGGGCACTCTGCTTAACTCTTGCTCAGCAATCATCAACTCTCGGGACTGATCAAGCTTGAAAGTTAATAAAGGCCTAAGATAGACACCCGCGAGCAAATCAGAAAACAAGCTTACGCTCACACTGCAATTCGGTTGAAGATCACAGCCGCTTCACCATCATATTTACGAATGTCCAGCTTCTACAAGCGTTGCTTCGTTTACCCGCTTCATAGGAGCCTACCAGGCGTACAGCGACTCGGTGTTCAAGCCGTAGAATTCTTCCTACCTCTCCTGCCCTTCCAGCTCTTTTTTCGCGTGTCATTTACGCTTACAGGCTTTATATTCTTTTCATGTTTCTATCCCTTTAACCTGGGCCAGCGCTACAACTAGTGACACCAGGTAAAGCATTTAAAGAGGTATGGTAGTTGATTATCCGTTGATATAAGATCTTTGCGTGCTAACATACGGCCGAAGATGTGCTCGGTAATCACCACTCTCTATTATTGCGGTCATTGGGAGGGTGACAGTTTCTTCCATAGCCCGATGTGCGCAAATGTCGAACACACTACAAAACAGTCGGCTATGGTGTGCGGCAACTGCGGACTTATCTCTCCACCACGTTCACCATCGCCAGGAATATAAGGCAGGAAGCCGTCACTGAAGCCAGCAACAGGGAATGCTGGCATATAAATTTATCTGGATTCGCCCTGTGGTCGGGAGGGATGAGCAGGGGATAACTTCAGGGATCTGAGGCTCTGGGTTCCCCTTTCGCCTTGGTTCTAAGGTCTCCTGGGTCCCGTTGCGTATCACTTTTGAAGCAGTCATTCTTGAGACTTTTGGGCTGTTCAAGAGACTTAGTATAGGCCAGACTATCATCAGAGGATCCGTGAGACTCGTTACTCAAAGTCGATTAGCATGTTATAGCGATGCGATTAGCTGATGTTCCAGTCGGCCGAAGATCCCTGAAGTTGGAATACCGTGAGAGAACCTTGGACGTCAAGTGATATTCAGCCGGGTGAGCTTCATACATCATCTAATGATTATGGTAGTCCGAATGCTTGGATTACTGAATGACCATGTCTTGGTATGACATGGCGGCAGTGGGTCCCGTCACATAGTGTTGAAACAGGCGCCTTCAAGACGCCGCATATGCACTTGTCTAATTATTCTATCGGGAGCGCATCAATTGCCAGGCGGATAAAATTGACGTATACGTAAAAGGTCTGAACCTTTAGGGCTAGAGAAGCAGAGCTGTGAGCGAGAGTGTGCAGATTGGGAGCGAGGAACAATGCAATTGAAGTGAGGTGAGACGTGAGAAAGAGCCGCAAGCGCGCTGCTCCCAAAGTGTCGATTTTTCAACAAACCAGCGCCGGGGCCACATGCAACAAGAACAAGTGCACTCTCACACTTCCCACCACCTCGGATTTCTACCATCCAACACCAACAAACCGCATCAGACTCACCCTTTGTCGCTCGCCACAGGAATTGGACACCGGTTAACGTCGACTCACGCGTCTGCGCCTTGTATACACACCCAAAGCTTGCCAGCTGCGCCCCTGCGGCAGCGCGACAGCTCCCATCATGTCGTCTGCGCGATCCGGCGAGCGCATGATCCATCAGGACTTCATAGCTCGCATCCGATTCTCCAATGCCCTTCCTCCGCCGCCGCACCCCCCGAAGCTTCTCGACATCCCCAACACTGGCCTTGCCAGTGGCCAGTACACAACCCCGGGCTTCGCCTCACGACTCGCCAGGGAGCAGCCCTTGAACATCGAGGTTGATGCCGAGCTGGGCATGCCCCTGGACTTGGTGGGCATGCCCGGCGTGTTCGATGGTGACGAGAGTAGTATGTTCTAAGCATTCCGAATACCGTCGTCGGAGCTTGCTAGTGGCTCTTCTTGGCTCTCACTGACATTATTTCCCAGCTATCCAAGCCCCTTCACACCAACCTGCAGTCCATCCCCATGACAGAGCCTTGCTGAGGCCAATTGCCGCCCTCGGAAAGAAGAAGGTCGCAGAGGCCACAGTTTCCTTCCTTCGCCGAACCGAGTACATCTCCAACTTTGCGTCCAAGCGCCACGACGCCGGCGACCCCCGTGCGCTGCTCAACACATCCAAGAAGCCCCGTCGCGCCCCCGAACAGGCCGCCGACTCACCCGCAGCAATTAAGCGCAAGATCGACCGCGGATTCGAGCTGGCCGAGGAGGAGCTCAAGCACCCCAAGCGCGTCAGGCACCCCACCAAGCGAAACGCCCAGCTCCTCGAGGCCGTCCCCCTCATCCCCGACCTCGACGCCTTCCCCGACTCGGGCGCCTTCGTGACCATCAAGTTCGCCACGAACCCCGTCGCGAGCTCGACCGAGTACGACAAACGCCTGCTCTCGTCGCTCTTCCGGCCCATCGACAGGACCGAGGAAGAGGACCGGGCGTACGAGGCCGCCCTCGAGGCCCACCAGCAGGACCCCGAGACCTACCCGAAGCCGCAGAACCTGATGAACTACGAGTTCTTCCTGCCCCAGAGCAACTCGACTGGCGACAAGTTCCGCCGCAAGTTCGACGTGCAGAACCCGGACCGCGACAACGAGAACCTCTACACCCACCAGGCCGACGGCGGCGGCTGCTTCCACTTCAACCGCGTGAGGGAGTACGAGACGGCCCAGGAGATCGAGCTCGACCACGGCTCCAAGTACTCGTACGAGATCCTCCTCGCCTCGTGCGGCGACGACGACTACCCCAGGCAAAAGGCCGTCTACTACTACCCCGTGCTGCAAAAGTCCACCATCCGGCCCCAGCGCACCAAGAACATCGCCCGCACCGTCGGCGGCGGCGGCGGCGAGGACGAGCAGATCGTCGAGCGCCTCGACGTCACCGTGCAGGACCCCAACGAGCGCATGAAGGACGCTATGAACCGGTACAAGCTCAACCCGCTCAAGTGGGCGGACGAGGAGGAGGGCGAGGACCAGCGTGAGGCCAGCCAGGACGCGGAGGGCGAGGACCGGGACGCCGAAGGAGAGGAAGAGGATGATTAAAAACAGAAACCGCCATTTTTCTTTTTCAACCTAATTCAAATGTATTAACTCCGGAATCAACAAAAAGAGGGAGAAGAATAGGTAACAACGAGGATAACTCCCATCAGCGAAATGGGTTATACAAAACAAAGAGCCATGACATACGTTCTCACGGTCCAGGTGGTTTTTCTTTATCCTTGAGACGAAGGCGATCAGGCGAAATAATTGATTTCATATTTGGGTTATGTATCTCCTACTTTGCTGCTACGGCTGTTTTTAAGATTTTCTTGATTCTTGAGAAATGATTTTTTGGAAGAGCGTCTCTATATATAAAGTGGTTACATTATCTTTAGTAGTAGCCATTTGGTGAATGTGTTTCGTATGTAAATGTTGGTTTGAGGGTGTGCTTGTGTCCGAGTATCATGTCAGGTCATCCAATCGACCACGCGAGCTCTTCGCTTTATGTACTATTCAAACCTCCCAAAAATGTACGCCGCCGCCGTCAGTGAAGTGAAAAGGGTAGTGTGACAAAGAAAAATATATGAAGAAAAACAAAAAAAAAACTCCGGCCAGGTGGGTAAGCCCGTCTTCCCAATTTCCCAAAAGATTATGCCATCTGCTCGCTATATGTGCTGAGGAACAAAACCAAATGACGACCAATTATAACCAAGACATTTATACAAGCCTCATTAATCTACTAGTTCGTCTTCTTCAGTTTTGAAGTCGAACTGGAAGGATCATATCCAATGATTTCCCTGTTATCATCTATTACCCGTGCGTACCTATATCAATCGTTAGTTGGAGATATCTAAACAATGAGGGAGGAATAACCTACTCAAGAAGTAATCGGAAGAACCAGGCTTCCATATCCTTCTTTCGTAGCACTCGGTTTGCCCAAGTAGTGCTGGATTTTGCGAGGTGTTCTGCATCCTCGTCCCCGGCACTACTGCCTGCAAAATAGCGGACAACCTCGAGCCAGTCGTCCCCGTGCAGACTCAGGGGGACATAATGAACCCAAGGCTTGAGCCACTCATAATGCCACTCGCGGAAAAGGGCTAGCTTGTATGTCACACTATGGCTCTGGAGAAAAGCATAGAAACGACCAGAAAAGGCGTTTCCATCAATATCAAGCAAGTGCTTGTACTTCCAAGCATCTTGTTGATCAACGTGATCGGTTGGGGTAAAATACTGTATTTGGGCCTCGCAGTCACCAGGATCGCATTGGCCAATGTGAGAGAAATGAACATCAATGAGGTCACGGTGCTTGCCTCGTGGGACTTCAGAAACTCGCCAGTTCGGCTGCTCCTCGTCACCCTTGTTCACCAAGATCTTAGCTTGATCAGGAGCGTTGATCTTGTGAACAAACTGCTGCCGGTGCTGTCGCCTCCAACCGCCATTGCGACTGAACCCACCAGTAGTCGAGCCGCGCCAGTAAAGTTTGTTGTCCTTTTGCTCCCATGGAAAGTCCTTGGCCTCGTCATATACGACTTTATCGAACCAATACCAAGGCGAAGGGTACATTAAATCGGAGAATGAGGAGATCTTGGATTGTGAAAATATGGGGAATAAATCATGGACGACGTTGAAAGCGTTGGGCCTGTCAAAGAAGCCATACGACGAGCTCAGTGACGGAGTCAGGCAGATATCAGCCATGGCCGTGGAGTTGTATACGAACCCAAGCTCGCTGTAGCCATATCTGCTGCGGTCGTCTCCTTGCTCGTCGTCATCGGGAGTCTTGGCTGGGCTGTCGGCCGGGCAAGACATGCGCGAGTTGGTCCAGGTAGATTGATGAGCGAAAACGTTGAATCGAGTGCGCTTGACCTCGTCAAACATATACCCATCGGTCAACTCCGGCGCCCGTGGGCTAAAGTCGTTGATGGGCCTCTTCTTTGCATTGGCGGCCGGCATGTTGACACTCTTGGCCTTGTTGACAAGATGGGCGAGGTCTTCGTGTGAAAGAACAACACGGGGTTCATCGTGGATGTTAAACGCCAAATCCATGTCAGGTATATATTCAATAAACTTCTCAATCATAGACTGGGTAGCGTTTTGTTGCCACTCTTGGCCGCCTTCGACAAGAGTGATTTCGTGGTTGCGGATTGAAATTCCCAAAAGAGCATTATCGAACCCAAGAGCCTCCTTGGCTCTTTTCCGAATCGTCTCTGGCTTCAATCCCCAAAAGGGTGTAATTAGCTGGTGGATAGTGTCGAACTCGTCCACAAGCTGCACATCGTTATCGGTGGCGAATTGGAACCACTTGTCGAAATTAGGGGGCGGTGGCATCTCATATCGCCTGCGATACTCTGCAACAGCTTCTTCCAGCGTTTTGGACTGTCGACCTCTGATGTCTCTGAACTGGCGCCTTGCTTCGGTGATGAGGTGGGAAATGGGGTGTAAGCTCGTGTCTTCTACTTTGAGGGGTCCTGGGCCAGCCTTGGTTTTTGGCCGCTCGCTAACCTCCCATTTAGGTGGCCTTAGGAGCTCCTCCTCATCAGGGCTGTTATCACTGTCGCCGTTCTCGTGCTCTTTCGTACGGTCGTCGTTGCCGGCTGGGCGAATCTGATCTTCAGGGCGATCGCTTTTCGGCTGCTCAGAGCCAGTGGGAGGCTCAGGGTGTGTGGGAGGTGGAGGATGGTGTGGTCGAGGTTCAGGGCCAGGTTTGTGTTCAGGACCAGGCCCGCCGGGTCCAGGAGCTGGAGAGTCTGCTTTCAGTGGCACCTCTGGCTGCTGCTGTAATGCAATATCCTGATGTTGCGCAGCATTCTCCGCCGTCAGTCCATCTTGCGCTGGCGCCCCGGGGGGTGGCGGCGGTGGTGGTTGTGGAGGAGGTGGTGGTCCCTCCCTCGAAGGTTGCCGCAAGGATGCTGTGTTGCGGATGGGGAGATAGTATTCGCGTTCGGTCGCCAGGCACAGGAGAGAGTAAGCGCAGAAGCCGAGTGAGAACAATCCTATGAAGACTAAGATCTTCCGCCGCCGTAGCATGGTTGAGGCGATCATTGAGGCGACGGAGGGGAGGAGAGGTGGAGGCGGGTTGAGGGCGTGGGCGCGGACGAGGATGTAGTCGAGCAAGTGGCCCTCGTCTAAAAATCAGAGCTAGATGGCGGCCTAAGTTGGTGGCAGCATCGGGCGAAGAGAAAACGCAGAGACTGGACGAAACGGAAGCATTCTAGGGGAGCAAGGAAACTCGTCACAAAGGAAAGGCCAGGAGGATGCAGGAACAGAACAGCCCGGTGGAGGAGTTGGTTGATCGCTTGCTTCTGAACGGGAATTACTGAGTGTCTTGCCATCCCTAACGTCGACAACTGTGGGCCCTGTTCAGGGAAAGCGGCAAGGAGAAGCAGTTGCCTCAGTGCGTAAGTATGTGGATCTATTAATTTCATACCGCCCAACCGCTCGCTGTTGGTGCTCTCCAGGGCCCCAACTCGACCAGCCTGACTGCGTGTGCCCTCCAGCTTCCTCCTATTCCCTGCGCTCGCCGCATTGCCATCCAGCGAGCACAGAGGCGACTGGTAGAGAGCCAAGAGAACCAAGAGCCTTCTCCATACGAGTCGTCAGCAGCCTTCAGTCCATACGTCACGGAACATAGAGGGTGGTATCCACAGGCTAAGAACGCTTCATCGCACTAAAAAGCTTCTTGCAAGAAACCTGGCCTCCCTGGTCAGGTCGATGCCACCTCTACCTAGCAGCTACCGTGGCACTACTACCATCCTTGAGAATCTAGGTTTGGTGGCTGCCGTGCCCGTTCACGTCCCTCTCAGGAGCTAATCATTAGAATTAGAATATGTCCAGAACCCGGTCGCAGGAACAGGCCCAGGCATCTTAATCGACATACTATGTAGCAGCCATCCTAGCGAGGTTCCCAGGAAGAGGAGAATTGCGCAGGTCTAGCGCGAGATCCGCTTTTACCTTCTCCACGGCCCCTGAGTCTTGCTTTTCGACCTGGATGCAGCCGTTGGGGGAAACGGAAGCAGGATTTGATCCCAAAACAGCGGACGTAAGATGCTGCCCCGTTAATTGAACCGTTTCCTCCACCCTCCAACGCCCTCTGCCTAATTTGCTCTTCAGTTGGGGTAGCAAGTCCCACGAGAGGGTTATCAGGTCAATGTCGGGATTGGTCTGGGTTTTAGATAACGAACATGCAATGAATTCCTGTAAAATCGAGATACATTCCTCAGCATCTTCATTTATGAGGAGGTAGGCAATTGCCCGACAACCCCCTCGGGATTAGGTGCTTGAAAATATGGCAAGAGGGGCTTCCAGGGCATCTGAATCAATACATTGCAAACAGGCATGTAAGCAATACAGCATACGCATTTTCAAGGCCTAGAGGACAGTCCTTGGAAGAAAGATAAGCCAACCACGTTCACTCATGTGTTGCACGCAATTATTTGCAGGCCTCTTGAGGATCATGGGGAGAACGGTCCACCTGATGTGATGGCAAGTGGACCTGGCAGTCGGCACTTGATTAGGCTGAGCTGTGCTTGTAGACCAGAGGCTAAAATGACTGTATAAAAATTTCAATGCAGCGGGCGGTCGCTATCTTTTAGATTTGCGGCGGCTGTCGCGCATTGGCAGTGCGCCCAACTGCATTCCAAACGCACACTAGCATTGGATTTGATTGGATCAAGGGGATATGGATGTCTTGCCCTGGGGATTTCCACAAATCACGCACTGCTTCCCATCGATATGACTCCCATCGATCGATATGCTGCGGAATCACACCGACTAACTAAGTATATCCCTACCTATGTTCAAAGGGTCATATTAAAAAGCCCTGAGTTTTCTTATTCCTGTGATTGCATGTGTGCCTGATTCTTAACTGTAAGTGGGTTACCTGTATTAATTCCATATCCGTGACGACACTCTCCTCCAGATCCTTGAATTCCTGGCCTGCCCAATTCTGCGAAGAATCACCACGGTCCTTTCATTTCATCTTCTACTTAGTCTACTTGCGGAGTGAGAGTTGGCCATTACGGCCCTTTTGATGCGTGGCTCCTTGGCGGCCGTTTCGAGTATGTGAGTTACACCCTTGGTAGTCTGGGCAATGATGGAAGTGTCAAGACCGAATGGCATATTGGAAGCCACATGCCCAATTCCGTCCATGTCTTTGACTACATCGTCGAATGCGCCATCAGCATACATGTCAGGGATCTCGACAAGCGAAAAGTCGGGACCGAAGTAGGATAGCAGAGCTTGTTGTTTTTAGAGGGAGCGGACTGTGCCACCGACTCTATAGCCGTGCTTCAGGATGGTCTTGACAATGACACTTCCTAGGTAGCCATTGACAGCGGTGACGAGAATTACACCATTGGGAGAAGCGACAGATATTGAGAAATTTTGCGTGAGATAGCAGTCTACAGGAATGGGCACGAGTGGATCGCTAATCATGGAATCAGTGGGTGAATCGGCTTGGCCAACTGCGATTTCCGATAGCGAGAGGGAATCTTCTCTATTTATATACAGTAAAAGACAATATACCTGACCAGCCATACTTTTTATTCAATTGCTGAGCTAGATTCCCTTGATTGGCGATGGTTCATTCTTGGATCTGGATGTTCAGTGTCCAACCGACGTTGCATGTTGATCCCTAGATACAAGCGTTGGTTCAGGCAACATCTTAGAAGATAGTGTGTAGAAGTATTTACACATAGCAGCTCGCAACAATTTACTTTACTTGATAGGGGAGTAGAACTGCCAGCTTATGCAATGTTGGTTGGCCTCTGCTTCCGTAGCGAACATAGCGCCATGTGTGTACAGTCTTATTTTCAAGAACCTACAGCAAGTTGGGTTGTCTCCTCAACCGCAATCCTGTGTAGGAACGACCAAAAATCAATGTTATCATGCTAAAGGGTAAGCTTGTCCATCAGAACGCATTCAATCAGCCCACGGAAGATAAATACTACTAAGAACACTTATACGGCACAGTCGTGGAAACCTCGACTAAGTCTGACTAACAAACGCATAAATCACATGTATGAGATCTCCCCTCTGATCACTCAGCCATCTTGATTTATGACCTCTTCTAGATGGCGCATCCACACGCGTATTCATTGATTAACATTGTAAACGTAAGGCAAAGCTATCTGGGATACCGTGCTGTAGGCGGAGGCTTTAGTCCTATACCAGTAAGAGACATTGAAATGGGCCAACAGTTGGAAATCACTGTCTATGGATTCCTTACACGCATCCTATGCCAACAGAAGTCAATCTTGCACAGAGGGAAATCAAGGCGTTAGCTCCCTTATTGGAACCCCTTACGGAGGCCCAGGCCTCAGCGGTGGTTTGGCCCCCATCTAAACAGAAAGCGGTCAGAGAATTGGAGAGATTAGGAACTGGTCAGCGCCCAATCCTACTCCTCTCCTCTTAGAGAACGAAATATTCATCTAAGCATTTCATGGGGACGGTGAAGATAACGGGGAGCTCCAGGGAAGAGATACAAATTACGGAGCACCCGCAACAGTAGTTCATTAGAACCATGCGGATGTACATTGAAAAATGCCAAAAATGCAACATGAACCCTTCTGCAAGCAAGGTTATGAATGCATGGGATCTGTCTTTCACTGCAGTGCTTGTTTCACATAGCACCCACTCCCTGTAGCTGCCTTCCAAGCAGATCTTGAGGCCTCACAGCACAACGGTTTAGCCCAATGAGGGAGCCACAACTAAAAGAACATTCGACAAGAATCCTCATGGCCTCAGCTCCGTCCTGCAGGCGGAATTAAAGCCTCACCGTTCTAGCCACGCCTCGCCACGGGTGGTAAGAGGCAACCCATATCATTCTATTGGTTGGGCGGGTTTGAGCCTCTAGCAGGGGCCCGCTAATTACACCAGTGCACAATTGTAAAAGGGGGTGGGCAGGTAGCTGCGATTTTCGTTGGATCGAGGAGCTGCCCGCAGAAAACCGCCATGGTTCCTGATTGACGAAATGAATCTCTGCAGCAATCCCAGCCGCGATGGATCTGCAAAAGCGGCGCCGCAGGTAACCGCCGATTATCAGTGCCCAGGTTGCTCTTACAGAGGATTGGTGCCGGGGCGCCCTCGCAGCTCGTCTAGGAAGGTGTGTGATACCACCGACCAGCATTTCTTGCTTCCAGAACCACCTCGTCGGCCGAACTGGGTGGGGTGCGGCGAGCGAGCGACCGCGGCCACCAACGACACGACAAGTAAAACCAGAATCTATGCCGCCATTACGGCGTGCCGCACACCACTTACCTACCTGAATACCGTAATGCAGGAAAAGAAAACTCTGCCTATGTAGTGACATACGTACTATGTAACGAGGAATGAAGGCGTCATAACCCCTGCACAGCCTGGCAATCTTGCAAAAACTGGGTTACAGTGTTTGTACATACTGTCGAGTTAGTAACTGTAGGTTCTAATTATCTCTAGGGACTGTCCCTGTACTTGATGCGCCGGAGCGGCAGCACTATCACATCACACACGAACAATCTACGAGTTGATAGCTTTCTCATGAAATTTGGGGCATCTGGCAAAGGTTCCATTGTATTCGCCCAGATGTGCGACTATCCCGTGACTCTAAAAAGTACTTTTTTATTTGCCATGGGTATGGTGTTTCCCAAAACGCCTAGCATGCCTGTCATGAAATGTTCATTCATTTTTTGTTACTTTTCCCCACAACTACCCAACACGACTGCAAGTGTCTAGTAGAAGAATCCAATGATCTTGCCAGCAACGTGCTTGCGACGGGCCTCCTCGTGGTCCATGATACCGGCGGAGGTGGTCAGGACGACGTAACCGAACTGACGGGCGGGGAGCAGCTTGACAACCCACTTCTCGAGGTCGGCGAGACGGACGTTGTAGCGGGGAGAGATGACACCGGTCTTGTTGAGACGGCCGTTGAGCTGGACGATGATCTTGCCAGAGCGGTGGTCGTCGACTTCCTCGAACTCGCCGATGTAGCCTAGTAAACGGCGAAGAATGAGCTTTTATGTTGCGAGAGACTAAACGTTAAACGTCATGGGTGTTTTTGTGAAAGCAAAAAATTCAGAGAAACGTGTAAGATCTCCGCAGAAATTCAATCTATCGGCAACTTATAGGGGCTGGGCCGTGGATGCGAATCGACCGTCGCCCTAGTTATCATGCCGAAGTAATAAACAGGATAAAGGAAAGGGAAAAGGGGGACCCATGACGTTGAACGAAGTTGTTTGTTCCAGATTGGACCTACCGTGGCGCTGCATGACCTGGAGGAACTTGATGATGACCTTGGAGGAAGGTCGGATCAGAACCTGACGCTTGCCGGTCTTCTCGGCGTTGTTGATGTTGTTGAGAGCATCGTGGAGGACTGAAGTGCGGACCATTTTGGCGGTTGTGAAGAGGAGATTCTCAAATCAAGTGGGATATGAGGTGTCTGCCAGGGATTCTACGTTAGCCTCTCGGGCCTGTGAGCGAGAAGAGTGCCCTCAGCGATCGGTCGAGGAGGGTTCTGCCGCCCAGTGCTGAAGAGGAGAAGCGTATCTCGAGCCATTGCCAGCCCAGGTGACTTGTGCAGGCCGATGCACAACCATTGGAGTCTCTCAGGAGAGACAACGCTCGAGATTGCTCTCCCTAGCCACGATGCAAGGCATTATCTTCCAGGTCCGAATCGCCGTGGGCGATTCATATCACTTACCTCGAGGAAAAGGTGATGCGTTGTTGGGTTGTCAAGTGGTCGAGAGGAAATTCCAGGCGAAGTCGAAAAATCAGCTCGCAATTCCCACGCGCACCGAAAGGTGGGCCGCACGAAAAGTTGGTGTGCCCTGGTGGTCCGTGCACGACAAAATGCCCTAATGGGGGGCGCACTGCGCTCGCTTGCATTTTCGGCAAATCCCCGTGTCCCGGACCCGACATTGTTCTAGATCATCCACGAACTGCAACTTCACTCCCAACTTTCCTTTTCCATATCATATTAAAATTCTAGTTGACTCTTCGAGGATCGCCCGACGAGAAAATTCAGCAACAATGGTGAGTATCCCGATGCTGCCGCCCCTCAATCGCGACCGTTTGTGGTAGCCAGATGCTTGGCCCTGCGCATATCGCGAATTTGGCGATTGAGGAAGCGGAACGTCATCCAGAGGGACTTTGCGACTGACAATGCTTTTTCTCGACAGTCGGACGTAGAAGACAACACCCCCGAGGTCGTCGAGGAGGTCGAGGTTTCCGGTGATGCCCCCAAGGGTCAGATGTCCGTCCTGGACGCCCTCAAGGGTGTTCTGAAGCTCGCCCTCATCCACGATGGTCTGGCCCGTGGTCTCCGCGAAGCCTCCAAGGCTCTCGACCGTCGTCAAGCCCACATGTGCGTCCTCAACGAGAACTGCGAGGAGGAGGCCTATAAGAAGCTCGTCATTGCTCTCTGCTCGGAGCATAAGATTCCTCTGATCAAGGTGCCCGATGGCAAGCAGCTCGGAGAGTGGGCTGGTCTCTGTACGTTTTGCCCTTTTATCCTATGAACGGAGTCCATCCGCGAAGATTTACGGCACAGAACGCCAACTAACACGGATATTCAGGTGTCCTTGACCGTGAGGGTAACGCCCGCAAGGTTGTCAACTGCTCTTGCGTCGTCGTCAAGGACTGGGGTGAGGAGTCCCAGGAGCGCTCCATCCTCCTCAACTACTTCCAGACCGAGCAATAAGTGCGACATGGGTGACGGCGTTGACGCGAAGGGAGGGTTAGAGGCGTGAGATCTAGATTCAGATCCCACAGGAACCGAATCACTTGGTTGTGCTCTTAGATCACTTCAGTTGATAGGCCATCGGCACATGGACCGGAATACAAAAAAAAGTTTATCTTTCCAGATCGAACTGGATATCATTTCCACATTTACCCTGACATGACTCTCTACTTTCGTCCTTCCACCTAAAGCACCGTTGTAAACACCCCGCCGGTATCTGTAGATAAAACGACTGAAACTTACCATGATGATGTGATACCCAAACTCTGTCTTCACCTCGGCGAATTTCGGGCTACTCGTAGAGCTAGGTTCCAGGGCAAAGGCAACCTCTTCAAACTTGGGATCCAAGCTCCCTTTAGTCTTCCAGCCCAATGAGCCTCCTGTCATCAAAGTTAACATCAGACTCAAGCGCTCTCTCAGCTAAATCCAGCCTACCTTGTCTGGCCTTGTCCTCAGAGAAGGTCCTTGCGACCTCGTCAAACTTGACTCCTTCATTCAATTTCGCCAATGCCTCTTCCTTTCTCGCGTGCTTCTCGCACTAGTCGTCCAATGTTAGCAGATATGGAGGCGCTGCCATCTGAAGGCGACGAGACTCACCAAGATGTGTCGGACATTGATCGACTGTGCGCCCTTGGTTTTACCGCCGCCCTCACTGCTGTCTCCGCCGCCTTTTCCTTTTCCGCCGCCTTTCTTGTCGTTTTTGCCCATTTTTGTTTGTGAGATTATGCCTAGATTTGTTGTGATGTTGTATGGAGATGAAAAGTTGGCCGTATGCCCCGCCAGCACCGAGAAGACGGATTAATGTCACACTCATTGCCCCTCCCCCTCCTTCACAGCTTCCCCATACATCTATAGGCCTTATAGAAATGCTTCCTTGGGCCTTCGTTCATCAAGACCCAAGAATTTACTGAACCAGTATCGTTACTTGTGATTTCTATTCATAATTTTAAAAGAAACGCAATATTCTGGTTCTCTTGCGAAGCCATTTCTAGGTGGTAGGTTTCCTCAGACATGTCTAGTTTTGCCCTTGTTCAGCAGAGATGAGGATGTACTTCATCGCTCCCACTTGAGATCTGCAAGTTTATGGACGTCTTTCAGCTCCTCCAGGTTCTCCGAGTCTAGGATGTCTTCGTCTCTCATCCTCTGGATGACCTTCATCGACTCGAGCTGGACCATTTCCTGGAATTGCTCCTGGTCGGCTTTCTTCTGGGCCCTCTCCCGTTTCCACTCCAGATACCTCTCGTCGTCCCATTTCTTCCGGAGGATGTCACTCTCAAGCTTCTCAAACAGATGCCAATCATCCATATCCGATGGCTTGGGCGACTGACATATTTCATGCATTGGCTTTTGCGCTCCAACGCGCTCTAGGTCGATGCTTAGGCGAAACACTCCGGTAAGCTGGTTGCGGCTCTGCCCGTACCGGCGAATGATGTACCTACAGGGCACGGGTCAGTCAAAGATCAATTGCCACTATGATTAGGCTTGGAAGTCTCTAGGGATCATACTGTCCATCGTACCGCAAACCACCCCTTGGTGCAAAGGGGCTTTTGAGAAGGTGCCCACGGAGAACGCGGATCCTGGTGCCAACCTGGGATATGAGCGCCACACACATGTCCCTCAGCGTTCCCTCTCTCACATATTTCGTAGTTCCTGCAGGCCATTGTGCTATCTCAGTTCCTGAGAGCAAAGGCATGGTGGCAATGCCGTATCTACCCTTGGACACGGAGTCAGAGGAGCCGCAGACAATTCCGTCTCGTTGAGCGCAGGCCAAGTTTAACCACCAACTATGCCCCAATATTAACAGTTGATTCTAGCTTTATTCCCCTTGAATTCGAAGCAGTATCTGTGTATGAGACTTACTGTCCTTCCTTGATTTCAGTGTTTCCTTCGACTTCAGAGAGTGCCTCTCCGCTCTTAGCAGCCCACTGGCATGCTTCTCCACACTTTGAATCGTCAAAATAGACATTGTCCAACCGTCCATTCTTCTGTGTCAGTCCATAGTATCGGGAGTTATCCAGTCCCAGATACCCATCCCGTAGCCTCATTCTCCAATGTCTCTGAAGGCTGTCAGCTATCGACAGGCAGGCCCGTAAATCCGGGCTCATGTGCTCGAGGTGACGGGTCTTGTCATGAATATCGGCAAGCAGCTTGTCTAAACGGGTGGCTCGGATGAGCCTGAGGTCAAGGATGGGTGCCTCATCGTATTCGCTCTTGATGACGGCGCCCAACAGCCGCATGAGAACTTCGCCCCTCGGTCCGAGACAAGCATCTTCCTGAAGGCTAGTTCGAACGTCGTTGCAAAGGGCTAGCAGGGCATTTTGGTTGATCGTGACGTCTCCATTGTTTTCCGTGTCCAACGGGTCTACTGGCGGAGCAGCTTTCGAGAAAAGATGTCAGCATGTTGGTGTTGGTAGTACACAAAGGAGAAGTCTCCCATTCCTGCCCAGTCAACTCACGTTTGGGCTCATTGCATGGCTCGGCTGTATCCAAATCTCCGCTCTGCTCGGGCTTCTTCCCTCTGGTTGGTGGATATATTTGCAACGACATGGGAAGCTCTCAGGTGCGTAGGAGCATGTGCTGGATACGAACTCTGGCCATGCTCTTGGTAGTTCAAGCGAACGAGGGGTCCAAGAATGATATAAATGCGTTTGGCTACATAGTAGCACAGGTTGTCAAGCAAGAGACCGGTCAAAATCGATCAAGTAGATACAACACAGAAGAGGGGATAAGAGTTGCTACAGAAAAGCAGTACCAGTCGTGAAACCTCGGATGCTTGTTCGTTTGCGTACCACCTTGTGCTAGCAGGGGATAGGTAGTAATAGGTAGTATTTGTCGGTAGATGGTTCACCCAAACAACGGCTACTGCAACCATCCGGCTCAGTTTTTATATTTGGAAGCTCTTCACTGGAACCTTGTGGGCCTGGTTCTTTCACAACAGTGCAGGCGTGGGGAACTTGTACGGAAGTAGCTCGGCGAGCAAAGGAAGCAACTGCGCCTGGCTTCTTCTATATTTTCGGACAGATGGACCTACAGGCCTAATTCAATTCTACCATTCATAGCTGGGGTCTAAATGACACTATATCTACTCCAATTTAAGGTATAGAACCCCTAATAGTCTGTTGAGGTCCGTCAGAATGGGCTCGGGGAACGGCCAGCAAGACTAGCTAGCTGTCTTATACACAACAGCGCCGTGCAGTTGTGCTGGCGTGAAACAAAATGCAGCAAACCATACAAGCTGTCTTCGAATTAAGAAAGGAAGAAAATCTGCTTCAGGGCCATAGTTCAGAGATTGTGGACAGAGAATAGATTCTAACTCTTGTGTAATTTATACATCTTTCTTCTTGGAGCGAAGTTATCAGATAATACAGCCATAGTCATAATCCCAGCGATATACAATATGTAATACACGACAACGTACAACGGCAACACACCTCGCCCCCTGTGCTTCTACCCTTGTGCCGCCTCGTTCAGTCCACTCCTCAGCCAGTCGGGTACAAAGGCTTTTACCTTAACCCCGCTCTTATCGCCATCCTCACCCCATTCAAGCTGGAACTCGTGGTCCGGCTGGAAGGACGCAGCGGCAACCTCACCAGGCAGGGTAATGTCGGTCATGAGCTCCAGACGGCACAGACCCAGGCCGATGTTCCCCACGCCCTTCAGCCACTTCCCTGCGCTCCGCCCTCGCTTCCCAATGCGTCCGATGCTGGTATCCCGGGGCACCAGGTCCGCTGTTGGCGTTGAGGCTCCGCTTCCACCACCGGCCTGGGGGATGTACTGCAGACTCGTAGGTATAGGCTCAGACTTGTCGTATATCACACAGGGAAGAATGCGCTTCCGTACGACACCACGGTGCTTGGTGCGGATTGTGAGCTCCTGGCCAATGTAGCAGCCCTTGCGGAAATCGATCCCGTTCATGTAGTCCATGTTGCTCTCCTGCGGCAGAGCCGTCTCTCGTAAGATCTCGTCCTGGCCCTCCGCCACGCCATTCAGATACCGCCGTATCGTATACGCATCCTCTGTCGTTTCGTCCAAGTCCACCTCGGGCTTGTGCTGCCCAGACTGCAGGATACGGTACCCAAAACCCGGCGCTCGGACGTCCTTGAGCAGAATATTGGGATTGGCGCTCGTCGAGGCGAGGTGCAGGTCGGAACTGGAGGTTTCATCCCACGCCTGCCACACGTTGACCTCGTCCGGCAAGACCTTGCGCACAGTCACCTTGGCCCGGAGCTTGTATCGCTTCACGAACCTCGCCAGCGAGTCGACGTGATTAGCATCCACCTCTACCAAGAAGCCATTCTCCTCCTGGACACCCGCCAGTTGCTTTGTATTGGGGTATATATAGAGATCGTGCAGGACCCTCCCCGTAGCGGTTAGGAATCCGGCATAGAAGCCGTCGGTCCTGGGAAGGCCGTCCTTTCCCACCACATTGGCAGTTACGAGTCCCTGTAGAAATTTGGCGGCATCCGGGCCGGCGACGGAGATGAGCTGTCGCGATGCCAATGGCGCAATGCCTGCCCGTAGTGGTATCGGCGTGGATGTCGTCGAACTCGAGAAGGATCTGATCTGGTGTCGCCAGTTGAGACAGGTTCGACCGGGCGGGGCACAACGAAGGGCGCGTGCTGCTGGGGCTGCGGCTCTCATGTTGAACCCAGCTTCATTGACGCAAGAGGAGACAAATTAAGTTATCACGTGGTGGGATGGAGGGCCATACGAGGGGAGCTATGGGCTGCACCATTGACCGAAAAATCCGAGCCCCGTCTCTACTGGCGATGATGATGACAATTGAGCCAACCTCAGCGGGTTCTTGAACAAAAGCGGGACTGCGGATCTCCAGTCGGAGCTTGTGATCTTCTCCACAATGGCAGCTCCCCCATGTTTTGACCGGTGTCCAGGGTAGGTGGTTTACATTGAATCATGGTGAATGATATCCAATTCTTCCCTTAAAGCCAAGATCTTATCTCGGATCTTCGTCAATGTATCATCAGCTTTGATTGAAGACTGTGCCTCATTGCTGGATAGACACCCCCAAGTTCGTTACTTTATCGATGATGTTGGGATGAGATAGGTGGCGGTAACGATCTTACCCATGACGAAGATGGACTTTCAGCGCCCAACAGTCTCTCGCACACATATTTCCAAAAATGGCTAAACGCCAATAGGCTACCCATTTCAAAGCATTCCCTCGCTCTTCAGAGTCATACCGTATTGACACGTAGCTATGTAAGACATGCTTGTGAAGCACCTCCTTGCTTGGCTGCCTGGGGGCCAAAGCGGTGCTAAACTAAGGTAGCCATCCATCAAGGCATCAATCATTTCGATCCGGACAGCCAGTCGGTGACATAAGGTAAAAGGGGCCGCATGGGGCCAGCCCCCCAATTAACAATGTCTCTGACCATTCCAAGACAGCTGGATGCGGGCCGTAGATGAGTGAACGTCCGGGCCAAGGCAGTTTCACAATGCCCCCGATTCGAGAGGCGTCCATGCGCCCTGCGAGCTGTCACCGCTCCAGGCAGTCGTGCATCAATGGCAGGGCGCGCTGCAGCATGTCCACGTCAAAGGCTTGCAAATTAAGTACCATTGGCACGTAGCTGCGGAGACCAATGAGATGTCACTGCCCAACTGCGTGAACCGGCCACTCTATGTAACCGTCGCCGAGAGCTCCGATAAACTCACAAGTATCAATGCGATTGGAAGGGCCAACCGTAAGAGACAGACGTATCTAATCAGCACTACGGCGACACTACCAGCCGCGATCACACACCAATCGAAACATCTCACCGCTTACCACTGGCATAGGCTTCAAAAGTCAAATAATCACAATAGCGGCCGTACTCGGAGAGGTTTCACCCGATCAGCGGGCGATCTGTGACCTATCTCACGATTAGCAGCCTGCGCAGGGTTGAGACTCCTAAGACCCTATCAGATGAGGGAGGCCTTGGTTATATGATACCACAATGGTGTTTTGTGACAATGTCTATCACGAGCCAATCAGACCAGCTCCTGGCTCGGCATGACTGATTCAGGCGCCCAAAGGAAGATGACCCAATTATGTGCTCGTCACATGGAAGTCCTGCGCAGGCCGGCCGTACATACGCCCTACCTCGCAAGGTTCCCATCGGCTTCATAAGCATGATTGTGCATCGGTGCTTGATAATCTGTGACTAGCAGACGGAAGGGGCCCGTAGCGAGTGGATATTCAGCTTGGGAGAATTTTTTAATTTTTTTTCATCGGGTTTGGTTTTTTGTCACTGCGTTGGCCTTCTCACCAAAAAGGTTACGTTTTTTTTCTTTCTTTTTCTTGGGCTGTTTTGGTCATCGGTACGTACCTACCGGCTCGCGTTAGTTTCGGCGCCGGGATTCAATTGCGATACCGAGCTCGGAGGCGGAGAGAGAAATGATACGGTCAAATGACCACATAACTTACCAAACCAGCCCGCCGGAAGAAGCGGAGTTGGAATCCCCTAGTGCCGCATTTGAAATCAGAAGCAGATATCGCAAATGAGTTCAAGGTCGCAGCGAAAAGAGCTATCATCTTTTTTTGGGTCACGAGGGCGAATATGATGGAACTCGTTTTTTTTGTTTGAAATTGTATTTTCCTCTTTTTTTTTGGGTTTAAACTAATAGTCTAACTCTATTAGAACATAATGTTCCTGTGTGTTGATACAGTGAGAATGCCTTCCACTCAACCCTGAGGGAGCGGACTGCTCTGATCCTCCCAGTATGCCCAGGCCATTCCGTATATCAAATCCTGAGTAGTGTGGTCCTGTAATCCAATATTGTATAATCCGTAAAAAAATAAAAATGTAGTGAGAAATGAAAAGTGCTTTTTCTAAGCCAATCCCGCTTAGTGGTATCCGAAAGTCTGAAGTGCGCCGAGTGTAATGCCATCGCTGAAATGCAGAATCAATAATCATTATATAGTAAGAAGGTGGTCGTTGTTGTTGTTTAGTACACTGAAATGGCAGTCGAGTCCGACTGTTGTGACAGGTACAGGCCTCCTTGGAATAATGATCCGGATTCTGATTCTGTGGCACTCTCGCCCTTGACTTCGCGCATGGGCATGTGAGGTTGGGGCGGTGATGGCGGCATCGACTCGTCGTCTGAGGAATCGGATTCGTCGACCAGCTCTGGGGGAGGGCTGGAGTGCGAGTGTGTGCGGACGAGCTCGAGCTGGGCGTAGTCCTCCTCGAGGTTGTCCTCGGTCATCTCCTCCTCGTCGGCGTGGGGAACGTACTTGATGGCGGTAGTGGGCGCAGGCTTGCTGGCGACAGGTCGGAGGCTGGGAGTGTTGGTCATGACAATGTCCTCATCCTCGTCGTAGTCGTCGTCAGACGAGTCGGAGTCGTACTCCTCCTCGGGGATGCTCTCGGAAATGTGGATCTGCTGCTTCTGGGAGTTGCTGGAAGCAACGGACTGGTTGAACCACCGCTCCTGCTCACGCTCGGCATCGGCAAGCTCCATCATCAAGGTGTCAAGGAGATTGGCATGTCCGACGAGCAGGCGGAGGTCGTGGTCGGGTTGGGCAGCCTCGCGAGAGAGCTTGGCCCGGGCCTTGTGGGCGAGGTAGTAGGTCTGAGTGATAGACATGTTCTTCTTGAGTGCTGCCTTTCGGAGAGAGTCCTGAGGAGTAAGGAAGGAAACACTTCGTGTGGTTGTTGTTGCCATTGTGAAGAGGAAAAGGCAAGTTTAGAAAGAGCCGAAGTCGTGTTAATAATAAAAATGGTGTGCTAGTTGGGTTTCTCCCTTTGGGTGCTTTGAACCTCAATGAGTCAAAGCGATGCCGGGGGGGCTAACTTGTAGCCTGTTGTGGGGCACTTGCTTAGGTAGATGAGTAGATGCGGCAGGTTGCTTCAGGTCTTCGTAACAGGAGCTGGGATGTTTGCTGTTATAGTGAGTAACAGTTGAGAGCTCTTGAAGGTGAAGGTTGGAAGAATCTTCTGAATCTGATCTGGATGGTGCTACAAGATTGGGAGCGGAGGGAACTTGTTCTTTTTAACATATGACTGTTGCTCGTGGTTTCGGGTGTCCTGGAATCGCTCTGCGGGCTCTCGGACATAGACTTAAGACCTGGAATTAGGTTCCTCTCCGAGAGAAAATACATGCATCAGCGGTGAGGCCGACGTGGCTTGGCTGGGTACCACGGCCGCACAAGGTACCTACGGAAACCCGGATCATACATGCGCCCCTGCGGGCGGACTTGGAGCCACACCCCCCTCTCTTCGCTCTCGCTCCTGGTCGCTTCCTAATCCATGGGGCCCTGGCTTCACTCATCAGTAAGACTCATCTTGCCGAAGGCCCACCATCCACCCCAAGAAAACCTTACCAGTGATGCCCGGCCAGCGAACGCGATTCCTAATCAAAGCCAGGCGTTATGCTATGTCCGCAGTTCGTTCGGGGTTTCCACAGCCTTCCATACACATTCGCATTCATCATCAAAGCGGAGGGACATTACATTCTAACTCCGGTTTAGGTAGGGTTTTGGTAGAGCGGCCCCCTTGCATACATTCCTCAGCGGTTTTAGAAGATCTGATAATTACTACAGCCAACACAGACACCCGCACAATTGACCGACATCCTAGCTCACCGCTGCGCAACAATAGGTACATAGACAATAACAACAATGCTACCCAAGCCCTTTGTGCACCTCCTGGCAGCACTGTAGTGTTTTTTTTTTTTTTTTTTTTTCAATAATACCGAGGTCCTCTATTTTCATAAAATTGGACCAGTTTCGCCTTAAATTTGCTCCCAACAATGGGGAGCAGAATCTACGGGCAGCAAATTCGGGCATAACGTTACGGCTGACAGTGAGGTTGGGCCAATCTTAATGTTTAATGCCCCTCACCATGCTTTGCCTCACTGGGGGTGTTCCTGTTATGTTGCCAATTAAAACTAAAAAAGAAAACAATTACTTGCATTTCCCTTGCCTTTCCTCGAATGCGGAGAAATTGTGCGAGCATCGTATGCTGTGTTAGTGCCATGGTTTCTTTGTCTGTATGTCTTTGTTGATCCTAAGCTGGAACAGGCGCCAGCTGTTATTATTGGCTGTGCATACCTTGTTCGGTTTCATTTCATCCTCTTGGAACACGTCTGTGTAATGCCAGCGCCAAAGCCCAATAACTGGACACGCACGCCCAACTGAGGCTTGTTTGGGTACGCAAGCTGGTGCAAGGGGGGCCATAGAACATTCGAGGAGTCGGGTGGTCTGCCGCCATCCGCAGCTGATACAGACGCCTCACACATGTGGCTGTTTCCAATAATTGGCCGTCATTCCCAATTGATGGCCTCCGGCATACGTGTAATTCGAACCGCAGCCGTCTGCGGACTTGTGATGCGTTGCCTATGACGGAGCCCGTGAAGGGGGCTTAAATTCCGGCCTGCGGGCTGGCGGGTTCGGGGTTCAATAACCAGCTACAAAAGCCAGGCACCAGTCGCATCGTTCTACTGTCCGAGTGTTGCGAGGCAGAAGGGGGGCGTATACGCGTCAGGGTGCACGGGTGTGTACGCATCCAGATGTACCTGGAGGCTGGAGCTTGGCTGGGCGCTGCGCATGCATTACGCTTCCATCCATGAATAGGGCTGATGACAAAGGGCTCGTCTCGATTCCTAATCCGGTGGATGGGCTCTCTAATTGGAGGGATGCTCATGTGGCCCTCCCCTCAGATTGACTCATCCTGCTGAATAAGTGCTCGCATTCATAAGCACTCGGCCTGATAAATCAAGACAAGGTTTGGCACCGTCTGCGCACATCTCGCTTGATCGCATTATCGGTGGCTCACATTCCTCGCCTATGAACGAGCACACCCTTCTAGCATCGCCATGTCTCTCTCCGCCGTCCCTGGTGATAGGAGTCAGCACACCACTTTTGGGCCTGTGAACAGGTCATGCCAGAGCTTCATCAAGGCCTCGTGGTTAGCTGTGGTTAATTGAACCCGATCCAGCGACCGATAGAAAACTGGGGATGCCGCCAGGGGTAGATCTATGGTTCTGGGTATTCTAAAATCCGTGGGTTTGCCAAAGTCCGCTCTCAACCGGACACAGTCCTTTAAAACACTTCCATCGCCTAAGATGGGGATCCATGCGTAGGATCTACATGCACGGATTTTGGGGACTCGTTGCTGCTGCGACAGATGCTATTTAAAACACATCTTCCCCAGAATCCGTCACGGCTCGCCGTTCCAGCATCTCAGGGTCATGCAGTTGATGCATTCAATTAAGATTGTGTTTTCTATTCATGGCTGAGGATTCGTTTCTCCAGCGACTGATCGTGATATCTGATCATGCTGAGTATTGCTACAGCAATCAATCAGGATTGCGACTGTAACCGCATCTACTCACCATTGGTTGGTGACACTCTCGCGCAATTCGCGTCTCCGACGATTGCCCGCGTTTTGCCGAGAGTCACTCTATCACCACCGGGCGCGGCTGTACAGCAGATCCCGTAGGTTGCCTTTTTTCACTGCCGCTAGCGACTGCCGGGTTTCCCAGAGTCCGAAATCCGAGGTAGTAAATCCAGGCCCCGATATATCCATCTAATCAGGACTTATCAACTGGTTATCGGCCTAGTGCGTCATTGGCCAAATTTCCGAGTAAGAAAGCGACAAAACCGAGAGCGAAAAGTCTGACGTAGTGTGTCGAATACGCTCAGAAGAAATCAATTACCAAGCGTATTTGGCGATGCATGTCAATATCAAATCCTTAGAAGGTAGATGCAATTGCGTCAACAGACCGATTTCACCTATGTCAATAATCCATGCCTTAGGTACATAGTCTAAATCATTCAACGCACGCCATACCGTCGCTAACATACATGCATTCCTTTCTATGAGTATCGCGACGTCAATGGCGCAGGCAGCCCTGAAGTTTTTTGGTGGTTTAATTTAGATGTTATATTTAATTCGAATAACATTCATTCTCGTGAAAACATTAATTCTGACGAGATCATATTATTACGCACAATACCACAATTTCGAGAATGTCGATGACTTGAGTCATACCGTTGATTGTTCCAACGCACAATTGCAAAATTATCGTCTCCCTGAACCTTCCGATGATCTTACAGGCCTGGCTCGCTGCTACGACAAAAGGGCGGGAAAAGCGAGGCGAATTCTGAATGTAACCGCACGATAGGTATGCGGCAGCGGGTATTACATATACCCGTCGCTGCAAATTTTGGCTGCTGACACCCCCAATGTCAAGGAAGCGAATGTATGCAGTAATAACCGATCGACCGGCTCGTCTAATAAGCGAGCACACTGCATCAGCACTCACACGCATCGTCGTCAACATGTGCTCGGATGTCGGCATAGCATGTAGGCTCCAGGGTCCCAAATGTTTCTCTGCCGTCGTTATTTCCGAGCTTCGCCGATCCAACCACCAGACACATTATCTCCATCAGTGCTGCATCTACGGGATATCAAAGGGCCCTTTGCAAGACCACATACCAGTCCATCTCAAGATTTCTCAAATTGTCAAATTGTATCACTCATCCTTCTCTCAGGGTCTAATTGAAGACTCTGGACTAGCTTGGGCCACCCGTTTGCACTGGTGGATCATCAGGGGATTGGTGGTACCATGTGGATGGTGTGCATATGCTTCCATACGCCCTCTGGAAGCCGAGTTGTCTCCGCTCAAGCACCGGATTTGAGAGGCAACAGGGCCTCATTCCCGGCCGATGGGAGTGTTGTACGCCTTCGTGCCCAGCAAGGATAACACCTCGGGATTGAACAATGGGAGATGAGCTCTCCGAAGCAACGAGAGCCGGGCTTCCCGGTCCTGGAAAGGAGCGTTCTGCGTGTGATCTGCTTCGCATACCCCTGCGTCCTGCCCCAGATTCGGACCTCATCGGAGTGTTAGACAGTCTCGAGGATCCCTTTGACTCGACACTAGTGGGTCAGTGGTTTGTTAGTCGTAGCTACACACGATATCTCAGAGAAGAGCTAGTGCCTGAGTACGGCCGCTATCGTGATCACTTGACTTTAAAAATTGTCACCGTACAGTCCCAAACCATGCCGTAAAGCAAAACTAGATCCAGAGAAGCGATTATGTGACACATACCAATCAGTAGGCGATTGATTGATCTGCATGCACCGTTAACACCCGAATCAGTGAGACCCGAGAATTTCGTCAATGCCTGTCTAACGCCAAGTCAAGTCCAAGCTTTTAGTATAATTCACAAATTTACCATGGCCTACCGAGATCTTAACGTTCTGCATGTAATCCTGTTTGGCTGAAGCCAAGTGTACCTGGTGAGAGGCCGTGGGTGGGTAAATGAAGTCGCTCTCAAAACATCTTAACAGAAGAGTGGTTATGAACAACTACTTTATACATAAATAGGGAAATTTAACAGCATAAAGCGAAATAAAGTAACAATATACGTCATATTATCTCTTAAGTATGTGCTATTGGCACTTAATAATCTGTCAGAACCGATCGCAGACTCAACAATAAACAACATAATGTTTGAGTGCCATAATTTCAATGTCGCCCACTTATCAGGTACAGCTTTTACTCCAATTTTTAGTGCCCGTGTGCGCCTTGTTTGTTGTCATGATCATACCAAATTGAACCTCACCTCCTCCCCCGCGTTGGTGCCTACCCTATACACCTGCTCACCCTCGGCTTCCATGTGCTTTCTCCTCATTGAGTGTCGAGCTCTCAACTAGCCGGCTAGATTAGGTGATGAGGGCATTAGAGAATCTGTTTAGAAGTGTATGGGTGTCGAATTCCCTCCCGGGTGTTAGGGGATCAATTATCCGTGGCAGGCAAAAGATATCCGATGGCGTTTTGACTTAAGTAGCGGGTCCGAACATTTCGACAGTGAGGTCCAGAATGCCCATGATGTTCCGTGAGAGCATAGCTAAGAATTCAATCCCATGCTGTTTCAGAGACGAATCTCCTCCCAGACATTATTACAGCAACTGAGGTTTATTCGTAAACAATTACAGCCAACTTGAACACTGAAGATGGCACCAATCGAGTTAGCAGCTGTCATTACACCCAAGCCTGGCCAGGCCGAAAAAGTGAGTTGCTTAACGAAGCCGTCATAACAGCCACTGATGAGCCGATAACTAAATAGCAGTGGTTAGTTTCTTGCATTATTCGACAAATGTGTTCAATATGTGCAGGCCAATGAGCCGTATGTGCTTCGGTATGAGTTACACAAGGGAATCAAGGAGCTTAACGGAAACGAACAATTTGTGGTTCTCGAGAAGTATGTCCTCAGAACGAAAATGCTTTTATCAACACCCTCACTTCTAACATCGGCGTATATACAGGTATGAAAGCAAAGAAGCAATGGACAAGCACATGCAGGCGCCGCCAATCCAGGAAATGGTGAACATACTCGGAGAAGGCAATTTAGCCGATACACAAGTTATCATGACGACTAAAGGACCTGGGATTCCTTCTCGATTGTAGAACAAATATCTGCAATCTATACAAGTGGCCGTTGGACTGTGAGTGTGATGGAAGAGGTTAAAGAGATGCTAGTAACCGCTGCCGTTTGGGCCTCTCATCATCTGGGACGTGTGTCGATGAGTGTCTTTTCGGCCTATTTTATATATATAGAACGATCTGCCACAGACGGGGCTTATATGCTCATGCCAAATGGGTGTTAGAATAACAGGGACTGCAAAGGCGTTTTAACCAGACTTTCCCTAATATAGGCCATGATATTGATAGGCAAAAGGTAATTAACAATCAGAATAATAAACTATTGAGCAAATATTAGCGAATATTATCTGCTTACTATTACAAAATAGGAAGCGTAATAATATAACTGGCAGCCGCATTAATTCTGTGATGCATTTACAAAGGTCTCACTCCACAACCGACGACTCGAACGAATGCTTTTTTACTGGCAGCCAAGACCTTGGGCAGGATGACAGATTCGGATTGCTGTTTGTGGAAACCTTTTCTGCTGCATGTTGTCAACTATGGATTGGTTGGTTTCTCCGCAAACAACAAGGCATTGCTGCTAAAAAGCAAGGCACCATATCATATTTTGATTGGCAAGCTTCATAAACTAGTTATTAGGTGTTGCAAAGAAGTACGGTGGGCTCTCGTGGTCAGAATTCGATTTCTACCTCACAATCCCTGGTCCTAGAGGATCCCGCGTTTCCTATCCGTCATGTTCTCTCCCAGTCACAAGCCATTGCCTTAAGATGGAATTGGGACACGATATAGGGCATCGCCACCGACATGGCGGATACCAGAACGACAGTTTGCAATCTCGCTGCTGAGATGGCTGGATTGGGTGATAATTTGAATGGGCTAAAAGTCGTATTCGGACTATGTGCCATTGTGAGCGATCAGGTCAAGCAACTCAAGACTAAGTGACTAAGTGGCCACTTGCAAGCTAGGATGAGACTGCCTTCTTACTCCTTAGCCTTGTAGATTTCCCAAGGGCCCTATATATGCGTAACATCCCCTCAACGCCGCCTTGATAGGTCACCAGGTACATGGCACCACAATGCTCCACGGCTTCACCAATTGCCCTGACGAGAAGCTTGATCCTTGCGCCATATCTACTTGGGGGGCTGTACTATTTTATTCCAAACTTGGTTCGAAAATAAGGCTTTACTTATTCTCCAAGTTAGGTGGGTAGGCAAGCGACTGATATAAAACATGCGTACCGAGAACCTCCAGTATTGAAATTTGACAAAATATAGAACCAATCGAGCTAGTAAAACCAACAGTATTAAGCTGAATGTCATAGAAAAATTTATGAATCACTCATTGTGATATTTGATATTGTTAACAATAACAACCAGGACAATAGACGCGTGCGCACTTGTGGACAGTTGGGGGTCGGCGGAGTGATCAGAAAAGATATCACTTTCAACTCAGCGCGTTCTCACCTGTTGCCGGCTGTGTTAGAAGACCCCACAATAAACAGCTACTTAAAGAAATCTCCCTCGCGCTTTGGACCATATCCCTTTTCTTCCTTCGTCAACAAACTACTCCTCGTGCGTTTAGCCGCACATCGGTCTCTACGAGTGCCGATACTTTTTCTATTCGTGTTTACATGATTACTATCGGGGACACGAATTCTAAGCTCACAATGTCTCAACCAACTCCGGGCAGCGAGCCTTCAAAGCCTAGCGCGGCGAAGGTAACCAGGACTCCTGTCAACAGGGAATGTGCCATCATCGTTGGCTCCTAGGAAGGGCAGATTATCGGTGGCAAATCTCTGGGTGTTTACGGTACTGCGATCGATTCCAGCATCTTCCTGCAGCGGGTGGCTGCCACCAATTCATCAATGGGTTTTAAGATTTTGTTTCCTTTCGGAACCGACAATGAGAGTGCAGGATTTGGAATGTGCCATTCCTGTAGGTATCCGATCTGATGCATCCAGATTTCCCTTATTTACCTACTATAGATAATGGGGCAACTCAGATGGCTGAGCCAGCAGCCTCACGGGAACTCTTGGTCAAATTTCCACGTGGCCATTTCGATGTCAAGGTACAAGACATCGACTCTATTCCTGGGCTCCGAGCGCGGTTCCCTAGTCTTACCGAGCCTGCCACATTCATCACGGTACACCTTCACTACTCTCACAATGTCGTCGTTGACGGTTACGCCAAACCCTTCTCCAACCCTGGGCACCCATGTGATGGATGGTTCAATAGGAACCTCCCCATTGATGATGGCATCACGCTTCTCGGTCTGCTAGAGGAGCGACGCTTTCACTTCGTCCTGTCCAAGAACACAGACTACTACAATCGGTTCTGGACTGAAAGCATGCTCCCCCCTCCATTCAGCTACCCCTATAAACATCGGCTGAGCTGGGACATTGAGGAGTACCGCAAAGAGTTTTCCGAGCATAGAGGAGAACCATTTGCGCGGGCGATCACTTTCCCCAACGACGAGTCGCGTATGGCAGCTGTCACACAATCTGCCATTCAGGATGTTATTTGGATTGCTGATGCCGCTGCTGAGATCTTTGCCACCAAGCTCTCGGCCTACTTTATCCCGTCACAGACTGACCAGAATGGCATGTGCTCGCGTTATTATGTCATAATCCCACTGTCCACGGAGTTCTATGACAAGTATGAGCAACAGTGGCTGGCATTGACTGACTGCGAGTCCTTCAAACTGGCTTTTCACGATCATGATTCTGCCATGGCGCCCCCAAGTCTGGCAGAAGAGGAAGACTGGAAGAAGATGGCGCTTAGCACCTGGGATGCCAAGATTGAGCAGTGTCCACAGCACGTCGCTGTCATGGCTCATCACCCAGTCGAAGAGAATGATCTTGTACTTTTCGTCAGTCGCGGAGCTCTTGGGTTAAAGGTTCCCACATTCCAAGACCGCTTTGCTGCCAACACTGCTCTTCGGGGTGATAAAAGAAGCTGGGCCTGTGTGTCTTTTCTGTTTGATACAGGTCTCAAGGAGTGTGAGCGCAAAGTGAATGCCGCTTTTCAGTATCACGAAGGAGCCGACCCGAGCAACATCATTCCCTCGCCTTCCAACGACACTTCATTGATGATGGCGTTCCACCGTGCTCTCCAGCGTGGAACTGGCTTCTACGACATTCTCAGGGCATCGCGCTCATCCAGTAAGTAGATCGATATTCTCATCAGATGTATTGGTATCGCTAACAAGGATTGCACAGACCCTGCCAACTCTCTTGTAGAGTCGATGGAACATTCAGTCATCAGTGACAGTGGTAGTACCAGGCAGCAACTCCCCAATGTCAGCTTTCTCGGTTCCGGCGACCCTGCTTACATTGATGCTCTGCTCGAGGATGTCCTACCGAAAGACCGAGCTCGCTTCCGTGGCTACTTTGGCAATCGTCCACTAGGTCTATCTCTTGTTACTGCCGTAAGTGCTTCACACTAGGTTTCTTTTACTGTTGACTAACAAAGTTCAATATAGGGTCCAGGTTTTGGCAAGACCACTGTAATCGCAGTGGCGACGTTATCCATGGTTGCATCGATCGGTCCTGTCTACGCCAGCGCGCCTACAAACGTGGCCGTAGACAACTTTGCCTCCCGCCTCAGCGCAGTTGATCGAAAGGCTGTTGAGAGATGCACGAAGGGCAAATCTGAGGACCCCGAAAGGATACGCCGCCGGCTGATCGTCCGAGGCTACACCGTCCTTGAAGAAGTCCAAGCCTTTCGAAAGCTTCTTCAAAGCCCCGCCGATGCTGACGAGGCCGCACCCAAGAGGCACTGGAAGCCCCAGTCAAGATGGAAGCTACACCTCTCTGCATCATACTGGCTCTTGATGATACTGCGCTCGCCTGCTGTCCGCGCCCTCGAGCCCGAAGATGCAAAGATCCTTTGGAGTGCCCAGGAACTCTACGATGCGCAGCCAGATTTGCAGAAACTTCGTGAGCTGGCAACTGGGCGTATCGAATGGAAGGAGTTCGAGGGCAACATGGCTGGTGAGCCTAAGCAAATCCAGAAGATGCTGGAGACCATCATCGCGGTAGCCGATATTGTTTGCACCACTCCTGCCCAGTCTGAGAGAGTGCCCGCCTACAAGAAGTGGAAGAAGAACACAGCCCGGGCCATCGCTGTGGACGAGGCCGCCAACATGACCATACCCGACCTGGATTGCGTCTGGGGCAATACGATGCTGCCATGCCTTCTCGTTGGGGACGAGAAGCAGCTTGAGCCGACTTTGATGACACGACTACAGAAAGACCCAAAGACTGGCAACCTATACAACAGACATGTTAGCGATGGCTCCGTATCTCCCCTGGCGTTCTTCAAGTCGACAGGCTGGCCAGTTTACCGCATGCTCACCCAGTTCCGCATGGCAAGAGGCCTCTTTGACATCTGCCACCGCGAGCTATACTCTGACGTCCCATTCGAGTATGACGCAGGCTGCAACATCGACCTCCCACAGCATGCAATCGGTGTCACGTTGGAGAACTTTGCCCGCCAGAGGTTCCCAGAGCTGTCCCCGCCCCCAGCTGGCCAGCTGGCCCCCATCTTCGTCCACTGCGAGGGCACGGTGTGCTTCAAAGATCGATACAGCATGTCCCTCATCAACTATGGCCAGGTGGACATCGCCCTCGACTTCTTGGTCAGTTTCGTCAATGAAACCAAGACCGACCCTTCCCAGATCGGCTTGATCTGCCCATACAAGGCAACGAGCGTGCTGATCGAACGTCTGCGCAAGAAGAAGGCCGAGTATCTCCCCCTTGCGCTAATGGAGCCGGCTGCCACCGTCGACTCATACCAGGGTCGCGAGAAGAGCATCATCGTCGTGGTGATGAGTACCACAGAAGCCAGAGGATCTGGCTTCACGGCAAATAGAAACCGACTCAACGTATTGCTCTCCCGTCACAAGAGCGGTCTCGTTATCTTCGGAGACATCAACGTCGTGGAGCCATTGATTAGTGCCAAAAGCGAGGGAGAAGAGGGAAAGAGCAAGGGCAAGGGAAAGGGCAAGAAGGTGAAGGGGAAGGCTGTTGTCACCCGCGGGTATGGCAACAAAGGAGTTTGGTTCAAGGCTGGCATGCTGAAGAGTGTCCACGCCAATCTTGTTAAAGAGGGCAGGGTGGCTACAGTGGTTTGGAAGAAAAGAATAGTTTAATATATCACCAACGTTATAAAGTATGCCAGTTTCTTCAGTAATTGTCTTTGAAATTCTCCAATCTCCTTCCCTCTCCTTCTACTTTCTTACACTTTCTTGTACTTCCTCCCCTTTCTTTTCTTGTTCTCATCATCTCGGTTTCCCGACGAAACCATCAGCCGTGTCGTCTCGGTTTTATTGTCGCACTTAATAAACACCACCAACTGGTCTCTGATCCTAACGGCCCCGTCCCGTCGTCTCCTCACCCTCGTTTACAACCCGCGCTTGAGAATGTCTACGGTACTTACCTGTCCCATCTCCAAGGCGTCTGCCAAGCAGAGGGCCGGTCGTGCTGGGCGAACCCAACCCGCAATCTGCTTCCGCTTGTACACTGAGCAAACTCACGACACATGCTTCATTACTTCTGCCCCTCCCCAAATCCTTCTTTTGAAGGTAATGGGCTTCAAATCAGTCGGAACCTTCGACTTCCTTGATCCACCATATCCAGAGGTGACCTGAATCCTTCTCTTGAAGGTAATAAGCTCCTCACGCCTATAATCCTTCTCTTGAAAGTAATGGGTTTCGATCCTCTTGGCACCCGCCTCATCCGAAGTCTTTCTCTTCAGATACCTATGTACCCGCTTCAGGTTCAGGGTTATTGTGTTGCCTAAGGCAGTCAGGAATTCTAGTCGCTTCCACTCTCATTCTACTTTCTCTCTCTTCTCTTTTCTTCGTCTGCTACTTCTCATTCCACAGCGCCCTTTGCATTTGCGTCTGTGTTGCTGGGTCAATAGCCAAGGTGTTATTGTGCACCAAGGCATTCCCTCGATGTAAGAATCCCACCATCTCAGAGGCTATGTGCTTCTTCTTGTGATTCCAGAGACTCTAACATAGAGCAGGGAATATCCTGACAATAAACGCATAATTAACACCAAAGGCCTCATCGCAGTACGATTATCCGTCCACCCCAAATAGCTCAATGCCTTTAGGGGGCCAATTAACACCAAAGGCCGCATCGCAGCACGACTGTCCGTCCACCCCAAATGGCCCAATGCCCTTTGGGAGGATATAAGAAGAGCCAGTTGTTATCAAGAAGGATGAAGATGAGACTGAATGAGGGAGCAACACCGAGGGCGGTCTTCAACTCGGCCTTCTTAGGTAGGGCTCCTCGTTAAGCTTCCAACATTGTTCTATGGCAGTGGATGCCACGCTGCGCATCGATGCGGTTCAATGGCCATTACCTTCTATGCGCTGTTCTGCACATTCAACAATAAGCGATTATCGGAGGCTAGGAATCTCCACCGGCTTCCCTCAAGCTATTCTATCACAGTAGAATGATTTCCAACCACAAAGAAGAAGCCACATACCTCCCGAGTATATCGCACTTACCTACCACATTGAGTGCAGGCAGTAAGTAAGAGAGCTATACACTTACACAGCAGCTGCTAAAAAAAATAGAGGGGGGAGGGAGATTCCCAAATACCAAGAAATCGACCAACCTCCTAACTCATCGCCATCGAAGGTCGTACCGGTCCCCACCCCATCTATACCCAAATGAATTGTTTTGCAATTCTTTCCTTCAACCAAACTCATTCTTGATTCCATTGCCCTTTTTCATACTTCGGGGGCTTATTTAAATCGCCGCAGAAATCTGCTGTCATCCAAAAGAACAAGTGGGCAGCCTGTGGTCACACCCTATCTCCTCCACGTGCACCACTTTTCTCCTGTGCTCAGGCACTCCTCACTTTTCCTTCACCCACCTTACCTCAATTTCTAACCACATCTCGCAGCCTCGGTTTGGGGACCCTTAGTATATTCTAACCTCGCTCCTATTTCTGGAACAAAAACCCTCAGCAACCCGCCAGACGATATGGACGATCTTCAGCGGAACCAGACAATGGTACAGCAAGCAGAGAGTCTAGAGGACTGGGAGGTCAATGCTCTACATAACCACGAACTTCATTCTACCAGATATTTTCAGCTACTCGAGTCACGCCGAAGGCTTCCCATCTTCTCAAGACGCCAGGAGTTCTTAGACATATATCATAATTCGCCGGTTATCTGCTTCCTCTCGAGTACTCCAGCTATCTTTCTCCTTAAGTTATACCGAAGGCTTCCTATCTCCTTAAGATACCAGGAGTTCTTAACCATCTATTATAATTTACTAGCTATCTTACTCCTCAAATTATACCGAAGGCTTCCTATCTCCTTAAAATACCAGGAGTTCTTAGATATATATCATAATTCACTGGTTATCTGCTTCCTCTCAAGTACTCCAGCCGTCTCGCTCCTTAAGTCACACCGAAGGCTTCCTATCTCCTTAAGACGCCAGGAGTTCTTGAACATCTATCATGATTCGCTGGCCGTCTCTAGCACGCAGCATCCCATATTCTCGCGACCCCCTACAGCACTCAGCAGCTGATCTTTTCACGGCCATCTCAGCAAGATTCACGGCCGACATCGCCTACCAGAGGCTCGTCTGCCCATCATCAGATCACACCAGCCAACTAAATGCTCTAGGTTGGGGGAGGGGGGGGAGAGATCTTCTCATGGCTCTGTCCAGCATGATTCGCGGCCGATATCGCCCATCAGAGGTTCACTTGCCCGCTGTCTGACCACATCAGCCAGCTGAACGCCCTGGCCAGGGGATTATCGCCCACCATAGGTTCACCTGCCCACTGCCGACCACATCAGCCAGCTGAACGCTCTGGGTGGAAAGAGGGGAGAGGGGTGGTAGGTGGCTCCTTGCCGCCGCTGTCGTCATCATCTGTGCTGAGGACCTTGATGCCGTTGACGAACTCGCCATGAAGACCGAGAACCGACTACCTATCAACCAGTGGTGCTTCAACGCCTTTCTGAATCGCAAAATCTCGAGCTCCACTAAGCTGGCCAAGAAACCGAAATAACGAGGAAAAAGAAGGGTAGAAAAGGAAAAGGAAAAAGATATAGGCCAGAGAATATAATAAGTCTCCGATAGAAATATGTATAACATGCATCGTGCAAAGCCCCTTAGTGGGTATGACCAGTTCCTTTTCTGTGATATCATTCGAGCGCATGGCCGTTCTTACACTGCTGCAACCTCGAAGTTGAGCAAATGCTGGAAGTGTGCCAAGTGTGGCTTGACAGCGACTCACCGAGAAAAAGGCTGTTATGCCTCTCATGACACCGCACGCACACACGCACACCACAGAGTCATGCTTCTTGGCACGAAGCAGGATGCGCCATGGGTCAATATTCCGGCACATTGGTCTGCAGCACTGGCGTGTTCTAGCGGTTGGAGGTGGCATCACGGGCTAGGATCTGGTTGCGCCGTGTAGAAATTGGTCATGCTTAGTTTTGCCAAGTTTTTGAACATTGCTCCGATCCTGGCCCAGCCCAGAAGTCTCATATCGCATTCCGTAATCTTTAGTACATATAACTTCCCAGCAAGGTGTGAAGACCTGTATACCCGCAAAGGACTTTGATGCGAGCATCTCTATGTTCAGCTAGCGTTTGTAGCAGACAGTCTGTCCAACTTGCCGAGAAGATGATTGCTTATTATTACTCATTTTCATGTAGCGTTTGTCACCGCCGCAAATTATATTCATTGATTTCTTAACCCGGGCAACTCTAGGATTTGCTGCTGCTGAGATAATATTAGGCCTTGGTTCCGAAGGCTAGCTACCCATTTGGATGAGCCCTTTCTTATCAGTCTAAAATTTAGTGACGGTCTTGGTCTCGCCAGATTCCTCGATATCAGAGGGGTTATTTCCGTCCTCAGGAACACATTCAGAGCCATGATTACTGTAATCTTCACTCTTATTATGAAAAGTTTCCTCTGTATGATGAGATGAAGGGGTTTCGTTAAAGATAGTAGAGTTCTTTTGGATAATATGCTCCTTCTTGGAGAGCTTTTAGGTGTACGCAGACTTTTACTAATTGCCGTCAGCTAATTGATTGTGATTTTTTGGCTCTGGGACGTAGAGTCTTTTTGATGAAACCGCATTGTCGGCTCGCTTGTAAGGGCCATTGAAGCCATGTTTGAGGGCCTCTGCGACATATTTCGGCAGGCTGGAGACGGCCGCATCTGCCGAAAAGTTGGTTCAGGATCTGCCAATGAATAATGTGCAGGTCTTGTCTTACGTGAATCTCATAGCACGAGAAGAAGCATGCTTGTGGCTTTGATGGATGCGGCATGGCGTTCACGTATCGTTGACCTTGAACGGCACCAAGTAGTCCATGGACCCAGAGAAATGATTATCCCATGTGATGAATGCGTGATAATGTTCAATTCCAAGGATGGATTAGATGGGCATAAGAGGTTTATCCATGATGGCCCTTGGGCTGCGTTAAGACTCGTGGGTCTAGAGGTGGAACTGATTGGGATAATCTAGCAATGGAAGAATACCTGTGATATAGTTTTGTGAAATACCTCTGTGAAAACAGATACCTCTTGTCGTGTATCAATCAAGTATTTATAGAAATATAGGAGAAAATTGACATGTTCTGATGTACGTTTCTAAATCAATAGGTCGGTAACTCAGTGAACTGTATTCTTGGTCTTACCCACTGAAGTTAGCAGGACTACTGGAACCCGCCAGGCAGAGCAGCTCCAGAGCTAGAAATTCTCTACCCCATATTTTTTTCAAAGTTCATCAACACGTTGAAGTCGGAAGCAAGCGCAAGACCCAAAGCATTCAATTGAGATCGAGCCAAAGGCTAGATAGATATCGCATCTGAGTTATGGGCGATCGCGCCAGCGCCTCGCGAATGCGCGCTCTGGGCATCACCCAATCGACCACACCTCTTGCGTCTGCCTGGACTGGCGACCTTCGCGTTCGGTATGTCCCTGCCTCATCAATGAAGCGTGATCTCGAGATCTGACACAATCTAGGTTCACTGATTTTCAAGTGAATGAAATTTCCGAGGATGGATCTGTGCTTCATCTGAGCAAGATTGGGTTGGGCGAGGAGACGTCGGTATGTGAGATTTTGCCATTGGCAACAAACCCGAGTCCTGTTTCGTACATGGCAACTGACAGTGATAATTCACATGGACTCAGTCAAACCAGACTGCTGCAAACCCACCTGCCAAGGAGGAGGTAAAGGAAGAAGCAAAGGCGCAGGAAGAAAAGCCAGCCCAGGACTCTGAGAAGCCCAAGGCAGAGACCGTCCCAGAGATATCCGCAGAAGATGTCGCGATCCTGTCCTCCCTGGCAGGCGAGCAATTCGCCAAGGACGTGGTGGAAATGTTCCAAAACGCCAACGACGAGGCCTTCCAGAAGAAGACGGCCACGGCCGAGCCCACGGACGACCGCTCAAAGCGCGGCCAGATCCACCAGGAGGTCCGCCGCATCTTCAACTCCAGGATAGACACCAACACCGACGCCTCCGGCGCCATCGTCGCCAGCATCCCCAAGAGGGGGGCCAAGAGGCGCGCCAGGGGCGGGCGCAACAACAACGCCGGCAATGGCCCGCGCGAGGAGAAGCCCTCGGGCGACTACCTCCACTTCACGCTCTACAAGGAGAACAGGGACACGCTGGACGCGGTCAACCAGATCTCGCGCATGCTGCGGGTGAAGCCGCAGGCGATAGGGTACGCGGGTACGAAGGACCGCAGGGCCTCGACCGCGCAGAGGTGCTCCGTGCGGCACATGCGCCAGAGAGCGCTGGCCGGGATCAACGGGAAGCTGCGCGGCGTGGAGACGGGCGACTACGAGTACAAGCAGCGCCCGATCCATCTCGGCGAGCTCCGGGGGAACGAGTTCGCCATCACGATCAAGAACTGCACCATGGCGGGTGAGGCGCCGGGCACGCCTATCGCCGAGAGGCTGGAGAACATGAGGGGGAACATCGAGCCGGCGATGGACCACCTGATCAAGCACGGCTGGATCAACTACTTTGGGCATCAGAGATTTGGCACTCACGAGATCGGTACCCATGAAATTGGTAAGCTGATCTTGGGAGAAAAGTACCAGGAAGCTGTCGATTCGTTGCTTTCCTACAACCCAGAGATCGCCGACAAAGCGGAGAAGGGTGAGCTCCCCGAGGAGGCATCCAAGAGAGACGAGTACCTACGTCACCAGGCCTGCATGCTCTTCAGGACTGGAAAAGACTACGATCGCGCCGAGAAGATCATTCCTAGGAGATTTGGTGCCGAGACTAGTGTCCTCCGTCACCTCAACAGATCCGGCATCCAGTCTCGAAAAGACGTGGTCGGCGCACTCATTCACATCACTCGAGGCCTAAGGACCATGTATCTCCACGCCTACCAGTCTCACGTCTGGAACCACGTTGCGAGCAGGCGGTGGGAGTTGTATGGTGAGAAAGTCGTCAAAGGCGACCTGATCATCGTCGAAGCCGAGCAGAAGCCTCTGATTAGTGGCCAGGACGACGACGGCGATGACATTGTCAACGTGATTGACGATGAAGACGGCGACAACACGCGAGCCCGCGCGCTCACGGAGGAGGAAGCAGCCAGCGGACGATACACGATCCGGGATATCGTCCTGCCCTCGCCGGGCTACGAGGTCATCTACCCAGACAACGAGATTGGCGCCTTTTACGCCGAATTCATGGGCAGGGAGGAGAACGGCAAGCTCGACCCGCATCAGATGCGCCGCATGCGCCGCGAGTGGAGTCTCCCAGGGCGGTACCGCAAGCTGATGAACGGGTTCCTCGCACAGCCTTCCTTTGAGGTGAAGGCATACGCAGACGACATGGAGCAGATGCATCCCACTGACCTTGACCTCCTCCGATCGAAGAAAGTGCCCAACGAGAATGGGAAGCGCCATCGCGATGACCAAGACGATGGGCCGGCTTCCAAGAAGCAAAAGGATGATTCGAAGGATGCTTCGGAGAATGGAGCAGAAGCCGGCGCCGAGGATATCACCATGGAAGACCCAAGCGAGGAGAAGCCTGCGGTCCAAGAACAGGCACAAGATAAAATTGCCGTTGTCGTCAAGTTTCAACTAGGAAGCAGTGCCTATGCTACAGTCACCCTGAGAGAACTGATGGGGGATCCTGCCGAGGAGACGAATTGAAACTTGAACAGTGGCAAGTGTGATGGGGAAAATTTCAATAAGAGCCGACAACTAGGTAGTCTCCAAGTAGTCTAAAAGTTAAACACGTATTTATACAAACAGCCATCTTCGAATAGATTCTTCTCGATCCCTTCTGCTTCTTTTCATATTCTTTTATTTGGTTTATGAGAAAGATAATCGTCACTCAAACTAGTGGGGATATAGAAAATAAAATTTCAATGAATGAAGCCGTACCAATTACTCCATGACGATGATAATATATGTGAATGTTAAAATAATGATTCCGTAGTCCATTTCTCATCCTTCAAGATAGTCATCTTGATATGCGGGTTGCCGGGGTTCTAAAATCCAAGTGTAGTCGGGGTGAATCTCTTAATAGGCAGGTCATTGTTGCCTTCATCCCAATTGGACGCATCGGTAGTGATTTTGTGTGTGATAGTATAGGTAAGGGTTTGTGAGTGGTATCCAAGATTAGGATTGAGCAGCATTGACTGCCTTCTCATCCCAGCCCCAGACGAAGGAAAGGTATTTGACCATATTTACACGCTTGGATTTCATCTCTACCATCCAAGGGTGGTCCATCATCTTCCAAGGGCTGGCTCGGCGGCTTGTATTCTTTTCTAGGCTAGGGTTCATGTTAGTCTATTGTCTCAGATGGCAACGGGGATTCATGCTACATACCAGCACTGAATGAAATATTTGAAGTTGTCACTCCAGTAGACATCCATTTCGGGCTCATCCTTTAGTTGGGGAACTGGCTGACGCACGATGTATGTGAGCAGGTCAATCACACCAGCCTTCGGCTGAGCATCGGTGCCATCAGCGGGGAAGGGGAACCGATGCTGAGCGACCTCGAGGAGGGTCACGCCAGTGGACCAGACATCAGAGGTAATGGTATATGATTGTCCGGTGATTCGCTCGGGGGCCATGTAAGCGTTGGTCCCAATGAAGGTGTTGGCCTCGCCTTTGGTACCGAAGTCGCCAGACACGCCAAAGTCGCAGAGCTTGACGGCTCCGTTTCGGCACAAGAGGATGTTTGAAGGCTTGATGTCACGGTGAATGATGCGCCTCTGGGCAAGATAGGTGAGGCCGGCCATGACACCCTCGGCAATCTTACCAAGGACCTTCTCACCCGTCCTACCACCGAGTCGCTTGACCTCTTTGTAGATGCTGTCGAGAGAGCCACCTTCGCAGAATTCCATGGCAATGGAAATGGTGGCAGTCGAAGGATCGCCAAAGACGCCGTAGTACCGGCAAATATGATCGGATGCACAGCCCTTGTTGAAACCAATTTCTCGGACAATCTGCTTCTTAGCGTCTGGATCCGGATTGGTGGTAATAATCTGAATCGAGTTGTTAGAAATGTACTTCAAGCATCACAATGGAGAGACAAAGGCTCACTTTGAGTGCAAAGAGGGTCTTCCCGCCCTTGAGCCGAGCTTTGGTGACGGCACCTCCTGCGCCCTCACCCAGGTTACCAATCTCCTCGATTCGCTTCTCGAGGCCAGCGATGCGCCAACCCTCATCATCCAAATCCTCCACATCTCCAGTCCTGGCCTTCTCGAGGCTCAATTTGTCGAATGCTTCCAGACCCTGAAGGCTGCCATCTCTTTCCATGGGCACACCACCTTCGCTTATCTCTGATTCGGCGGCGGAAATAGGGTCCGGTGTGCCATGTGCCTTTGCAGGCACAATTCCCCACTGTGAGGCAAAGGAAAGAGCTGAAATCCCTGAGCCGGCAGATGTTGGGTTGCTTGTGGAAGGCCCGAAGCTCCCTGTCCTGGAGTGATCAGCACTGCTTTCACTCCCGCCAGCCGACTGTCCAGGCTGCACCCCGCCAAAGGCTCTTGGAGGTTGTTCCTGAGGTACCCCCGAGCCCCCCATAGGTGTGGCGAGTGAAAGCTTTGGCAAGCCTCTTGAGCCAAGGCCAGGGTTGTTCCCAACTGCCTTGGCGTTTGGAGACGGGGGGATGGCCAACCCTAGTCTTGGCGGACGACCCCCGCCGGGGCGACCGACGGCAGGACGAAGCATTGGAGGTGCAGCAGAGAGCATGGGAATGGCGCCTCCAGATGTAGGGGCATTCTGCTGTGGTGATCCCGTTAGAACAAAGAGCTTTGTTGACGTCTGGGAGTGTACGAGTAGATACATACCTGAGGTATTTGTGAGTCTGCCATTTTTTTCGTTTGCGTAAAATGATTATGTGAGATGTAATGAATATATCCTTGCGATCGAATGGATGGAGGCGCGATAATGCAAAACAGGCTGATCCAGGATACGACAAAAACAGTGACAGTCGAGCGTTTTCCAAAAAGAGAGGAATAAAAAAACAATAAGCAAACAAATGTTTATGAAGAATGCCGTAGGTTATGGACAAATGAGATGGCGGATATTTGCTGGTCTGCAAGTGGTTGAAGCACCCATCGGTGGGTGTCGTGTGCTCGAACCTATCAAAGGCTGCCTTCCGCAGGCGTCACGCTCCTCCTACGGTAGCTGAGCCGCCTGACAAAGGAAGGAGTAGGTAGAAGGTGACAGAAGGTAGTCGAGGATTGACTTGTGCTGTTTGAAGCTGCTGGGGAGCTTGAGTGAGGCAAGTTGTAGTCGGGACTTGGGCCGAGAGAGGAGGAGGCGCAGGCGAGGAGTAGCGAGTGGACGGTATTGTAGAGTCGAGCGAACGAGGTTCGGATATTAGGAGAGTCGCTAGGTTCTAAGGAATAAAGAGGAACAAGACCCGGATAAAAACAATACACAGAAGTGCGATGCGACCTGCGGACAGAAATGGGTGAGCCTTTGTGTGGTCGAGCCAGGTCATACAGAGAGGAAGAGGAAAACGGGATAACGGCGCAGTGTGGTCTAGATACTTAAGATCTGCAGGACCCAGTGCGAGGAGGAGACCCGGAAAAACACAGGGACCATTGACGCACCTAGGTTGTGATGGCCCAACACCAGCAAAGTGTTGCAGCAAACGGGACGCTGACGAGAGCTTCGGAGGGATGGCCTGGAGTGGTGTGGTTAGGTAGGTGCGGATGCGAGCTGCTTTCAAGTTGATGTGGGGGAAATAGACGGTACTTGAGGGGTCTGGTGTGGATACGGAGGACTAGTAAAGTCCTATGGACTCATATAGTGGACTGTAGCCAATTGGCGCCGTACTTTAGGTACTTACAAGGCCACCCACATCCTGGCCGTTAACTCACCAAACGCTGGTCATTGTACCTGCTCACCCTCCGACCGCTGGGGGAACGTCGGCAGGCAGGTTTTAGAGCATCTGGTGCTGCTGACTCACATATGTATGGCTGTGTACTGAAGCGCCCCTGCGGTTTCCTTGACCTGGAATCGTCTTTCTGGTACGGGCAGGCAGGCGTGGAGTGTTGGGTACAAGAGCCCCTCTCTTGTTTCACGCTGGCGCTCAATTTTTCTCTTGTTTTCTTTTTCCTCTTGATGCTAGTATCCTGACCTGACCACCCATATGGACCTCTAGGGAGGCTCAAACCCGATCATTACAGGCGCACCAAATACCTGGCTGCATATTACTTGCGTGGTACCAGCGGCATGTGCAGAGTCTGCTCTGACTGTAAGCGCCTAGACCCTCCTTCTGGGGGGCAGCCCCTTGTGCCATGCCGATCGGTGCCCAATCACGTTCCCCCCCGGCCATGTTGGTTGTGCGCTCTGTGTTGTCTTCGCATCCTGTGCCGTTCATAGCAGCGAACCATCGCACCCTGCTTGCTTTGACGCCCAGATATGCAAATGAAGGGGCCGAGGTGGCTTGTTTCGGCCTCCTCAGACCACTATAACGCGAGTCGGTCGTTGTTTTGATCTCCAGATTCCAAGGAAGACGCCTGTGACCAACGTCGGTTTTAACATCGTGTTGAGAGACACGAGACACTATGCATCCAGGCGGCTCAGAGTGCAATTGAAGCATTCCCAGCGTCATGCCCGCTGAAACAAGGACTCTTATGCCGCAGCCCCAAGGACAAAGGGCAGCAGCGGCAACAAAACATGATTACATCACTGTGCGAAGCTCACCCGCCGGCAGCCCGTCTGATGAATCCTGGCCATATTCTTACCATTCGGATGTGTGGACCAAAGTTCATTTCCTCCCTCTCTGATCGGTCCCGCCGATCTGAATCACCTTTGTGCTGCCAGGTCTGTCGCTGTAGTCGTCACCTAGGCCCGACACGAACACGGGACAGACGTGTACATAGGAGTACCTCGTGTAATTGACGGTTCCCGCTCGCTAGTACGTCGCAGTCAATCAGGTGGTACACGCTGGCCCGCGTCGGGGATCATCAAGTGCAAAGCCGATGACATCTGACTGGCTCGAGAGGCACTCTCCAAGCGCGCGTCTAAAAATACCCCAGATAGTTGCAGCGCCCAGTAGAGTAGCATCATCCATCATTGCGCTGCTGCGGGATGATGGGCCTGCTAGTACAATTTTGATATCCCATTTGGTAATTCTGGTAAGAGTTGCAGCGGTGGATGACCGTTTACAGATAGACAGCTGTGGGAGTGCGATCCATTGTTCTCAATCGGAAGGTGAGCATCATGTAGGCAGGACTTTGGTGATGGTGGATGACTTCCACGATAAGCGTTATCTAATCAGTTTGACCCACCTCGACCTCGTTATCAGAACTTTTTTTTTCCTCGATGGATGATTGCTAGACCAAAGAGTTTGGTTTCATTGGGATCAAGCTTAGGATCAAGCTTACGACCAATATTCTTAATTCGGTTCTTCTCATCCAATGCCTTCGATTGGAGCTACAGAAGTTCCGTCAGACTCCTCATCTTCTGGGGAGTCTGACTACCTTGACAATGGCGATTCTCGAAAACGGCGCCGAACAATCGACGACGAGCCCGCTGAGACCGCTTTCGACGACGAAGATGACGATGATGAACAAGAGCTGACGAATTTTCTTCCCACAATTAAGGCACCATCGCGAGTAAAATCATCTGCTGCAAATGGTACCTTAATGAACTCAAAGGAACCGAAACTGTCGCGACCCCAGCAACACCAGCAACCCATCCTCGCGCCAACTGATCCCAATGTCACATTCTCCGGCATCCAGGTCAAGCCCTGGCTTGTCCAGTCGCTCCAGAACATGGCAATCAGACGGCCAACTGGAATTCAGAAGGGCTGCATCCCAGAAATATTGAAAGGCAGGGATTGCATTGGAGGTAGCCGAACAGGTTCCGGAAAGACTGTTGCCTTTGCAGTGCCCATTCTGCAGAAGTGGGCAGAGGACCCGACGGCTATCTACGCCGTTGTACTGACACCTACGCGAGAGCTCGCGCTCCAGATCTACGAACAGTTCAAGGCCATATCTGCACCACAAAGTCTCAAGGCCATCCTGGTGACCGGTGGAGCAGATATGCGAGCTCAGGCGATTGCCCTTGGCCAGAGGCCGCATATCGTCATTGCCACCCCAGGTCGACTGGCTGATCACATTCGAACATCGGGCGAAGATACAATATGTGGACTTAGAAGGGTTCGCTATGTCGTTCTAGACGAAGCCGATAGACTGCTCCATGCAGTCGGGCCGGGAAGCATGTTGCCAGACGTGGAAGAGTGCCTGTCAGTTCTGCCCCCGGCCACCGAGAGACAGACCCTTCTATTCACTGCCACCATCACGCCGGAAGTAAGAGCGCTCAAGGACATGCCACAGAAGCCCGGCAAGCAGCCCGTGTTTGTCTGCGAGGTTGACACTCAGATGCTTGCGATCCCTGCCACGCTCAAACAGATGCACGTCCAGATCCCAGTTACGCACAAGGAACACTACCTCCACGTCTTTCTGCTCACCGAAGCCAACGCCGAGAAGACGGTCATCATCTTCTGCAACCGAACATCGACCGCCGACTACCTGCATCACCTTCTGCGGCTGCTCGAGCACCGCGTCACCTCGCTCCACTCAAAGCTCCCCCAGCGGCAGCGTATCGACAACCTGGCTCGATTCCGAGCCTCGGCGGCTCGGATCCTGGTCGCCACGGATGTGGCGGCTCGCGGTCTGGATATCCCCGAGGTCAGTCTTGTGATCAACTACGACATCCCGCGAGACCCAGATGACTATATCCACCGTGTGGGTCGTACCGCCCGTGCTGGCCGGAAGGGTGAGGCGGTCACATTTGTGGGCCAGCGGGACGTGGAGCTCGTCCTCGCTATTGAGAAGCGAGTCGGGAGGGACATGGATGCTTGGAGTGAGGAGGGAGTCAACCTCGAGACCCGCGTGCTCCGGGACGCCCTCAAGGTGGTGAGCGAGACGAAGAGAGAGGCCCTTTTGGAGATCGAGGAGGGGAGGGAGGTCGGTGGCAAGCGGAAGCGATCAAAGCTCAAGTTCCGAGCCAACTAGTTCGAGTCTATTCGCATCTATGTAGCTTGGCTTACAGCTCAATGAATCATTGATACCCCCTCTATCCCCCCCTCTATTTGATTGACTTGGTTGTGCATATTTATTGCTACAAGTATTGGAGCCTGAGAGAGCAAAATCAATTGAAATGATAGCATATTATGAGATCCTATATCGGTGCTCGTGTGAAGATGGAGTCAGTCATGTACCAATATGTCCTCTTCCTCATTCAGTTGATCTTTACTGGAGACACACGCCTGCCCGAATTCTGGTGGCATATGGGAAGAATGTGAAACAGTAATGAGATAGTCGTGTGATTGCCTATAGCTGAACAAAACTAAACTTTATGAAAATGTGAGAGTAAGTGCTGTTATGCAACTGACACGGCTGGAGTCTAATCCTAGCTGAGTGGCTGAATAGTTTTACCTCCGATCAGTCAGACGGCTGTCGATCAATCAGGCGGATTTCCCGGCAAACAATGTACGAAGTCAACGTCGGGGCGCGAACCTTCTATTAAGCTTTCGGGATGGCCCTTGGCTTTTTCTCCCGCTCTTTATTGTTTTCTTACATCACAGCTGCCCTGTGTTAAAGATGGCCAAGTCGCATGTTGCACGGTAAATCTTTCGTTCTAGCAGTTTGGGTTAACCCAACTTTTCTTCTTTCTTACCTTACACATAGCTCTAGCCCTGCATTTCAGCTGGCAGGGACCTAAACTGTATTGGTGTAGCTGTTTGCCTAATAGACGGCTAGCGATCCAACCGCAATATTGTGCACCTGGGTGGTGCGCCTCTCCGGAGGCTGAGTGGTGAACGGCCGTGGTGGCCCACCAGATCAGCGAGATCCTGTCTCGGATTGAACCAGGTTATCTCGTCTCACGGACCACTGGCACGGTTCTTTGGGAAACATATAACACAAAATTGCCCAGCTCACCCCCGCCATTTGATTAGATACATTGGCTGTAGATCTGGGAAAAGCCTTGTTCAATGGCTAGGGCTAGACCGCACGCTATTCGGAAACTAATGTCGCCAAGATCACCAGTGCGTAGCTGAACATTTCACTCTACGAACCAAAACAGCTAAGAATGTCTTACCTTTCCAATCGCCACTCAGAAATGGAATTGAGCATACCATATGCCGGAGGAGGAGCCCTTGTCTCCTTGCCGCTCGTAGAGCTCCTGAACTGATACGCCGCGGCAGGACTAGGGGCGGCAGGCCTCTTGTCTTCACTTATTCGGCTGTTGGGCTGGCGCACACACCCGGAGGGCCATTTCATAAGACCACGGATACATGTAGTTCAGCTTTGCTAGCTGATAAATAAGAACAGGGGATTCGCTCCTCTATCCCTGGGCTAGACTACTGCACCTCTTCTCCATCTTGACGTCCTGAAAACACATACCTTTGCCTTCTATACGTGGAAGACATCCTAGCGAAGATGGCAGGCGTGCCTCAGATGGTATCTAAGAGACTAATTCTCTGCTGTGACGGCACTTGGATGAACAGCGATAATGGGTACGAGGAGCCTGGTTGGTTTGAATCCAAGGGCACGTTGCAAGTGCCCTCCAATGTGACCCGTATCTCGAGGTGTTTCAAGAGACGTTGCAGTGATGGCAAGCTCCAGGTCATCAGCTATGAGTCCGGCGTTGGCACTGGCAGCAATGGCATGGATAGCTTGATGGGAGGAGCTTTCGGGCTCGGGCTCTCAGAAGTGAGTTCTCTCAATCTCAAAGTACGTGTGGGGTTTCCTTTCGGCTGACGTATGCTTTCTGCTTGTAGCGAGTGCGTGAAACGTACTCCTACCTCTGTTCCAACTACATGGACGGCGATGAGATCGTCCTGATTGGGTACTCTCGTGGTGCCTTCACCGCCCGCTCTGTGGCTGGTATGGTCGGTAATATAGGTTTACTCACCCGTGAAGGTGTCGAGTTCTTCTACTGCATCTTCAAGGACATGCAGAACTGGCAGAATCCTGATTACAAGGACCCGTTCCCTAACCAGCCCTTCTCCAATAAGCCCAAGGGACCACATGCCGCAGCCGAGTACCGTTCGAGGCTCGAGAAGATGGGCTTCACGAGGGTTAAGCAAGCCAGTGGCGACTTGATTAAGATCAAAGCCATTGGCGTCTGGGACACGGTTGGTAGCCTCGGTATCCCAGATGTTGCTTGGCTCAACAAGATGGGTATTCGTGCCGCAAACAAGGAATAAGTCTCACCTTTTTCACAATCAATCTGATGACTGGTGCTGACTTTCCCAGCACATATATGTGGCATGACACTTCTCTGTCGGACCGCATTGAGAACGCCTTCCAAGCACTTGCCCTCGACGAGACTCGCCCTCCATTCAGTCCGGCAGTCTGGGAAAGACGCGGAGAAGACCAGCAGACAAACTTGAAACAAGTCTGGTTCCCAGGCAATCATGCCAACGTTGGCGGTGGATGGGAAGACCAGGGTGCGGCAAATTGCACTCTAGCGTGTAAGTCCTGTTCATAATTGAAGGGAATATTCTGAGATTTGGGTGCTAATGCCAAACTCTAGGGATGATGGATCAACTCGCCTCGGTTGGTGTCGAGTTTGACGAAACGAGCATAGATCGGTATTTCCAACAAACTTCTGAATACTACCAGACACTCGGGGCCAAGGAGCAGGGCAATCGAGGCAAGGCTGGCTTGAAATGGGCAGTAGGTCCAATCTATGACACAAACTCACCTCTGCGTCCATGGGGTCTTGGACAAATCAGTAAGAAGGTCAGCCTGCTTTATTGGTTCTCCGGACAGATCACAAGGTCACCGGGATTGTACCATGAGCATGACCCTGAGACGGAAGAACGGAAGGCGAGGTTTCTTCAAGACACCAATGAGCGCATCCATAGTTCAGTGCGCATTCGGCTGGCCTGCAAGGGACTTGATCTGAATGATAAAAGCGTTTGGGTTTGCCCAGCCCTTAGCAAGTGGCGTCTCAAGCGAGGTGAGCCTGACTCAAATTCTGTAACCAAACAGACACACTGGGTTTGGGAGTTTGCTGGTGGCGAGAAGGAGGCAAATCCTGACAAGAAACAACGTGTCATGGCAGAGGAGCCTCTGGGGCCTTACGAACAACGGCTTTTGGGCCTCGCTGCCGGAACACCCAATGTTTGGGAATATGCCGAGAAGAATGCTGGAACTCAATGATGGTTTTTGTTAGCCGGAGAGGTGATTTAATGTGTCGATAGGTTGAAACACAGTCTGGACAATTCATATGTTAGTCGCTGGTAATTGTTGAGCTGGTTGCGTCGTAAATTTTGTTTTTAAAGCTGTATGTGCTAGAAGCCTTCTGAGTAGTTCGGCCGAGTGTTAAGAGGAAGCATGTGCGATGATATCCAAATGCAAACTTAATAGTACTTGGTATTGTCTTGTATCTGCATGGTTTCAATTTGGTGGATGATGATCTCCCTGTTGGGTTGGTTTAGGGGGGTCACGTGCCATGTTCGGCGGGTAATAGTGGAAAATGAAGCTCACTGCAGGCTGCCACCTACAAGGACCAGCCTTCAATGATTCAAGAAAAAAATCCATCAACTACAGCTCGAAAACCTGCTTTTTTTATACCCGTTCTCTTTAAATGCGAAAGCATAACTGAAACTCGGAGTGTTGCTAGTTCTAACCATCGTTGTGCCAAAGACGAGAACTTTTCGGCAACGACACACCAGCCACCATCATGAGCGAGAGCAACCCAGACCTCCCGCGTTTCGCGGCTGAGTATGCAGAGAAAGAAATCGACCTATTCGATTTACTTGGTGTAGATGCCCTCGCATCAAAGAAGGACATCCACCGTACCTGGAGAAAACGCACTCTCAAACTGCATCCCGACCAGGCTAAAGACAACTTCGATGCCGAAAAATGGGAGCTCTTTGAGCGGGCGCGTGACGTGCTGTCCGACGCCAACGCTCGTGCTATCTATGAGAGCTCCATGAAGGCCAAGCTTCTCCGGAAGCAGGAGCGCGATGCCATGGACCAGGAGCGCAAGAAGTTCGCTGATGAGCTGGAAGCGGCAGAGAATGCGCACCGCGTGAAGCAGCAGGCCCAGGACCAGCAAGATCGCGAGACTCTTCAGAAAGAAAGAGAGAGGCTTGCGGAGGCGCAGCGTATGCGTGATGAGGAGCGGAAACGACAGGCTGAGGCTGAGCAAACGATGGATGACTTGGCTGAAGCGAAGAGAAGGATCAAAGAGAGGAAAGAGGAGAGAGCAAGAAAGAAGCAAGCCAAGGAGTCCATGAAGGCGTCTGGTCAACCAAAGGGCCCAGCAAACGGGGTTGTTCTTGTACCGGGCGATTACGTGGTTGAAACTGGGACGACTACAAAGCAGTACTGGGAGCTCGTCTGTGACAAACTTCGAGCTGTCCAGGCAGTGAAAAACATCAACCAAGAAGATGCGGGCTCAGATCAGTCTAGAAAGGCTGAGCTGCAGGTACAGGAGATACGGCGGCAAATTGCCGAGGCGGAGACGAAATATCGACAGGAAGCGACAGCTGTGAAATGATTCCCCTGCTTGCGCGTTTTGCAAACTCAAACGAATAACGCAGCATGGCTATATCATCATCCTGCCAAAACCATTCAGAATCAATGTCCTCTTCTTCAGGGTTTGGCAGTCGGTTGAGCTTCATTTACATCAGCATCAAGCCCCGGATGATAAGGCGACAAAAGGCATACAGCCCCGGATTGTACCTCTACTTCCCAGCGAAATAGGTCGCATGGTCCCGTTCTTGCTCAAATCAACAATGCATTCCAGCAACGGAGGTTCATCTAGATGGGGAGAAAGAAAGGCGAAATGAGCAAAGCTCCACGAGTGCTCAGCAGGATATCAAGTACGATTGTTTCTTACCAAGCCCGCTTTCATTCGTCTTGCTAATAAAACGCTAAGGGATGTTGGATAGTCCTGCTTGAAGATGAATAGAATTATCAAACCCACCGAGACCGTGCCTCTTAATGCAGCTAAAAATGGCTGAGACCCTTGATGACATGATATGCCGACCTGTCCAGTGTTCTAAAACCCGAAATCCTCAGACGGATATAAAACGTTGGGGATGGTCATTTTGGACCGAAATGCGACAGCCGTATGACCTGACCAGCAAATTACACTGGGGCAGCTGAACGGAGATGAGGGGTTACTTATTCACCGTGATCACATGGAGTATTACCATTCAAAAGCGTCAACTTGCATGGGCTAGCACTTAGTGGCATAGGTTTGGATGAGCGGCCGTGTGAGGGAGCATGGATGTTAAGCCCATCATCATCATCGGATCGCCAAACAGCCAGCGTCTTTGGAGCTTTCCACCATCGCATATGCCGGGAAGCATCGAGCAATTGCGGGTTGGTACACAGCACCAGTGCATCATACGATATCTGTATATAGCATGGCCTCCGATACAGGCCCGTCGCCCCCGACACAACGGAGGGTAGATGAGAGCATCCATGCTTCAATCAACCATCAGATAGATAGTTTCTTCGTTCGAAATGGATTTGACCCTCAAACACGAATCGCATGCGACAGCTTCGCTGCTTCTGTCTCATGTGGTAGGAAGTGTTTCCCGGCGCAGCATCAGGGCTATTGTTCGTATACCGTTTTCCTGTCAACCCGCCATATTCTCCAATTCCGACCAGCCCAGTTCAAGCTGGATATGCAAGTCTGCCGCGAGGCTAGAGAAATATATGGCGCCCTGGTTCCAACAACCTCCTATATGGGGACTGTTGATGCGCGAGCGCTGGGAAGGCCGACCATCCGAGGGGCGCTACACGTATACCTCCAAGACGTAATCCCAGGAATCAGTTTGGAAGCGTTGCGCCACATGCCATGCTTCTCATTCAAGCACCGAGAAAACCTTATCGGGGACCTTGCGGACGTATTCGCAACTGGCTTCCATCAGGGGAAGCTCCCGAAAACAGCAATCAAAGGTGGCAAAGGTGCTTTCAGCAGAGGGATAGTTGGTAGAACTTTGACTGAGCGCCTATCTCTCCTAGAAGCGCTCTCCGGGCCGGAGTCAAAGTACGTGGAGCAAGTTCAACAGCAAGCTGAAGTGATAGAATCGAAGATGCCCTGGTGTTTTACACATGGAGACTTGGTACCCGCAAACATCATGGTGAATCCCGACACGGGCCATCTCACTGGCCTGATTGACTGGGCAGAAGGTGAATGGCTTCCTCTAGGCACGGGTTTGTACGGCCTTGAAGAGATGCTCGGGCAGGTCTCAGCAGATGGAAAGGCTTTCGAGTACTACGAAGATCATTTGTATCTGCGATCGAAGTTCTGGAACAGATTCACAGTCCTCGCAGCCTCCTCTCCTCCCGTTTTCCAAGCCCGAAGTTACATGGAGCATGTACGGACGGGTCGCACCCTCGGCATACTTTTGTGGCGTGGGATCGCTTTTGATGATGGCAAAATTGACCGTGTTGTAAGTGAAGATAGGGACGAGCTCGAGATAGTCAAACTACGACTGTTTCTGGAAGCACCAACCCCTCCGGATTTCAACTGGAGACACCGAGCCTGGCTTTCATGCATCTGGCTGCTGCGTTTAGTATTCTTTCGGCCTCCTTCCACTAAAGGCAAGGCCGTCGCAGCGAAAGTCGCCAAGGACCAGATCACCAAGGTGGATATCGAGTATGGAGGTAAACGTGTGGCTGATTAACAAGCGTGTTTTTTTTTTCTTTATTCGTTTCCTTTTTCTTGTTTGGTTCGACCGATTGTTTCGGCTTCCGAAATGCTCAGCGTATTTCTAGATACCTACGTTCTGAGCGATGATTCCGATCCGTCTTTATAGACATTGCAAGATGCAAAGACATCTATAATTAACAGTTTCCTAGTTTCCCTTCTTCAGGAATAGAAATCATCCTTTGAGGTAGTTTCTCCAAGGTTTGAGATAGAATGGCTGACCGCAAGATGCAATATCATATTCACGTCTGCGTCTTTAGGCACTGTAAGAATGGGTATAGGCACCTCAAACTTTTAGTTGAGCTCAGAAAACCGTAGAGGCACTCTTCATTATTTGTCCAGTCACTTTCATCTGCTCTCCCCGAATAAACCTCTTTCGTAACCAAAATTGAGGCTTCAGTTTCTGTTGCCCCTGCCTTTTCTTCGGTGGCTGCTTTCGCCGATCCGTCTGTCATTACTGACTCTCTTTTGACAATTGTGCATATCACCAGTACCGTCTCCCTCCTTGCAATAACTCCATTTCTGCCTCTTGCACTTCTCCCCTGGCCGGCAGATGGTTTCACTCATGCTCTCAGAGATTTGCATTCTGGAATTTCCATTGCTCCTGCTTATCACGCTCTTCCTCCTCCTTATTCTCCCTCCTTTATGTCGTGAAGGATGCTCTTCTAGAGCGTTTCTCTCGGTGAAAGCAACCTCAACAACATCGCCATCAAGCCCACGCTGTTGGAGGGTGCCTGTTACGGAGTCGGGCTCTCCGCGAGCCTCATGAAGATGATTCAGGCTGTCAGAGTTGATTTCGCTTCTTTTATCGAGATCGTGAGACGTCACAGATTTAGCTACAGCAAATTGCTCGGAAATAAGGAGCATGAGGCTTGCAGCGACGGGTAGCTGTTTGGCGGGGATCATTTTCAGAGATAGTGCTAGGGGATATACATAGGGAGTATTGAAATCGACTGAGCATAAAAGATAAAAAGAAGCGAGACGGGACAAACGTCAAATGGTGTTATATGAACAAGTAATGCAGATCGGGTGATCTATGATCCAAATTTAGGAGCTTGGGAGCTCACTCAAACTGCGACCAGACCGTATGACGTGCGTGATGCCTCATGATCCCTGTTCCATCGGCGGGAGGATAAGCATCATCCCAGCCAAAAATTCAGAGCTGTGCCTTATTGATCAACAGAGGATTGCAACCAGTATCATTGAGCACTGTGTGGCAGCTCATACTAGTGCTCATCTCAGCCAACTGATACTTAAAATTTATCGTTGCAAATGGGTTATCTCTCCTTTCAACTGAGAACAGATCGGATGGTTTTCAGTACCATCGTTTCATCACTCAAAATTGCCAAAAATTAATATAATAAAGAACATTGCTGAAGCTTGGGAAGGTCGCCAATCCCACTTAGGAATTGGGGCACGGGTGTTACTGGATGTGGCAGGAGGGGCCAGCTCTAGGTTAGTTGGATATATTTGGACAGACCCAACAACCACCAACAGACCCTCAACACATTTCCTTTCGCCGTATTGTAATAGATTGACCTTTTGTCGCTCACTACCCTGTCCTCCCTCTGCGGAATCCAAGCAGCCAACCTCGTTGCCATCACACCCGCCGCCCAGTTCGAGAAACACGGCCAATTGGCGTCGTCCATAGCAATGGCACCCCCCAAGCAACAGTCCAAGCCCGAGACCGCCAAGGTCAACGAGTCTCCGATCAAGAATGCCTACCTCCTCTTCTACAACGCCATATCCGCCGTGGCATGGGGCATCGTCCTCGCCCGCACCGTCTCCCTCGCCGGCCTCGAGGGCCCCGAGGCCGTCTTCCCCGCCATCGGCAACCGCACGAAATGGACCCAGACCGCCGCGGGCCTCGAGATCCTCCACTCGCTGCTGGGAGTCGTCCGCGCCCCCGTCTTCACCACCGTCATGCAGGTCGCCTCGCGCTTCCTCCTCGTCTGGGGCGTCGTCCACCCGTTCCCCGAGCTCGCCGTCCAGTCGCCCTTCTACGTCTCCATGCTCCTCGCCTGGTCCCTCACCGAGGTCATCCGGTACAGCTTCTTCGCCGTGGGGCTGCGCTTCGGCGGGCAGCCCGCCTTCCTCACCTGGCTGCGGTACAACACCTTCTTCGTGCTCTACCCCGTCGGGATCACTAGCGAGTGCGTGCTCATCTACCTGGCCACCGGCCCCGCGGCTGAGCAGTACGGCGATGTCTTCAAGTACGGCTTGTACGCCATCTTGGCTACCTATGTCCCTGGTAAGCTTCCTCTCCTCCCTTATGCCTTCCTAGGGTTACACTCTCTGGGAGGTGTCTCCTCAAGACTGGAAATCCCCCTCATTGTGAGCTTCTCTAACCAATGAATAGGCGCCTACATTCTGTACACCTACATGATGAAGCAGCGCAAGAGGGTCATGCGTAACCTCAAGGCCAAAAACGAAAAGGCTTCCCAGTAAGAAGCAAACAAGGTTCCGATGACTCTCCAGAAAGGGGATGTTTGTCTTGGTGGAAAACTTGACTAGGAGATGGAATTGTGTACCAGATACCAAAAAGGGGGGAAGTCTGCTACGGATATTGTATAGGATACATCATGATAACACGCATTATATAGGATGGGGTCTGCTAGTTAAAATAAAGTAATAGAGCAAAGTCTTTACTGATCGATAGCACTACCTAGCCTTGAGTCCCTTGAGTCGTTTCATCTTCTAGCTGATCCAAATTGCCCATTCATACCTTGTTCCACAACGCCATAACTCCATTTTGCAACACTTCCAATGGACACCGCGGGCTAAGAATCTACGGACGGAGCCTGCTCGAGCAAAGGCTTGGGTTCTTCGCTCGTCTCATACCACTCCTTGGACACCCACTCTGCAATCAGCGTCTTAGCAGTCTCGGACAACGTCTCGTAATCAGGGTTCTCTTTCGGCTCAAACATGGCTAAAACGGAGAACAGTCAATCATCAAATGTTCAAAAGTTCAAGGCATCCTTGTCTGGAACAACTTCTCGATAAGAGCAGGGGGGGAACTCACTCATATGCGCAACAGTCTCATCCGTAGCCTTGTCATTCACCGCCTCCCTCCACACGCCCGCGGCCTGCGACCTGGGCAGGTTGCAGAACGTCCGCTCGCTCCCCAGCACCGTGCCCACCATGCTGACATTCTTGCTCGAGGCCGCCCTCCCCAGCCGCGTGTACAGGTTGGCGAACCCGACGCGCAGCTCCTCGTTGAGCCGGACCATGTAGCTGACCCGCTTCTTGAGCTCCTCGGCCCGCGCGAGGCACCCCACGAACTCGAGGTGCGAGCTCACCCACGTCCAGCCCTCGCCGATGTGGTCGCGGTTCATCCACGCCGCCGCGCCCCCGGCCGCCACGGCACCCGCCGCTCCCGCTACCATGGCCACTTTACCCCAGGTGCCCCAGCCGCCGCCAGCAGTCTTGTTGCCGCCGGTAGCTGGAGGGAGAGCCCCAGCCGACGGCGGTGCCCTGTTGGTGCTCGTCGCGGCCTTGTTCGCCCCCCACAGCGAGGCACCGAGGCCGCTAAGCTGGGAGATTGTCGAGGCGGCGTTCTGGTAGTGGCCCTCCGCGCCGTGGGCCACGACGCCCGGCGCAATCCCGAGGTACGGGGTGTCGAAGGCTAGCACGCCCTGGATGTAGGGGAACAGGAGGGAGTTGAAGGATGAGGGGAGCGCGGCGCTCTTCTGGATTCCGTCCTCGGAGTAGATGGGCTGCTCGGACGCGATGGCGATGACCATCTCCGCCGCGACGATGCCGCCCATGGAGTGGCCGATGAGGATGGTCCTTACCGACGGGTCGATGGTGGGCGAGGGTGTGCCCGTCGCCACCTCCAGGTCGATGACCTTCTCCTCCAGCCTGGTGAAACAATCAGATTAGTATAACGAATAAGAAAAAAGGGCAGGAAGAGGTGCGCCCAATATCCAGAGCAGGCATACCAGCTGCGAAAACGGCTGACAGTCTCGCCGAGGTCGCCCCTCGTCTCATACTTGGGGTATACAAGAGTCTTGACATTAATTTTGGGCAACTCGGCGGCGACCAGATCGCGCAAATGCTCTGCGAACTGATAGTCGTCTCCAAAGGTTGATTCTCCCCCCTTGATAAGCCGGCTGTCAGTGCTGTCTTACAGATATATGCCGGGCCTTGGTAGGCGTCACCACAGATGACATACCTTGAATCCATGAATGAAGCACAGGATGAGTGTCTTCTTCATGGTGACGAAGCAAATTAGAGAATTTCAGGGTTAAATACGCATACACAGATAGGTTAAAGTCGCAAATCCGCCTGCTCGGGTATGGAATGATAGATACTGATGATGATTGATGGTTGTTGTATGCGAGGCTATCGAACAGAGACATGTGCATTAAAGTGGAGGGAAGCCCCCACCTGAGCTTGGAGTCACGGCTGACAAGCAACACGTACATGTAATTCGCCTGTACATGGCCGTATCACCTAGCAAACTCAAGAATGGACGTCGATTTCTATCGATTAAAATACACTTCCTTACGGTTCTTATCTAAACATATAGGGTGATGAGGCCTCTTCCCTGCAAGGGGTGCGTTGATCTGCTTGCTTTCCACGGCGGCTCTCAACATTTGGCTCATTCATACTTTGCCCCTCCTCGTCCTGAGCTCAAATCAGCCTGCTTGTTTGTAGTTAATGGTATTGTTCCCCATGTGACCCATTTCCTTCGCCGTACGACATTTATAAATTCCCAAACCGCCCAACGCCAAATATTGTTTTTAAAAAAAAAAGAGAAAAAGAATAAGGAAGAAGAAAGGAAAAGTGAAAACTCAAGCTCATCAACAAGAATCACCTCGCCAAGAGAAGGGAAGGCGCACTTTTCCCACCCGCCTCACGAAACGTCTATTGCCCAGGAAAGCAGCACGGTCCCCTAATTAAACAGTCACATGTTGTCTGTATATACCAGATTTTTGTCTTCCACGTGAGACAAGGTTGCTGTGAAAACTGGTACCCACAGTGGCGTGGTTAATCCTCATCGCTTCGTGGAGTGGAATTTTCGCCATTCACATCTCTAGAGCTGCTGGAAATCAGCTTGATGCGTGTTCCACTTGGTATGGGAGTGCCGCCGCTGGTAGATGGTGGTGCAGATTCTGTCTTGGCATCTTCCTCAAGTTCAGCCAGTTCCGGGTGTGCCGAAAGTTCTTCTTCGTATCTGGCCCTGAAGAATTCCTGTTTATATTGTTAGCATATTGCCTCAGGTGCGTTGGGTGAGCCGTATTCTCTACTTACATCCATGGTCTTAGCATCTTGGTACAGAATGCTACCATCTTCGTTGAATGTTTGACAGTTTCGAATCAAAAGGTCAAAATCTTTTCGGAGATCACTCAATGATCCATATTCCTCCTTCTTGATGCGAGTGTTGATATGGTTCATGCAAATAGGGGTTTGGATGATGACGTAGTAATCGGGGAAATCGCGCTTTGGAGGCAGCTTGACAAAAGGACCAATGATTAGTCGCTTCTGGCCAGGATCCGATTCATCATCAGCCGGAGGCTCGATTTCGTCAACCTCCAAAGTCATGAGACCGTCGTACAGAGACCGAAGACTCTTCTGGAGAACTTCGCGCTGCTGCGGGCTCACGCGCGAAGCAGCTCCGTTCAAGTTTGTCTTGCTTGGTCTGCCTTGAGGGCCGCGTCGCTTCTTGGCTGGGGGTTCGTCATCGCCTTCCTCGGCTTTACGTTTTTCATTTTTGCTGCCAGGCTTGCGTCCACGTTTCTTCGGCGTTTCAACTTCCTCCGTACTGGCGCGACTTGGAACAGGTGAATTATCCATCGAGTTCATTATCGCCGTCTTCTTGAGCTTATTGGTGTCTCGCTTATCTCTGCGGGCCTGCTTTCGTGCTGCGGCAGCTTCTGGGGAATCATCTTCATCGTCAACCGCCATCAGCCACTGTTCTTCGGTCAAACCGTCGTCATATTTAACCTTGGTGCGCTCACGGGCACCACGACCAAGAACAACTTCTTCCGTCTCCTCAGCCGCGTCCACGGGGTCATTGAGATAGATATCGGGAAGCTCCTCTTCAACCATGAGACGTGGTCTCGGCTTGGCTGTACCCTTCGAGCCATAGATTGGATCCTGTGCCCTTTCTTCATCCATTTTTTGGAACGTGATAAGTTCATCGTCACTTCGGGCAAGCATCATATTGAGCTCCTCGTCTTCCATGTCATCTTGCTCTCCGCTCTCAGCCATGTCGGCAGTTTCCAGCAAAGTCCGGAGCATGGCATCTCGGTCAGTCTCTGACGACTTGTTGTCGAAGCGACCGGCCTGGATAATCTTTCCATCCATATCAAGCTTGTATCTGGCACGCTCAAGAATCTTCTCTTCAACTGAATTGGAGCTGATCAGACGCAGAATTCGCACCTCGTTCTTCTGTCCAATACGATGAGCACGATCCTGGGCTTGTAAATCTTGATGAGGATTCCAATCAGAGTCGTAGATAATGACAGTATCTGCAGTCTGCAAATTCAGACCAAGACCTCCAGCACGTGTCGACAACAAGAACATAAAATACTTGGAGTCAGGGGCGTTGAATTCTCTCAAGAGGTCGGATCTCTCATCTGCCTTGGTAGTACCATCCAGACGCAAGTACTCAAATTGCCGGTAGCGCAAATAGTCCTCCATGATATCCATGATGGCCGTCATCTGGAAGAACATGAGAACTCTGTGGCCCGTTGCCTTGTACTTTGGGAGAATTCTGTCCAGCAACTCAAACTTTCCTGCAGTTCGCCATAGCTCGTCATTGCTCACGTTGCGTGGGTTCATAACATTCTCCACAACATCAAACACAAAAGGATGATTGCAGAGCTTTCGGAGCTGCATAATCATATTACTCAAACCACGAGCGCTGGTCTTTCCACCTTTGCCGTCGCTAACGACAAGCTTGTTGTGTGTAACCATCTGCTTGTACAGTTTGGATTGCAGGGCAGAGAACTTGCACTTGATGACCTTCTCTGTCTTGTCTGGCAGGTCCTTCTCAACATCTTTCTTGAGACGACGCAAGAGGAAGGGCCGGAGAACCTTGTGCAGACGTCGAATGACGAGAATTTGTTCTTCTTCGGTAAGTTCCATCTTGTCCTGGCCACCAGTGTTGGCAAATGGTGTGTTGAACCATTCATCGAATGTCTTGACAGACTTGAAGATGTTTGGCAGAACGAAGTTCAGAATGGCCCACAACTCAGCCAGGTTATTCTGAAGAGGAGTACCGGTAAGAATAAGTCGGAACCGAGTAGTGTAGTATTGTGTGATGGTTGCGCTAAGCTTGGAGTTCGAGTTCTTCATACGGTGACCTTCATCGATAATCATGTGGAACCACTTAATCTTACTGAGAATCGGGCGGTCCTTGATGACATATTCATACGTGGTCAGGAGAACTTGGAATTCGCCCCGGCGAATTTTCTCCTGCTGCGTCTTGCGGGCATTGGGAGGTCCCTTGTAGACGATGCGAGAGACTGACGGTGCCCATTTCTCAAACTCGAGATTCCAATTTGTGAGTGTACTGAGTGGGACAATAACCAAGTATGGCCCAGGCTGCTGCTTCCTCTCAATGAGATATGTGATCAAGCTGATGGTCTGAATCGTTTTGCCGAGACCCATCTCGTCAGCGAGGATACCGTTAAGGTTGTTGTTGTAAAGGGAAATCATCCACTGAAGACCCTTGACCTGATATTCTTTGAGAGTACCGCCAACAAGGATGTTGGCTTGCTCGGTGACTTCTTCCCGAATACGATGGGCGACGGCATAGTAATCAATCTTCTTGCCACTCTCCTCATCGTCCTCAATGTCGCTTTCTTCGTCAACAAAGTTTTCAGTGTCGTCGCCATACCTCTCTGCCGCTTGTCGCTGCTGTGTCTTAACAGAGGCTGCAAGTTGGTGCAAGAAGCCATCGGTCTGTTTGAGCAGGTGAGTGATACGGGTATCCTTCGCCTGGTCAAGCAGCTTAAGATATGCCTCCTCATCGTTGGCCTTGAGAGCCTGGAGACGTTGCTTGGCGGTACGCTCGATTCGCTTCTGTTCCTCCTTTTCAATGTTGAAATGCTGAGCGTACATGAGTCGACTGAGTTTGTGCGACTTATTCCTCTGGCTTGCGGCAGACTCCTGGATGACAGCCCTGTGGTTGGTGATGGCATGGAGGAAGTCAACGTGCTTCTTCTTTTCTCGGTTCTCGCGTGCATCGCGCTGTTGCTTCTCCAGCTTCTCTGTGATTCGGGCTTCGCGAACATTCTGCTTCTTCATGCGGCGATAATTGGTTCGGTTCGTGGTCATTGCTAGGTTGTCATAATGCAACATCTGGCGTCCAATACGCTCCCTGAGAGCTCGTTGCTTAGCGTAGAGGGCCAAACTCTTCATTTCAATGATCGCCTTTCGCTTCAAAGTGTCGTCTGCCTCAAGGTTTTCCTTGGTCGAATCGAGATGGGCCAAATCTGCAGGCAGATTCTTCAGCTCAGAATAGCGCTGGCTCATGCGGTTAAATACAACAACCTCTCTCTCGTACCGGAGATGGTCAAAATCGAATCCGGTAGGGAAAACGCCTGGAATAAACCATCGGTTCTTGCGCTGAGCATGGTCGAAATACTTGATCGAGGAACGAACCATGCCGCCACCATAAGGCGATTTGACAGTCTTGTAAGTATGAGGCTTAGCCTGTGAATCTTCCTGGCCTGCTGGGTCAGCTCCAAGCTGTGCGGCTCTTGCAGAGTCCTGCGCTGACTGTGCCGACTTAGCAGCCGCGGCATTTGACGCCTCGAGAGCGGCAGCTTGCCTCTTTTGACGCTGATGGTAGATGGACTGCTGCAACTGGAGGGAGACACCTGAGTTCTTTCCGAGCAGCTTGAAGGCCTGGATCTGTTGCCTTAACAATGTCAGCTGCTGTTGACTGAAATGGCTTGATGCCGAACCAGCAGCCGGTGGGTTGGCTTGTGTCGGTGTATTTGCCTGTGTAGGCGTCGACGCAGAAGCAGGTGCCTGGTTTGGTTGGGGCGCGCCCTGCTGAGATCGAGGCTGCTGGACACCATTCACAGCACCATTGGAAATAGCATTGGCTGGCTGCTGTTGATGCTGCTGTTGCTGCTGCTGCAAATATGTTTGTTGGTTTCTACGCATTTGGTGTTGCTGTTGGAAGTACATCAAGAACTGCGAGGCCTTGATGTACTCAGGGTCCGTCGACGGTACGCCGCTCTCTTTCATGTGTTTTAATTTCTAAATGCACAAGCATCTCAGTCAGTGGCCTGAAACCGAAAATAAAGCAATCCGACGCCGTCTTCACAGGCGCATCGCATTGGCAAGCAATAAGATGGACAACCTACCTTGTACATTTCTTCAGCCTGTTGTTTGGTCGCGCCGGCGGCCATTGGCGCGCCAGGATGCTGAACCGCCGGGGCGGCGGCTTGCACCGAAGCCATAGTTGCGTTATGGCAAAGGCCTTCCGCAGGAAAAACTCAATCGTGTATTGCGAAAGTCGTCGACAGTTATCGAAGGCGCATATCGAGGATAAAGGGCGATATCACGAGGCGTGGCGGCTTGGGAGGGTGTGCGGTGTCCCTTGGATGCTTCGCGGTCGAACAATATTTCTGGCCAGAGGTCAAAAGCTTGATACACCAAAAATCGCGTCTGTTTGGCGCGAAGAAAGGTGAAGAGCGCGCAAATATCGTAAAGGGAACAAGCGACACGCGGTGTAGACACGTGGAGCTCGAGATTTTGGAAAGTCGCAAGTGTGGTTGGGTTGCTTGGACGCAACGGTTGACAGGTGTGGGAGAGAACGAAATCCCCAAGCCTGGCAAGATAGGCGAGGCGTGGGGGGGTTTGCTGAAGGGAAGGGCAAAAAAAGTCAGGATATGGCGACGGGGCGCGTGGGGAGTGTTATTCAAGGCAAAGGAAGCGTAAAAAATGTGTGGAACACTAAGTTGGCGAGGCTTAGAGATGGTTGCCGATGGTTTGAGAGGGGACCTGGCGATTTTTCGGATGCGCGCGCGCTTCACCAGCTTGCCTTGATGATGGGGAGTGGTGAAGACACAACGGACAAGATTCGCCGTGACGGTGGGTGCGGTACTCCTGGGGCCACTCACAGTAATTTTCAGCACGACCCCTGCCGGTGGGGCATCGGGCCTGAGGCAGAAATGCGCACGGACTCTATTATGTAATGCGACTCGAGAACTACTACAAAGTCTGGGTTCACGTGATCCCCATGGCACACTACTAAGCTAATCTAAGGCTGTCGCACTCAAACAATGGGCGGTTGGAAACATCAATGATTGCCTAGCTCGCGACTTACTGTCTTTCCTTAAGCTGGGGTAGATGCATTCCAAAGAACCTATGATACTGGTTTTGTTTCCGCAGGTAGTTTTGGTTGCCACGCGGAGGAACGTCGTCGAGTGATTCTTCGTAGAAACGTAGTAGTTTGGAGGGACCTGTTTCAATACTTGATTGATTCATGAGCGCAGTCCTCACCTCTTAGTCTTCTTTTTGTCAGGGCCCTCTTCTTCCTCGTCGCTCAACTCTGCATACTGAGTCTGAGGCTGCGTTTTACTCCAGGCCTTGGTAAATACCGGATCGCTCTTCGCTTTGTCGGCATATTTCAGCAGCGCCTCGCGGGGGTCCTCGTGTAACATGCGTGCCAGCGGGATATTCTCTGCAACGTGCTTCTCATTCGGTTGTGACTTGTGGAATGGGGTTTTGCTTGGTTGGTGTGGTCGACGTGGATCCTTAGACCTGCCTGAAGCTGTCGTTCCCTTGTTTTGGGAGCCACGCAGAGCGCCAGGTGCAAGGACTTCACTGGACAGTCCGACCGACTGGTCCATTGTGAATTCTGGATTGTCATCGATATGGCGCTTCTTCGGTGCGCGCGACATGACCTCAACCGCGCCGCGGGTTGACTTCTCTGGATTATAAAGTACATGGCATTCTCCGTTAGCAGAACCTGTGATTATTTGGTTAATCTTGGGGTGCCAATCGACAGTAATAAGGGGCGCGCCCGGGGTTATCGGGGTCACATGTTCTGGCTGCAGATTTCCAGGGTTCAAGATATGCAAATGGCCAGTCGCAGATCCCGTGAGGATATTGGTACTGTTTGGCGCATATCTGATATTGGTGGTCGGGTAATGATCTGATGTGGAAGGGTGGGAAACTGTGACGAGAGCTTTTGTAAACTTGCGCGTGTCCCATAACTTGATCGTGTCATCTCCACCTCTTGTAACGACCATACGCCCATCTGCTGAAATATCGACTCCGCCGGTCCATGACAGGGGCTTGTGGGCGTCCCGTATCTCACCAGCTGGTCGCGTGAACGGTCCATTCCCGCTGTACATGACCAGCGAGCCGTCCAGAGCAGCAGCAACAAGAATGTTGCCTGACTGGGGCGAACTTCCCCAAGTCACCGTGGTCATCTTGGTCCGGCCAGCCGAGCCTGCCGCCTTGGACTTGAAAACAATGATATCCTTGTGAGAACGTTTATTGTTGATATCCCAAATCCGCAAAGTGCTGTCTGTGCCAGCAGTAACGCAGAGATTCCTATCGCTCGGATGCCAAGCCCCCATCGTAACTTCTGAAATGTGGCCCTTGGTGTTATGCATATCTCGGAGATACATATCACCTTTGACAAACTCGGTGACAATGTCGCCGTCTCTGGACATGATTCGAGCCTGTGGGTGGGCGGAAATGCAGAGAAAGACGCTCCCAGAAAGAGGGCTGAATTGAACATGCTGCACAGCATGTGATTCGGTAGGCGCCGATGCTTTTGTCACGAAAGGGTCGATCGATCGGAATGCTCGCAAGGTAGTAGGCGTCATTGAAGCAAAGTCGTGGAGGTTGACGTTTCCATCTAAGGATCCCGTCACCAGCCTTCCTCCAGCTGGATCCAAGGAAACCGAGGTTATGGCTCGCTCGTGTGTCTTCAATACCAGCTCATGGGAGACAGGAAATTCATCCTCGTCGTCATCGTCGCTGCTATCGTCGGAATCGCTGTCTGAATCGGTTTCCTCCCGGTTTTTGGGCTGTTGGTTCTGGCTGGGAGGCTTTGTCTCAGCTACCCGACGGCTTCGGTCAATTTGGGCAGCGATATCAGCTTCTTTCGATTTCTTGCCAAACGAGGTTGGTAAGAATGCCCTCATGGGGTCATCCTCTGCTAGCTCGGGACCCTCGATCTCATAGTCGCTATCGTCGCTCATGGTTGCGCGAGGGATAGATACGAAGAGCGACTTGCAGGATGGGCCGGAGATGATGGATGGGGAGCGAGGAGGGAAGGAGGGAGAGAAATGGTGTGGGAGGCGGAGCAATTTTCACACCATAAGTCTTAGCATATGTCGACCACGTAGTACGGCCGGTTGTGTCAACTTCTGACTTTAATGGCGGGCGGATCCTAGAATAAAGGGAATGCATGGGGGCGTCACCGCCACAAGCCCCCAATCACAACGGAATGTCACACTTCCAGATCCTACATGCAACCAATACGACTTGCTCAAAATGCAAGATAGCATGATTTAGGCATGCCACGAGAGAATACGCATGGACAACTCTCGAGACCTAGCTGTCTATGGTGCTACCTGACGTGCTCAACATTCGCAAGGCAGCAAACGGCCGCCTTCTAAACTCCGGTAGTTTCATGTAGCCAAAGACCCTCGTAAGACCCTCGGACCATGCTACCACCACACGCTTAAGCTTGTGCTGCCTCCTTCATCCTTGCTTTTGCTGAGGCACTGAGGGGTACGCGCTTTAAACCGCAAAAGCCCGCCAGTTAGAATGGGTGCATGAGATAGCCCATACCCCAGTGCTCAAAGTGCGAGGCGTTACGTCTATGCCCACGAAGTAGAGATGGCCCAGCCCGACAGTCAAGTGGCTAAAGTAAAAACATGGCACACCAAAGCCCATTCCACGCCAGGTAGGAACCTAATCTTCTTGTGAATGATACCAAACCTAATCACAAAAAAATAGATTACTCCACGATGTTTGGCCTGATATTGTGTTAACTACTAGGCGGATTCTTTTGATATTGTGTCAAAACAACGCTGGAGATTCTGGGTGTGCCATGTTTGATATCAATCGCTTGACAATCAAACTGGCTCTTCACCACAAAGCTCATACATTGCTGCCCAAGCCTTTAGCGCAGATTCTGCAGCCTTGAAGCTTTTGTGGTTGGGCATGTTGACTCTCGCCGGCCATGTGGATTTGTTGATGGGTCCCAGTCCTGGGCGAACCCACATGTTCTGCGCGTGATAGTCTCAGCCTGGTGTGTGATTGATCCCTGCCGATGAGAGCGCTCCTTGTCCGCTTCTATGAGTACTGCCGTTGGGGGTGGCATATCAAGAAAGGGATATCAGAAAACTCTTGCCGAGAAGAAGCAAGTTTCTGGGAATGATCCTTCACTTGTCGCAGTGAACGAGGCTATTGTATACCGTATGCAATTAGGTAGACTTTCGACAGCCTCTTCTACGATATACGCCTAACAGCGCAGGACCAGCCCGTCTCAAGATTCAACCCGCTGTACGATTAGGCAGCATCACTATGAAACTCAATGATTAGTATTATTCTCGTAGAAAAGTCCCGGCCTCCTAGGCAATTGGATGGTATTACCAATCACCAAGCCTAGGTGGCACGGAGAGAATGACGCAGCGATGTCGGATTCAAGTTCCCGTGATTTTCCCACCCCGAAGCCTTGTTCGTCAAGAAAGCACACCAAGTCCAGCACCCTTCAGTTTTCTGCAAGCGCAATTAACCTAACGATACACTTAAATCACCATTGCAATGGATATGCCAGTCCTGTGGTTCCAATAGAGCGCTCGACGAGCTCAGTGTAATGTGATTGGCCAAACGAACCAGCACGCACAGACTTTCCCCATGTCCATCGACACACGGCCAGAGTCCCCTCCACACTCTTCCGCATACACCCCGTTTGATTCCACCCGTTATTCAACATGCCAGAACCGATACTGGACGACGAGGAGCAATACGACTCTTCAGCAGACTCCGACTTCGCCCCCGAAAATGACCAGGGCGCTGATTCAGAGGCGTCAGCGTCCGAGGACAACGGCGACGACGGAAAAGCTGCCAAAGACCGAAAAGATGGCGAGTCACCAAGGAAAAAACAGCGTGTCGCCAATGATGGAGATGCAGAGGATGCGGGATACGATAACTCAGGCGACGAGGCCATAATCAAGAGAGGCGAAAAGAAGCGCGCAAAGGCCAAGTCCAAAGCGAAAACGTCGAACGAAGACGACGATGAGGGCGGAGAGGGAGGCTTAATCAAGACTCGCCATCAGCGCGCAGCCGAGTACGTCTAAGATTTGCAAAAACTCTATGCCATTGTAGGCGGACACACATGGACTGACATTGGATGCAGAAAGGAGGAGCGCCGCATGGCTGTGAACACCGGACCCGTTACAATCGACGTCGATGCTGTTTGGCAGCAGATGTTGGCAGGCAAACCTGCTTCAAAACCGGCCGAGAGAGTCGATCAGAGCGAACAAGGTGCAGATTCGAATACAGGCACGGAGAAAGCTACGGCGTCGGCCGCAGCGAGCGACGATCCGTCGGAACTGGTCCGCATCAAGCGTACCTACAACTTCGCCGGCCAAGTTCACACCGAGGAGAAGATGGTACATCGGGACTCTGCAGAAGCCAAACTATATTTCGCCTCGGAAGGTCAAGAGGTCCCAGCCAATGTCCCGCCAGCCAAGCGCGTAGCAAAGAAGGCTTTTCGATCCGCTTTCGAGCCGCTCACAGACCCTCTCCCACAACGCGCGGATCTCAACCTTGGTATGGCAGCAAGGATGCAAGCCGGCAAGGACGCACAGGCGAAGAAACTCAACACTGTCGAGAAGAGTCGCATGGATTGGGCAGGGTACGTGGACAAGCAGGGTATCAAGGACGAACTGGAACTGGCAGGGAAGTCAAAACACTCATACACGGCTCGCGAAGATTTCCTTGCTCGAAGCGAAGCAAGGAGAGAGGACGACGCAAGACGGGCCCGGCTCACGGGACGAGCATGAAAGTGCAGCCAGCAGCTGGTGTATTAACTATCGCATGAAGGCGTTCTGGGACATGATACCACGGATTAATCGAGGGACATATGGTAAGCTTGATTTACTAGGAATGACATATAATAGTCAGTAAAAAGGCACTAAAGCTATCTAATGATAATACGAGCATTCTTAAGCATCCATAGGAGAAACGCTGTTACCAGCTTGCACTCGATCTTAGTAGCTCTGAGAAAGAGCAGCTTTTGCTCCCTTTTCAACTCACCCTCACGGCAGCTAAGAGTACATATCCACCCAGCTCCAAGAAATACCACGAACAGAATACAGTTTATTTGACTGACCTCTTTGTGAACATTTCATAACCACATGCCAGTCCAAGGCAAATCGCAAGGTTAGCGCACGTTGAAGGCGGGACCCCAGTGACGAGCCTTATCTTATCAAACGACCAAAAAAATTACCCCAGCTACAACTTGTCGCAGATTGCAACAACTTCCCCAGCTACGAGAGAGGAAAAAAGCAACCACAATGACTGTCCTGGGGAAACGGAAAAAGCCTGAGAGCGCAATCTCCCAAGAAGAGGCCGAGGCTATCTTCCGCCGCCACTTCGAAGCTCAATTCCAACCGATCGATGAGGGCGAGTCGAAAAAGAAGTCTACAAAATCTCAGGATACCGATGGCAGCGACGACCAATCCGCCGACTCTGGAAGCGATGAAGATGGGGAGAGCCAGGAGGAAGAGGATGTAGAAGGCGATGAATGGGGTGGCTTGTCAGGCGACAGCGAGGACGACGACGAGATTGACGACGAAGATGGTGAGCAATCAACCGTCTACGAATCTACAAACAGAGCAACCAGCTGACTAGATTCTCTTCGCCCTCAGACGACGAGCCAGCAATAGAAGTAATAGACCACTCACAGCCAAGGGTCCCAAACCCGGAAGCCATGTCAAAAAGCGAACTTAAAGCCTTCATGGTCCGTCCCTCTACACTCCTCCTCCCCTCTACAGCACAAACCAGCTAAACCTCCCTCACAGTCCTCCCGCCCCCCCGACCAATCCGCCCGATCCAAACCATCCCCAGCAGCAACCGCCTCGACCAAAACCTCCTCCACCACCCTCCCCGAAGACGCCCCCTCCCTACTCGCCCAGGACCTCGAGCTCCGCCGCCTCCTCTCCGAATCCCACCTCCTCGCCTCCCCGACGCTGACCAACACTTCCGCCCTCACCGGCGCGGCTCCCAAGCTCTTCGCCGCGGGGCGCGTCCGCCACAAGGCCGCCGACCTGCGCATGCAGGCCCTGGGCTCCAAGGAGTCCATCCTCAAACAACAAAAGATGCCCATGAACATGCGCAAGGGCATCAACGCCGCCGCCGCCGCCCGCGAGGCCAAGCGCAGGCGGGAGGCGAAGGAGAACAACGTCATCCTGGAGCACGACACCGCCAAGAAGAGGAGGAAGAGGGATCGTGGGAGGGATGGGGAGGTCAACGGCCCCAGCGTCGGCCGGATGAGAGGCGCGGAGCTGAGGATCAGCGACAGGGACGTGAGGAGCATAGAGGGTACCCGAGATGTATTTGGACGCAAAGGTGGCAAGGGCAGACGGCGATAACTACACGAGCGTTTCACCAGTTCAAGCGGTTTATCAATTTCTTTCTCTCTGCACATACGTTCAAGTACGGAACATCACAAATGTTATTCAAGTTTATGATCAATCAATGAAGATATAATGTCCAAATAAGTTCTGTCTCACTCATACTCTCATTGACCATCGTAACGGGTATGATATCATGTCCTCCCGCTCTTCGGCCAAAGAAGAAAAAGGTATAAACAAACAGCTTAATGTTTCTCCTTCGCCCGTAACAATGAACTTCCAATTGCCATATCCCAAGACATGAAATACAGTATTTCGCTCTCCACCCAGTCGCTCTATATCTCGCAGGCATCCTTCCAGATTATTCTTTGACAAAAGAGGAAGGGGAGGAGGAGGAGGTATTGTGGCGGTAAGACAACAGTAAAAAAAAAAAAAATTGAGTGACAAGAAAAGGAAATTTCCAAGGCTCGCTCCCTGTTTTAGAGCTGTGAAGTGGGGGTATAGCATATAGTGTGGTGTAGATAGTATGTAGGTAGGTAGTTGAGAACAATGGTGCGGCTCCAAGGTTCTCAGGTAACGGCAGCGCTCCTTACATGATACCGCCGGCGTTGACAGTACCAGCCTGTCCAATCACCATGGGCATTCCCATAGATTGCATGCCGCCGTAGGTTTGGTTTGGTGTGATAGTGGCTGGTCCAGCCAATGAATTCGGTGGTAATTGCTGAGCGGCAACCGAATTAAGTGAACCAGTCACATATGCAGCGTTCTCAGATGTTGGTGAAGCTTCTTCAAGAGAACCAAGTTGGTCCTCACCAGAGAAGTCCTCTTCTTCCTCTCCAGAAAGATGGTAAGGGCCTTCACCACCGTCCTCACGCTCGTGAGTTCGCTTGTGCCTAAGAATTGGTCAGTAAGGACTTTTTTCAACCACGGTGAAATATCGGTGAAAACATACTGAGCAAGGTTATCAGAGCGCGAGAATGCTTTGCTGCAATGAGGGCAGACATAAGGTCTCTCTTGCGTGTGTGTTCGTACGTGACTATTGACAGTTAGCGATAAATTCACGACAGGCATACTTGAAGGTTCACACATACCGCTTGAGGTGCTCTAGTCTCTTGAACAGGCGACCACAGCTGGGAATGGGGCAAGAGTGTGACTTTTGGGGGTAAGGCCCGAGCTCCATAACAGTGGCAGAGCGAGCGCGACGAACAGCACCGTTGACACCAGAGCTTGGACGGCGGGGTTCATGTGGGTTCTCCCCATCATCGCAGTGTCCATGTGAGTAGTCAAGGTGTTGGAGACCCATGGAATTCAGTGCAGGGCTGCCTTCTACCGTTGACATTGGGGTTCCATGTCGCGATACATGCTGCTGGCTGACAGAAACACCACTGGTGCTGTAAGACAGGCCGGGTGGCGAGTTTTGCGCAGATTCATCACCCTCGGGAACACAAGGGACGACAGAGGCGGACATGGATCGCTTCAAGTCAGATGGTCTCTGGGTCGTTGGTGGTGCTGATGTGTGAGTTCCATTAGAAACTGCCGACATAGATGTGGGAATGGATGAACGCCGCCTTCTCTGCTTATATGTCGGCGAGCCTTCGATGACAGAGTAGACGCTGTTTGTTCCATAGGATCGATTGAATTGTGTTCCAGCCATGTGTGAGGGAGCAAGGTGCACTGCTCCACCAGCACCGTTCATACCCGACACGTTGTCAGGGATTGCCGAGTACAGACCGGTCTCTTCGTTGGCAATATACGCGGGCTCCGCAGAAACACCAAGGGCGTGCTGAGGAGGGGTGATTGGCTCAAAAGAGATGCCACGATTGCTGTAGTCTTCGTACTGTGAAGAAACAAATGAAGGTGCTGGCGAGTATTCAAGGCCATAGTTAGGAACGGAAGAGTGGCGTTGCTGGGCTTGCGTAATGGGAACGCCATTCTGATTGTACTGAACGCGGCCGAACTCAGCCTCGCGCTTCACCTGTGGGGGAAGCTGGTGAGGCATCGCCTGGGCCATCGTCATTGATCCGTAGGGTGAGATTGCGTCCATCCCTTCCGCTAAAGGGGGCATGGATTGAGGAACTGGCTGGGCCATCGACTGAGTCATGGTCGGTGGCATCGAGGGGGGCATCGACTGAGGCATTTGCGGTGCCATGGACTGGGGCATCGATTGAGGAATCATGTTGGGAGGAGGCATGGAATCCATGGATCGCATGACAGGCGAAGAACCCTGGTTCTGAGCGAACGCTTGCTGCTGGGCATTAAAAGATGAAGAGTTGGCTTGCTGGGCCTTGGTAAGCTGTTCGTAAAGGGACTGCGAGGAATCGTATTGGAACGACAGGGCAGGCTCGCTAACAGCCACCGTGGTAGCCTCCTGGCCCATCTTCTCGCGCTTGAGGTCTCTTTCCAAGGCATCAAGGAAGAGGCGGTCATGGGGAACGCTGTACCAGTAAAAGACCTTTTGCTTCTTCTGCGTTCGAATGCAGTTGTTCTTGTAGAGAAAGTCAAGGAAAGGGCTCTTAGGCTCCTCCAGAGACGCATCGGTTCCCGATTTCAAATTTCGAAGATCTGAGAAGATTCCCTCCTCGAACTTCTTCGAGTTCTTGACTGGGCGGCCAAATGCCTGAAATCGGAACGAGAGACATCGAACAATATCCGTACCAGAAATGTGAAAGAGATTATTCCTTTGAGAATTGTTAGCCCTCGAAGGCAAGCTTCACTACAATAAAAGAACGACATACCAAAGCACACATGATACATATTCGCCCGTAGGAAGCAGAAATCGTCGAATATATTGATCAGGTGACCAATCTACTGGAGCGGAGATGAGGAAATATTTGACTGATGTCGTGTCAGACCCTGGCGTGCTCCCAATGATACTTTAAGCAAATGCTACTTACGGTTATCAACCTGGTTGAGCGCTACTTGAGCGTCGTGGGGAAGCGCTTGCTGAGCCTCCGTGCTCAGCATAAAGGTTTCTGGCTTCTGCGCCGCCATGGCTGCATTTTGGGTGTACATGTCTCGTTTCTATCCAAAGAGGAAGAGGATCCTACTAAAAGAAAAATGCTGAATGACCTTCGAAGACAAGTCGTGTCGTGGTCTAGATGAGAGGTTTGCCTTTTTGGTGTCTGGTCGCAACAAAGTATCTACAAGATAGAGCGATCGCGAGCACAAAGCATATGCAATGTTGCTTCTCCTGGTGTCGTTAAACAAAAAGTTGATTCTGGCGTAAGAAGCGAGGAATGGTGGCGTAACGAGCGGCGGCACAGCCTACCGGTCGAGCGAAGGGTTGCGTGAAAGCGTGAAGTCGAGACCAGCCCGAGATGTTGAGCAAAAATAGCACACTGCTGGGAAGCAACCTGAGTTCTGCGTCAAGCAAATACTTCAAGTCGCGCCAGGCATATACCGTCAAGGTGATGCGTCAAGCAATGCGATAGAACGATGTGACGAGCTTCGAGCTCCGAGTCCTGGTAATCGAGCGACGGGTTGGATCGGTTTTTGAACAAGTCCGGACAGTCGAGGGGAGAAAATCAGGTCAGAAAAAATGAAAGAAGCCCGAGGTGTCGTTCCTCATCACAATGCGAAAGAGCAAGAAAACAAAAATGATGGTGATGGACCAGGGGGGAAACCCAACGTCTTAGACCTCGGCGGCGTCCTGTGGGAGGGTGTGTTGGTTGATCTTGACGACGTGGCTCGGGGCCTAAAGGTTCTAAAGAGGAAACAGAGGACAGAAGAGAAAGATGGAGGGCCTCAAGAGAAGAGGAGAGAGGGTGAGGGTGAGGGTGAGGGGGGGAATTGAATGCGAGAGCTAAGGAGGGAGGTCGAGGGTAAAAAGGATTCTGGGAGGGAGGGTGAGAATTGGGGGGGTGCAGATGGCCTACCAACTCCATCGAGCGCGTAGGTCCAAGAGGCCGAGCCTGCACAGAGCCGCCGCCGTGATCTTTAGCCCGGGTACATGTGGGGACCGGGTAACCCGCGCGAAATACGAGGGCGGGGAGGTATTCCAAGGTACTTTCCACGCCTGCACCTTAACGGCAGGTCCAGGACCAGGGACAGGATGAACTGGGCGCTGGAGGGCGCTGGAGCGACTCAGACAGCTGCAGCACAGGCGACAGGCGCTCGCTGTCCGTATGATCGCCTTCCAGCAGTTGCCGACAGCGGTCCAACGCTAGCCAATGTCGTACCCAATCACCCGAAGCCAGGACAGCAGGTGTGCTCTGTCGTATCAACCGCTAGATTTGTTTACTTATTCTTTTTGCCCTATTGTTTCTTGTTGCTAAGCTGCGCGTTCGACAGGCCGCCGCCGCCATGTATTACTTGAGCTAGTCAAGATGGTAAGGGGGACCAGTGCAACCTGTTCGGTCGGGTCGGCCAAACCAAACCTCATGTGAAGGGCTGCAAGTCTGGCAGAATGCTATAGGTGGACGATGAGCGGCAATAACGGGCTGGGGCTAGCATTACGTACGGCACCAAATCCCCATTTTAATTATCGGCCACCACTATAACATCCTAACACTTAAGAGCCGGTGGTACAGGTTACTGGGGAGTCAAGGCTAGCGGGATCAACGATGGCCTGCTCAAGGTACCAGCACCCTAGCCTAACCTTGAAGAGCTGCTAACCAAACCACACGAATTATGGGCCTGTCAACGTGAGCAAGGATGCGAGCTCTCAAAGGGTGGGACGAGATGCATACACCTCCCTCTGAGGTGGTGATTGCTGATATGTAGAACTGGAGGAAGGGGAGGGGTACAACGCAGTGGGGCAGTCAACCATGCCTGGTAGGTCGGGAGAGCGACTTACCAAGCAAGAGCGCCATCCCAACGGCCACACTATTACCAGAAAGAAATGCTTCGATGAAATTTCAATTTTGAGTCTGGCGCGTTGGTCCCGCCTTGCCCAGGGACCTTCTGTCGACCTAACCGATACCTGTGTGCTGCAAAAAAGCCATGGTATAGCACCAAGAGCAGCCACTAGTAGAATGACAGTTAGCTCTGTGTCACCAAAGTGGACAGGCTTTACAAACTATTATTTCTGTAAATTACCATCGATCTGGTGTTTGCAGCCGTACTGCGTGCTCTCCTTCACATGGCATTATCACGTCGGCGGCTTGGCTTTGGTCTCCCAGCCCGGCCGCTTCTTTCTCTCGTGTCCAGCGAAGTCCAGCCTGTGGATGGCCAGCAAGCGAACGATGTATAATAGATTCTGCTAGGCCTTAATTCACTCGCTATAATGCATGGAACAGGAAAGTCAGGTTGGGGGTGGCAATGGAAGGGGTGGTGGGATAATCTTCATACATAACAGCGTAGCGAAGAAGAAGCAGAAAACATTGTGCTTAGGGAGGTCAAAGCAATAACACTCCCACTGTACATTGTGTGCGCGTGTCGTGCAGAGTGCGTGCGTGTGCCTGTGTATGCCTGTGTGTCGGTGCCTCCAGATCACACCAAGCAAGCAGGATCCACGTTCTGCCTGTGCTATGACCACCGGGGCACACTGGCAAACTGAGGAGACCACTTCGCATGGGCACCGGCTGGCAGGGGTGAGTGCAGGCTCGCTAACCGGCCAGAATGCACAGAAGGTGAAAGAATCAATTGAGGTCCTCGTCTCCTGGCTGCTTGGAGCCCAATCCGGCCGTACTTTCCGTACCTCCATAGCTGAGGGCTATATTTAAAATGGCAGAGACGAACAGATTAGGTAGGTGGCGGCATAAGAGATCTCGTACCTGCTTCACCTGCCATCGACCCAGCATTGAAGGCGAAGAGCGAACCGAGTCAGTGGTAAAGCCCGACTGGCCGTTGTTATGACAAACAGGGCTCATCTAAACATGCCACCTCCTTGTCGTCCCCAATACATTCAAATTAGACACTAGGCCATGCTGGTGTGGGCAATTGTTCGCCATCCATCAACGAGAAATTTCTCCCTCTGTCGCGTATCACTGCCATTGGTCTGGCCAAACAGACCTGCACAAAGTCGTGGGGATAAAACCGGTCTGGTGATGAGACTTTGGGGACGCTCTGTCAAGCCAAAAGAAAGAAGCCTCCCCGCTGAACCCCCTTGCTCACGACAAAATGTCCACTTCCAAGTTACTGAACCTGGGTTTTTCTGTCCTCGGGATAATTTCGCATCCACAATGGTTCCATCAGCGGGTGCCGGGGATAGGCCATGGCGCCTCCTCTCCTGCTTCCCCATCACCGACCAGCGGCCGGAAAGAACCCTGCCTCATGGCCCTGGTTTGGGTTGTGGACAAGGACCCAAGCTCAAGATATTATGCGGTTCACTAATACGGATTGGCTGCTGGCCCGTATGATTAATATGGAGTCACCAACAGGCAAAGGATATCGGCCGCGGAAGATCATCCCAGGAAGTAGAGTTAAATTGGAGTATTAATGCTGACTCCAAAATCAATGGCAACAGACCAAGTGAAGTGCCCACGCACACACATACGAGGGGCGGAGGGGCAGTCACCACAGGCACAGACGCTCTGCATGAAATCCATCCATCAGCAGGGGCCAAGAAGGGAAATCGCCAATTCGAATCCTTGAAGCTACGATGAGGGTAGCATCGACCACCTGGCCATTGCTTAGCGTCGGACGCTAAAGAGGTTGCGTACCTATCTACTTACATTGTTACATACCTACTCGCTTGGTGATTCCCAACTCAAGATCCAGCCGGCATCAGTCCGCGACAGGAGAAGCTCGTGTGGCTTTTCCCCAAAGGTGATAACCTGGCACACCGAGGCTTTTGGATAGCAGGCGATTCTTGTGTTACTGGCTGCTTTCATGCTTGGTCGGAACCACAATGCAGGACTGAAGGATCGAGTCAACAAGTTGACACCAACCAAGAAATGCCAGCAAGAAGGCCAGCGCCAGCAGAGCAGGCTAATCAGAGCCACACTAGCAACGTCTTCCCCAGGTAAGAAAAAGGGGTGGCTCTGTCTGCTTCTCACACACGGCCCAGACGGGAAGACGGGGCCCTGTCAGCATGAAACACGCTTGCTTCATTGCATCAGATTCTTTGACCAGGTTTCGAGCGCCAAAATAGGACGTAGTAATTCCCGCTGCAACCTGTTTGATGTGCATACCTGTTTTGGCACATTGCATCCCGTTGAAATTCCAACGTCGACAGCCCCGATCGAGCATCGGCTTCGTGAGTCAAACGGATTTTACGGTCGACCCCATCATATGCATGCTTTACTATGTATAGCCCACTCAGCACGAAGCGGCACATCCCTCCGCGCGTACAGGAATGGCCACCAAGATTGTGGATGGATGGTCGGCACGAGTCAGAACAGTGCAGGCTCGCTCACTACAAGATGGTTCGCGTATAGACTGACTATGAATAACAAAGCACAATGGAGGCAGCCTTCTCCAACCCAATACTCGCCCCTGCGAGAGAGCGTATTCCAGCAAGGTCATGGGCTGCAGCGCTGACCATCCAAGGTCTAAAGATCTCGGTCAACCATGCCGGGCAACTAGACACAGCGGATAGCATTGCTTCGCGTTCGGTATGAGTATTACTCAGAGCGAACGGTGAGGCGAAGCCCCGGATCCGTACTCGTTCCTGATGGTGGTACGAGACAGGGCAGATGCCACCGAAACCCGAGTGCCTGAAAAAAGAGTTTGTTTGATCTCCACGAAGCTCGGTCAGACGTTGACTTGAAACAGCCAAGAAGGGGCAGCATTCGTTGCGTGATCGTCCGGGTACGCTCCCTCGCGAACCAGGTCTCCCTCTTCGCTGCATTCACTCAATGCTAATGGTCAAGTGAGTGACCAGTTGGCGGCTGCTGCGACAGTTGAGCCATCCATGGCAAAAAGGGCCTCGACCTCATGCGGCCCACCCAAACCATCTGGACTTCCGGACCATCATTGTCCACATGGTCATCTTCTCCGCCATTCTTGCCTGCCAGTGCCAAATCCAGAAGGGAAGAATGGACTCGGTAGCAGTATGAGAAATCTGTAACACGCCCAATACTGGGCGATAGAGTCACAGTCCACTTTCCTTATCGGAAGCCCTGTCTTAGTCCACTGTCACATCGGCCAAGGTTATTAAATGGCATCTGCAACACCCCTTGGTAATCTTAAACCGCGCCGGAATACAGGCATACCCTCCTTCGACGGGACAAAGAAGAGTGGTTGCCCGGCGCACGTTCCCTCTTCTCTCCAGTGGACACTCGCAAAAGAATGGTCCCTGTTGATGTTCATTGTTTTCTCTCGCTCTTGACGCCGGAATGGCCCTGCTTGGCCTCGCCCACCGATGCCCACCCACACCACGCTCTCCCGCATAAGTCCATCTGGTCACACACACGGAACGGCTATTAGGTCCCTCCCAAGTTTATTTCTGGTGACAATTCTGGGCTGTGCCAGTAATGCGCTAATAATGTTTTGCCCTGGTGTAACATTTGCGCAAGTAGTAGCATCTACCAAATTCAAGCCATCTGTTGCGTCGAACAGGGATACTTCCTCCCTCGGAAAAGGGCAGAAGACGCTGTTCACCAATGCTACCTAAGAACCACATCCCTTGCAAGCCTTGCACTGCAAGTTGGCAGCCGCTCGATCCGCATAGCTTTGTAGTAGGCATGATGCGGTCTTCAACTGCTCACCACATCAAACCAAGTATTTGCAGATCCATCCGCAGCCGTTCTTACCCACCATGAAGGGAAATGGTTGGATCTGGTGTGCCCTCTGCGTGCTCCTCCAAAGCCTTCAACTTGCACAATCACACTGCTATATTTGGGTTAACAAACATCGATAGGCCAGCGCAACTCGCGTACAACCAATAAGAGCGCGACAGCTGCTGATGGTGGGCGATGCGGGCGAGACGCCACTGCAAGTAGAGCCTGGTTGGCACTTCAGTGGGGGGCTGATTGGTTTCCAGGCCACTCCCAGAGCACATCAAATGTTCCACCGCCACAACCGAGTTATCACTGCATCCAATGCTGAGGGCAGAGCCGAACAGAGCGGCAATGCCATTTGTTAGTTTCCAGCTGGCTGTGGCCGTAGGCGCGCGTCCTCTGGGGAGTGGGGTTGGCTGCAACCCTCCCCTGTCTACGACCACTCCTAAAACATCTACATCATGAAACAAGAGGTCAAGTGAGCAGCATTGCATTCCAGTCAGGTCTGCGCAGCTGCCCAGTGCCATTGGGGTGGATGGTGAGCGGTTGAAAGGGTGAGGCTATGATCGTTGACGGCAGCCATCCATCGTCGTCCATCATCACTTGCCCCATTTGCTTCTTCTTCTTATGCAGGCAAGTTCTGAAGCATTGCTTGTGCGCTGTTTCAGATAGAGTCTAATCCTCTTTGGCAGTCTGAAGCTCCACATCATCACGTCCATGTGTCAATGCTACTCGGCAGTTGCTACCAGCCACCCAGCTTTTAGTGCGCAGTGCTACGGAATACGAATAGATGTTTGCGATACAGACTACTACAATCTGGGAATGAAACCGGACCAGCCTCACGGCTGGGTTGGATCTAAAACAGAAACCTGCCAGGTCCAAAATCCGCCCTATAAGTCCATGGGGGTCTATCGGCCAACCTGAAACTGCTTGTGGGGTACCCTTGGTTCTCCATCTCACGATCTCATTGATCACCAAACTGTGTCGCCCATCATACTGGAGGCTTCATCACCTTCAAGCAAACTACTCTCCTCGCCTGGAGATGGGTCCTAGCGACTCTGGATTGACCACCCTACGCCCATTGACTTCGCATGATGTTGAGCTTCTCTAGGCGCTATGATCACACCATGGCTGGTTTCTGACCCCCAAGTCCCAGCGAGGCCCATATTGGCTTCTAAAACACTGGCATCTTGGTACCTCTGAGAGAGGAAAGGCTAGTACGCCCAAGACGAGCTGATGGCCATCCCAAAAGCGATGTCTGCAGACACGGGGAGTATAACTTGGGAAATTTCGGAAAAGAGCAAGTTGCACAAGCACGTTCCCCGAGTCAGTCAAGCTCTCTCTCGCCCGTGCTGAATGACAACCCATGAAATCGAATACCATTCCGCCCCAGACAATATTATGGCAGAACGGCTCCTGAAGAAGCTCACGCGCTAAACTAGCATGCGGGTCATCCAGGATTCTTTCTTCCAGCGAGGTTTTTTTTTATCTCCCGGATGATGACCCTGACGAAACTCCGGAAGGCTGAGCCGTGACGGCTGGGGCGTCTGCGTCCTCTTTAACCCTTAACCTCTAAATCTTTGTCTGTTCTTGCGGACGACTTCTGCTGTGAATTGCCACCCGGGAGATGCCTGACATCCCAACCAGCCAGCTGTGGTAGCCTATGTCAGGCTCGCGGAAGTGGCAATATCACAATGCTACAGGACTGGTCCAGTATCATTCTTTGTGCTGGTTCCCAGTTAATATCTCATCAGCATATTTGCTCCTTCTGCTCAACCGGGGAGGGGTTATGGTACCTTTGTGGATTCTGCTCTCAGGTAAGCAAGCCCCCAGGGCCTGTCTTGGTCGTAATCTGTTCTTGTGGTGGAATTTTTTCGTCAATTAGACGTTGCATTCTCTCTTTTTTCTCCATTCTCTCTTTCCTTGTAGCCGGATGGTCGTCAAGGCCAACAACCCTCAGCTATCCTGGTCCTCGCTTTGCATGGGGGTCCCTGGCCCTAAGCATTGACCAAGGCCGTCACAGCGCCACAGATGTGGCAATCAGATAAAGGCCCAGACTATGGCACAGGAGTCTTCTTTGGGGGGAGATCATGCCATCAGACCCATCATCTCGAGGAAAGGGGAAGACAACCTGTTGATCTACCGTTTGGGGGGAGGGAAACCCAATTGGAGGTGGAGAAATCCTTCGGGCCTACATGTCGCGCCCATGTCCGTCACCACGGAGGTTGGTGATAGGTCAGCCTGATATAACGTACTGCTTCTTACTATTGGCATGGTCGTTTTGGACAGAGCCGGGGGGGGGATGAAACCGGGAAGTGGAAGGAAGCAATTGTGTTGCATGTCATGAGTTTCTCAGGAAACCAAGTATAGCATATCCTGGGGTGCAGGGTAGGACACCCTTGGACTGTAACGGTATCTTGTCGATACGGTGTAACGGTGTGAATGAAGATGCCTTCCCCGTCGCCCCTCTCGGGGGCGACCATCAGACCGAGTTAGGTTGCTTTTTTCTCAGCTGGGCCTTACCTTTTTTCTTTCTTTTTTTCGTTCTTTTTGTTTGACATGTGTCAAAATAGAATCGGGCACTGTTCTCACTGACGGGGATGCGGGAAGGCTGTGCTGCTTCAGATATTATGGCTTGCTCACTTAACGGCGCAGTCTTCGGCAAAGAAGAAAATATTTCTCACCATCACACTTTGGGTGGTCACACCCTAACGCAGCATTGAACCTAATGATCCGGAATTGCTAAATTCAAATTCCGAAAATATAACCTGATACGAATACAACCAAGCCAACGGCGTTAAGGTGCCGTCGAGTTAATTTGGTGATGCGCTACTCTATAGGGTAGCATGGCTCTCAAGGGGACCTAGGTGAGACACTTTCCTCGCGGATCGGTTAGAAGCAGGTAGGCCATGATATTTCTTTTTCCCTTGCCGAGATGGAATTGCCGAGTTGCATTTGCTTTTTCCTACACGGGAGGAAGGGGAAACTAACATGGTGTGATTATGTACTATGACTACCGACTGCGTCAGTTTGCCTTTCAGTACTACATAATAAAAAAAGAAAAAGAAACTTTCTCGTTACTGCGCAACTGTAGATAATCTGAGAATCCCAAGAGAAAAGGGTGGCGTGACTGTTCAACTCAACCGCAACGCGTAACCTCCTTGGACGGACAACCAGCCATGCAGGACCAGGCGCAATGGTTAACCCCCCAGCCATTAGATTTTCAGAACTGGAAGATGAGGAGCCCAGTGGTGGTGAACGCTTGTAATGTCAACTCTTTTCTACACTTTAAGAACTACTACCCGGTTGCTTTGCATATACATGACCTGCCACCTTCCCAGCACCCCTCAGGGGACACATCGTAATATCACCCAACTTTACACACGCACACGTAGATCCGTCACCCCCGGCCCCTCTCTAAGTAAACTGCTCTCAAGATCTGGCCTCCTCAAGCTCCAACTCCAGCTGTCTGATTCGTTCGCTCTGGTCCTGTGATCCGGAGCTGACTTTCTTCTTCAGAGAGTCCACTTCAACCACGAGTTGGCCGATCTTGTCGTTCTGTGCGTTGATGATCCTGGTCTGGTTCTCGATGAGCTCCTTGATGTGGTCCAGAGAGCTCTCCACGTTCTTAGGGAGTGGCGAGAGCATCTGCGTAGGCGTCGCGGAGCCGGCGGGGGACTTGAGGTGGGATGAGGCTGTGACGGGGGTGGCGAGAGAAGACGATGGCTGGACTTTGGGGACCGTGACTGGTTTGGGAGGGTCGGCGCGGACATTTCCTCGCTGAGGAGGCTTGGAAATCTCCTCGAAGCTAGAGGTCTCATCCTCCTCCTCCTCTACCTCCTCGTTGTCCTGATACTTGTTGGCCATGGCAGAGATGGACCCCTTTTGGTCTGCCATTGTGGGTGGAGGTGATCGGATAGTAGGCTTGGGAGCTTCCTTAGGCTCCACAGCCTTAGGGGCGGCCTTGGGAAGAGGAGATGGCTCGGGCTTGGGGATTGGCTTGTAGTCAGAAGGAACCTCCTTAGGTGCGGTTCCCTCGTATATGCTCTCCAGGTCAATCTTGGCTGGGAGTCCACTCTTGCCGCCGAGCCATTCCGAGGCGCTCACAGCTGGCTTGTTGCCGACGGCTGGGGGGAAAATGTCAGCCTGGAAAGTCTCCGCGCGGCGAGGCACAGTGAAGGAGATGGGCTCCACGTAGGAATCGTTGACCGTCTTGTAGGCCCTCATAACCTCGTTGTCGTGGACCTGTCTATTATTAGCAAGGAACGTGTGAAATTGGTCAAAGAGGTGGAAGCCGTACGTTGATGCCCCTCCGTGGCATGAATGCAAGACCACGCTGAGGTTCAGCGGATTTGTATTCACTCAGATACTCAAACTTGTCGTTCTCATACTCGTAGTAGCGGATGTTGCCGTCACTAAATTCCGTCAGAAATCAAGTTCCTCAGACTACAACAGGGACTAACTCACCCTTTTCCAGCAAGGTAAAGACAGTTGGAACCGTCATCTGCAGAACATGTTAGCAGCCAACCTAAATCAACACCTGATGGGACGCAAGATCAACCTACCCCAGAAAGGCATGCAGACACCGGAAATGGAATCAATCATAGTGAATCCACCAATGGGCTCGTTCCTGCCAGGTTCCCACAGAGCGATCTGTCGCTCACTCATTCTGGAGAAACCAGTAGTGGCAAACCTGTTATGTTCGCCCATCCAGACGGCTCTGCTGTTCTTGGCGCCAGCGTGTCCGGGCGCCTCGTGGACAGGTCGCTCCTGGCGAACATCCCACACGCGGATTTTCTTGTCGCGAGAGGTGGTCACGAGCATGCTACCACTGGCATCCCAGGATAAACTCTGTACGATATCGCTGTGCTTCAGGGTCAGGGCGTTCTGGCCGGTTCCGACATCCCAGAGCTTGATTGTAAAGTCGCCGGAGGCTGAAGCGAGAATGTTCTCCGCGGCAGGGTTGAAGAGGACCTGGCCGACCTTTCTATTGGGCCGTTAGCATTCACATGTTTAATTGGCGCAAAGGTCAACTGGTTGAGGTACCTTGTGTGTCCTCCCAGCTTGTGAACAGGGGAGACATGGGGAACCTCTTCAGCATCGGTGTAAAGCGTGAAGTTTTGCGGCACCTCCCAGATAAACACCTTTCCGTCTTCCGAGGCAGAGGCGATGATACGGTCGTTGAACGGGTTCCTGCATCCGAATATGAGCGCGATACTCTTGGAGTCAAGAGGCGGTAGGTTCGACCACGTACCAGTCGGTATCGAGAACAGTGGCTGTGTGTCCTCGAAACAGCGGGATTTGGTCGGGCAGCTTGCCTCGTTCGTTCAGGGGAATGACTGCGAATGCGCCGCCGCCAGAGGAGTCCCAGTTGACTGAAAGGTACTCGGGGTTGACCTATTGTAAAAAAAAAACACGGTCTGGTCTTAGCACTCCTGAATCTCGTGGGAGCTGGAAATCGGCTGATGGAGGTCGAACGTACCTTGACCAGGTTGGTGTCCCAGGCATTGCGACTAATGTGGATGTTGTCATAGCAGATGTCCTTCTTGGTCGGCTTCCCGAAGATGTGTCCTGGAAGGGGGCAAGTCGGCGAAAGTTAGCTTTGAATTATGGCACATGACCAACGAGGCTCGAGTGCGCCGGGCTGCACTCACGATACTTCGACGCGCGAACGAAACGACCGGCCATTGCGGCGAAACGAGTCGCGGAACGATTAGAGGTGTATTATCGAAAGGCAGGATGCGCGGAGCGAGCAATTGCTTGTGGTCGTCTTGGCAAACTTTTGGGGGCCCAACGTCTGGAATGAGGGCGTCGTGAGCTTGATGAAGCCAACAGGGAGTGGATGGTGTTGTAGCTTGGGTACGGGCTGGGACACCTCCTGCCCACCTCCCCTGTACCGTCGTTGGACAGCAGTACGTACCTCGCATTACAGGCTCGAGTGTAAGAGCTAGGCTGTGAGATAGACCCAATTGGTGGCGCGTGCGACCCCCATTCTCACCACTGACAGGCAAACTGGGTCTTGAAACTCAAGCTGCGCCACATTTTCGGCGGCTACAGTAGCCCCTGATCTCAGGAGAGTGTGTTTGGTATGTGACTGTAATACATGCCTGCGCAAGAGTGTGAGAGACGGTCATCACGTGATGCCCTTTACAGCTTCTAGAAATCGTCCCTCACTAGCTGGCGTGTTTTGTAAAAGAATAGGTTCAAGTTATGGACATTATTCGGTCATTAGTGAGTCCTGAAATTTGAATACAGAAAGAGCATGTGAGATAGCGCCTGAGCGCCCCTCCCAAGCCGGAACGGCAAAATATAAAAAACAGTAACACCTATAATGCGCCGCCAAAGAGCCCGCTTCATACCTCCAACCCGAAAAACAAATCCATTCCAACCAGGTCTGGCCTGGATGAGCTGTATAGCAATGGCGTCAGCTATAGCCATCTCAAAGGGCCACCTTCCGTTGGACCTCATAAAAGTCTTGTGTCAATTCCATGCACATTTCAAGTTCATACACGTATCACATCTCCGCTCCATGCATCGAGGCCGTATGTAGGCTCTCAAAGGTACATGCTCTTAGTTCGTGAATGTACCCGTCGAGAACTGGAGCGCCGACGCAGCTGCTCCTCTCGCCGAAGCACAAGCTCGCACCACTTAGACCGGGCTCGGGCGTTGCCGCCGTCATCCATGACGTCTCCACGGCCGATGACTTCGTTGAGAACCTTCATCCAGCCTTCCTTGTCTTCTGCGGTGTCGGCGTAGAAGTCAATCACTTCGCCGTTGTTGAATCGAATGCGGAAGCCTTCCTCAACGAACATGTACCCTTCTTCCTCTTCCGCAAATGCGGAGCGACGTCGCCTGCCGCCCTTGCCCATCGTCTCCTTTTCTGTGAGGGCTTGACGGTCATCGATCAAGCGCTTAGCGTTGGAGAGATTGATTGTGGCACGGGGCTGGCGTGTCATTTCATGATAAGCCGTGAGCTTGGTGCCTACCAACTTGAAGTAACGGCGGCGCCAGTACTAATCTCGCTGTTAGTATTCTTGTTCAAAAGACGGATACTGCTGGTGGGTGAAAACTTACAGGGCAATCGCCTCCTTGTTGACTCAGGTGACCCTCCCAGTTGCGGGATAATCGTTCCTCTGCCGCCTTGAGCTCTCGGATACAAGCATTCATGCTCTTGGGCATATCCTCATCGGTCGTATTCTTAGGACGAGGAACGAAGAGGAGCTGGAGCTCAAGTTTTCCAATCTTATACGGAGCGCGCCTGACAACCGCAGTGTTTCCACGCTTGCTCTTCACGCTGGAAGCAAAAGCTGGTTCTTCAGTTGCCCACTCGTTGAAACAGGCAATCTCGGCCATATATGGGCGGCCGTAGCAGCGGTTCTCATGCTCCTTGAGGCAAACATAGGATCGGGCAAAGCTGCCATCCTCAGCGGCCAATGGAGACAACAGCTCATAAGCAGTAGGTGCAGCGTTTCGCTGCCGCGCCTGCGCGTCCCTCTGCTGCTGAGCCTGTCTCTCCTCTTCCTCGCGCTGGCGAATCTCGAGCTCCTTCCTCTTCTTGGGAGACGCGAACACTCGGCTGAAGGTGGAAGTCTTGGGCTTTGCCGTCTTGGTAGTTGTGGGGTTGAGCTTGATTGGCGCTGTGGGCTTTTCAAGCTTGACGTTGAGTGTGAGCTGGAACTCAAGATCGTTGGGGACGACCAACTCAAACTCTTGGCCGATAGGAGCATTTCTTGCAAGCTCCAACCAAGCAGTTGTTACGCAGTGGACGCCATTATCCAAAGTGAGGCTGAACCATGATCGTTCATCTAGATTTGTTATTAGCATACAACCCGACTTTGCGTGTTCATTCTTGACAAACTTACTCTTGGGAATTGGGAGGTCAAGGTCCTTGACACCCATGACCTTGACGAAAAGGCGACCTCTCTCGCCGCTCTCGGGAGTGGAGACCTCTGCTGGCTCAGCATCTTCAGCAACCTGGTCAAGGGCCATGGCGTTGCTCTGCTGACCGGGAACTGGGGGAACGGGGCCAGTGCTCAAGCGCGCTGATCTTCTGCGAGTGCTCTTCTGGCGTTGCTGTGTGTGCCAGGGCTCAACAACCCAAGATTGTGGTCGCTCCTGCTTGACTGGCGAGTTACCTGCAGAACGAGCTTTCCAGCTCTCATCTCGGTCCTTGTCAGTGGCAGTGACAAGCTTGGTGTTCTGTCTCATGAGATATCCACGCTGGTTACGAGATTGAAGGTTAGCACCGTCCTCATCAAGTAGCTGGCCAGACGATAGTCTCGCCTCAGAAGAAGGTTCTGAAATGAAATCGTTGTAAGCAACCTTTTGTGCCTCCATAACCCTCTCAAAATCTTGATCCAGGCTGAGACCAAGATCGAGGTCCAAAGTCAAACTTCGCTTGTGGAAGCTGGGGTGACGCTGCACAGCTTCTTCGGTAGGAGTATTGAGGTCTCCCTCCAGATCCTTTGTCACTTTTTGGCGGTGGAAGTCGGGGATCATTGGCACGTCGGGAACCTCGACACTGACTTGTCGTCGAGTCTCGCGCATGGCGGCCAGATCAGCAGGAGTGTTAGAGACGCGCGTCTTCAGCTTTGAGCCGGAAGACGATTTGATTGTCGCTAATCTCTCCGGGATGACGGGCTCCTCTTTTGGCTCCTCATACACCTGCGCATCCTCATCGGCTGATGCCCGGTGGTGGATGACTGAGTCTGGTGTTCCAGGCTCTGAGATGCTGTCCTCTGGCTCACCCCAGCCAGAGCCATCGTATTCAGGCTTGGACATGGGCTGATCTGGTGTGTAGGGGCGAGAGGTAGCTTCCTCCTTGATTTGCGAATTTTCCTGCTCAGGTCGGTATTCCTGGGATTTGCTTTCCTGCAGCTCATTCCCTTCAACCGCGCTCTTCTCAGCGTCCAAGTCTTCTTGTGCATCTTCAGTCTGCTCATCCTTGGGGAAGTCGGAGTCAAAATCCAACGAGATTGATGATTCCTCTGGTTTTCGGCTGAGGTCTGGAATGCACTTCAATGGGTTGGGCTTGAGATCGACAGGGGTTGTGGCACGGGGGGTGTCAGCCTCTTCCTCGATGAGTTTCTCAGGCTCTTCCTGCGGTGTTGTGGCATGGTCGGAGTAATTGCTGCCATTGTCATCAGCGTTGGCAGCCTGGAGAAGTTTGTCTTCGGCTTCGGCCAGCTCCTTGTCCACAGCTTCAGGATCGAAGTTCTCGAGGAATTCCGAGAGATCCTCGTCTTCCTCATCATCATAATCATAGTCTGGGTTTCGGGTGATGATGACGCTGCCCTCCTCATCCTCGTCTTCCAGATCCTCGCTCAAGATTGAGTCCTCGGTTGAGGGAATGGGGACATCAGGGTCAAGAGGGAATGACCTCTCTGGGCTCTTGCTGGGGCTGCGTTGGGGGCTTGAGCTTGGAGCGGGAGACGAGAAGTTCCAGTCTGACTCTCGTTCATTGACTTTGTTGCCATTAACGCGTCGCATGATCGATTCGCGCGAGATACGGCTGGGGAGTTGATAATCCTCCAAGCCAGAGATGTCACCAATGGTATCATCCTCGACGATGCTGGACTCTGCCTCGGAAATGGGGCTGCTCAACCTCTCACGGCCGTTAGCACGTCGGAGGCGGCGCTCGCGCTGCTGTTCTGCAGCTGATTTGCCACCACTATCATCAGAGAGCATCATGAGCTTCAGTCTTTCCTCGAGAGACATCTTGCCATGCCCAATACTTGGGACATCAGTTTTGCCGTTGGCCACGCCTGGTGGAGGCGAAGGGAGGCTTCTACGTGATGAAGCCGCCGACAAAGCTGGAGAAGCGCGAGAGGAGTCATTTGATTGAGTCCTGGAATGACCGAAAGCGCCGGGCAGTGGGGGCAAAGGCCGGTGGTCGGTGTTGGAGTTTCCAGATTCATTGCGCTTTGTGCTTGGAGTTCCATGCTCGGCAACGGATGGTGCGGCCTCTGGCATAGGGCTGGCTGACCACTCCTTGGACTGCATGTTGAAATGTGTAAATGGGCTCTCTCCTCGCCAGTCATCGGGACCGACGACGGGGGTCTTGTCTGTGTCCTCGAGCGATGCATCGAAGCTCTCCTCGTTCAGGTCCACATCACCTGATTCGTAGAGCATACTGTCATCTTCGTCTCCGAAGGATTCATAGCTGCCTTCTCGCGAATTTGAGCCCACAGATGATAAATCTGGAGTAGCCATTTCATATTCATTGATTTGGGGAGGTGCTGCGTCAAACGTAACGCTCTTGGCATGGCGATGTAGTGATCGACCGCTCGGCATGTCATGTTCATTGATGGACGAATCAAAAGTCCACTGTCCTGTCTCTTGATCGAAGCTGCTCTTGAATCTGGAAGGCGAAAGCGACGACTTTGTTGGGGAAGCCTGGTCCTTGCTTGGTGTGCGTGGTGTGTTGTCGACTGGAGCTGCAAGGACGGGCTTAGGGCTCGCCATTGTGGTCGACGTGCTTATGGTACTCTCGTTGTGGCTGGAGTCGAAGACAGAGTGGTCGGAAGAATCAGGGCTTTTCGGACCAGCGGTGGATAATCGAAAGGCGTTCCCAGAGACCTTAGCAAGGGGTCTCTCGATCTGAGGCAGTCGAGTAGGATCATATTCTTGCTTCTGCTCGAGAGCTAGAATGTTGCTGTTCCTGACCCGCGATGCCTTCTGTAGGCGTTCAATAGAGGAGCGGCGGGTAGGAGATGGTGAACCATTACGGCCACCCTGGAAAGTGTTCTCGCTGTTGCGGTTCTGCCAAAACATGCGAGGGGATGAGACGGTCTCCAGAGGAGACGACTGGAATGGCGAGGAATCATTGTTCAATGCCGCCTTCTAGAAGCCATGTGTTAGCCACCCGGACCAACCCGCGTCGATGGATATGTTGCATTCCGCACAGAGAACACAAGCGAGGTGACTCACCTTGGGCGATATTTTGGGCTGACACCAGCTGGGTGAGTTTCGTCTCTTCTCCATTGGAGAGAGCTCTGACAGTGGGCGGGGATTCCCAGATCCCATCTTGAGTGGTGAACCTAGTGATTGTTTGTGGATGCGAAGAGGGGAGACCTGCGATAACACATAGGGTCAGTGCCATGTATGGGCGAGTCGATTTGGGGTTTGCTACATACCGAATCGGACGCCATCTTGGTCAAATAGGCGGTGGTATGCTCGTCTGAGTCCCTGAAATCATTGGTATGCAGATTGTTTCACACTCGAGTGGCTAATAAAAGGTCGCGGCGTGGTCAGGCCAAAGTAGAATAACGTATGGGAACGGAACGGAAAACGCTAGTATCGGGAAAGAATGTTGGGTTGCCTCAGCTGTCGGCGCGCGAGGGCCTCGACGATGGAAGAAGACAATGAAGACAATGTAGACAATGAAGTGGTTGAAGAACGCATTGACTAAACAAATAGAATGGCGGCATGTGTTCTTGTCAAGGGATGGAGGAAGCAGAGAGGATGCTCGGTGCTGTGTTTAAGGGACGCAGTGCGAGCAACAGACGGCCGGCTGTGATTGGCCGCAGGCAAAACAAACAGCCAGCTTCTGATGGTCGGGCGTTGCCTAGGAGACGGGACCGGGACCCCCTGGCCTCCAGCAGGCTTTCGCATGCTCTTGCAGGGCGCTAATCACTCTGTGACAGGCTACCATCGACCCCGCCATGCCCTGTGGAGGGGGGCAATGACTGTGTCTGGACCGTTGGAAGGGAGCTCGAGCAACAACTCGAGGTCACAAGCAGCTGAATATAGTGGGCTCGTATTCTCTGTTGACCCATCCATCCATACCAAGTGCTGCATATGCGCACGCACGGCATCAGCAAACTCCTACGTGCAGCAGACAGTAATCTACCTATGCAGCGGCGGCGGCTATCTGGGGCAACCCTTCTTGCGTACGTCGGGGATAAGCCGTAGGTGCACCTAGCTTCTTTTCTTTTTTTCCTGCTTCTTGCATGTGCATCGGGAAGCATTACTCTAATGTGGACGGAGACGGAGAGGCAGGATTTGAGACGGAGGCGTGGCAACCGAGCAGCGGGAAAATCCAAAACAAATAAACAAAATAAACTTTGCCCATGATTATGTCCCGGTGTGTTCGATCTTTCCCATTGCCTCCTCCTCTCGCTCACGCTGATTGGAGGCTGACTCGCTGCGACATGGGCAAGGGTCGTTGCGCATCACCCTGGGATGCGATTTAATTATTGCATAGACTTCAACCATGTTCTGGGATCAGTTCCTGCTTTCTGGTCTTATGACGGTATCAAGAGTTCTTCTCGGAGGATAGCGTTTTCATGCAAACACCAGGGTTGGTTAAACCAGCGAGCCCCACGATATGGGCGCAATGCATTCCGGCCGAAAGACGGCATTACTTGAACCTCCATTGCTATTATCTTGAGGCGGGTTTGTTATTCGGGCGTCAGGATCAAGGCACCAGCCAACCAATTGATTTTACTCTTACCTCTTTTAGCAAGTGATGAGGTCTTATCGGACGAATAACCTCTTAGGAACAATAGCAACATAGACACATTACTTTGTATTTGAATCTTTTATTTTCAGTTTACTCAAAATGAACATTCATCAGTAGCAGGTCTTCTACCAACCAGTCTGCCCCCATTGCCATTGCCGTTCTGTTCTGCCCCACACAATCCGGTGAAGTGGTGATAGACCACATAAGCTCGTAACTTTCCCAAGCAGGTTTGGTGTAGTGGCTATCACGTATCGTTCACAGTTTCTATTCGAAACTACCGATAAGGTCGCGAGTTCGATCCTCGCAATCTGTACTCTTTTTGCAAAAGACAGCAAAAAGCTTTTTGTGTCTTCCGGTTTACTTTTATGCGCCCAATCTTAGATTCCTTTGTGAAAAATTGCCGCAGTGAGATATGACAACTCTCTCCACCAGAGCATGCTGGAACACATCTAACATCCCGTCCACAGGTGTGTGGATAAGGAGCGCCTACACGCGCTTATATAATAAGCTAGACGTAGGTTTAGACGGCTACCTAGCTATTGAGTGTGTCTTCATAGATTTTAATGCGAACAAGCTGTCTGTTGTGGAGTTTCTCCCCTTCTCGCCTCTTCTTTTTCCGTCCCAAAAGGCCAATTGGGTGCAGAATACCATGACTCGTTTCAGGCCCTGTATCGATCTGCACGCCGGTGCGGTGAAGCAGATTGTTGGTGGCACTCTTGACAGCTCCTCGGAAGCTCTGAAGACCAACTATGTCTCCAAGCACCCCTCGTCATACTACGCACAACTCTACAAAGACAATGATCTTACCGGCGCTCATGTCATAATGCTTGGCCCTGGGAATGAGCAAGCCTCTCAAGAAGCACTACAGGCGTGGCCAGGTCGCCTCCAGGTAGGAGGTGGCATTTCGGATAAAAACGCCCAAGAATGGATAGATGCAGGCGCAGAAAAGGTTTGAGATGAAAAAGCCATCAATGGACTGGCTCAAAACCTCGACAGATGAGATCATTGCCAGCTGACTAGTTGAGTCAGGTCATCATCACTTCATTTTTGTTCCCAGAGGGCAAATTCAGCCAACCAAGGCTGGATTCGGTGCTCAAGTCCTTGGGAGGTGACAAGAATAAGCTGGTTATCGACCTAAGCTGTCGCCGCCGAGGCGACGAGAGCTGGTTCGTTGCTATGAACAAGTGGCAGACAATCACCGATATGGAGGTGAACTTGGGTGCGTTGCCTCTGCCTCCATCTGGAGGATATGCCTTGAAAGCACACCAAACTAATAAATGAAACAGAAACGATCAAGGCATTGGAACCTTATTGCTCCGAGTTTCTCATTCACGCCGCGGATAATGAGGGCTTGCAGAAGGGGATCGATGAGAAGCTAGTTGAGCGGTTGGCGCAGTGGTGCTCTATCCCCGTTACTTATGCGGGAGGCGGCCGGAACCTGGACGATTTGGAAGCCGTGAAGCGACTGAGTGCTGGCAGGGTAGATCTCACTATCGGGAGCGCTCTTGACTGTTTCGGTGGATCCGGAGTCAAGTTTGATGATTGCGTAGCATGGAACCGAAAGCAAGATGCCGAGAGCGGGTAGTGAATAGGCTTGATCACAATAAAAAAAAAGTGTTAGTGTTAGATGGTCTAAGAGTGTGTTTGCAGATATGGAGGTGAGCGCTGGTTATTCTTGACGAACTACGGTAGCCAGGCATATGGGTGTCATTTTCTCAGCAATTGGCAAGAAAGATGTACGGGAGCTACGACTCTGTCATGAGACACCAAAGGACGGAGCAGTGCCCCAGGGGCTTCATATCTAAGTGGCAACGCCTGATTTCGTATGGAAATGGCACGTAAAGTCAGCTGTGGCATGATATTCTAGGGTAGTAAGGGGCGAGTGAGGCAATCATTTTCCCAGACAGACGTTACCTGTCATATGCGCTGGGGATGTATTGAGCACAGACAAGTACATGATAGATGCTTGGTAGCACAGGAACGAAGCGTTGAAGCCAGCCATTGTATGCAGAAAAGGGCCAGAAAACATGCACGCAGAACAGTTAATGGATGTGATATGGGAGGAGGACCGGCATACTGGATTCTCTTAGACATGCGCTGTAGGTAATATCTTGGCTGTACTGATAGCGCACCCACACCTGCCACACTCACAGCGGGCACTGACGGCGATTACTGGCTGAGATCAGCCCGTGTGCGCCACCTGCTGGGCTGCGGAGGGCGCTGTCTGCTTCCGTTCCCTCCCGCCTACCGCCTGTAAGTAGCTCCTGCCAGCCATTGATAGCTGCGTATTACAACAGCCAGACGTCACAACTTGGCTATTAGACTGCATCCCCATCGTAAATGCCTCAGTTGCCTGCCTGTAGGGAGGCAGATGAGATACGCGTAGACGTAAGATGATGTACCTCTCATGTAGCTGCACTGTCCAAATCGAACGAACGGGAGCCCGGGAATCAGGCCGTGGCTGGACAGACCAGGTCGGGAGCAGCGGTGACCCGTGCAGCAGGCAAAACCTCATCTCGATACAAAATGCTGCCCCTCCTTGCCCCTCCATTCTCCAGTGCCCCTCGTATGTTCTACCTACACCTAAAACTACCTAAGGCTAACGTCCATGCTAAATTTTGAGACGAAATAATAGTCGACTCTCCCCCTTCCACTCTGCGAGCAGCCTTTTAATTTCGTTCTTTCTTTTGCATTCTCAATCAATTCCCAATTCAAGACGTAACCAAACACCATGACCTCAACCGAGACCAAGGCCTGCCTCAGTATGCTTCCTCAGTGCCCGGACGGCCCTCTGTCTCAGCAGGAGCAGAATATCGTCTTCTCGCGTCGCGTTCATCTTCCAACTAACACCGAGTTTCCTAGTCGTTATCGATGGCTGGGGAATCCCCGGCGAGCAGTCGCCCAAGGACGGCGATGCCATCACCAACGCCAAGAGCCCTACCATGGACGCCTTCGCCCAGAACAAGGAGAGCTTTGCTGAGCTTGAGGCCTCTTCCACAGCTGTCGGTCTGCCCGAGGGCCTGATGGGCAATTCCGAAGTCGGCCACCTGAACATCGGTGCCGGCAGAGTCGTGTACCAGGATGTCGTGAGAATCGGTAAGTGTTGGATGTCCAAATTCGTTACTTATTTTTATTTCTTTTTTTTTTTCCCTGGCGGAGGATATCTAGACATGAATTTGTTCCTTGGGGCTGATCTTAGGACATAGACCAGACAATTAAGAAGGGAGAGCTCAACAAGAACGAGGTCCTTGTTCAAACCTTTGAGCGAGCCAAGAAAGGCAACGGACGACTTCACCTTGCTGTAAGCATCCACCATCCTGATATCTTCCCAGATCTGGTAATGTTGGAGAAGCTGAGGAGCTAACTTGTCGATCTTACATCGTGATAGGGCCTTGTCAGCCATGGTGGCGTCCACTCCAAGCAGACTCACCTCTATGCGCTGCTCAAGCTCGCCAAGGAGATTGGTGTCCCCAAGGTCTTCATTCACTTCTTTGGTGATGGCCGCGATACTGACCCCAAGAGCGGAGCCGGTTACCTGGAAGAGCTCCTCGAGACCGCTAAGGAAATTGGCACTGGTGAGATCGCTACAATCGTTGGCCGATACTATGCCATGGACCGTGACAAGAGATGGGAGCGTTGCGAGCTGTAAGTGCACCTGGATCCGCAATCTGCCTGTCGAGTTCGAGTTTGCTAATGCATCTCCTTTCAAGTGCCCTGAAGGGTCTTATTCTTGGAGAAGGAACGCCAACCGAGGATCCCGTTCAGGCTATCAAGGATGTCTATGCTCAGGGAGGATCTAAGGATGCTGACGAGTTCCTCAAGCCTATTATTGTCGGTGGCGATGAGAGGAGGATCAAGGGTGAGTTAACCTTATGAGGCCTGGCCGTTTCAACCGACCATGGCTTGGATGCAAGACTGACCAATCGTTCAGATGACGATACCGTGTTCTTCTTCAACTACAGATCTGGTAGGTCTCTCCGGCATAACTTTTGTCGCCCCCGAGAGGAAAGATATTGCAGGAACTGACGTGAATGTCAGACCGTGTCCGCCAGATTACACAGGTTCTTGGCGATGTTGACCGATCCGTTCTCCCCGACTTCCCTTACCCCAAGATCCATCTTGTTACCATGACCCAGTACAAGGTCGACTACCCTTTCCCCATTGCCTTCCAGCCCCAGAAGATGGACGATGTCCTTGCCGAGTGGCTAGGAAAGCAGAATGTTGAGCAGGTCCACGTTGCCGAAACCGAGAAGTACGCACACGTCACATTCTTCTTCAACGGAGGTGTTGAGAAGATCTTCCCCTTGGAGACACGAGACATGGAGCAGGATCTCGTGCCCTCAAACAAGTCCGTGGCCACCTACGACCTTGCTCCCGAGATGTCTCAGGACGGTGTCGCAAACCAGGTCAACAAGCGACTGGCAGAGCAGAAGTTCCCCTTCGTTATGTGTGTAAGTACTATTTGTGCACTCGATGATCTCTATATCTTTCAGAGCTGACAATACTGGTTGATCAGAACTTGGCTGCCCCCGACATGATAAGTACCCCTCCTGAATCCGCGAAAATTTGATGATAGGCTAGCTAACATTATAATACGTCGGACATACTGGAGTGGTGAGTCTGAGCCATGACCTTTCGCGTTGAGCAGGCACCGGAATAGTGAATGCTAATACTTCCTCTAGTACGACTCTGCTCTTGTTGCTGTCGAGGCTTGTGACAAGGCTATTGCCAAGATCTACGAGGGCTGCAAGAAGGAGGGATATGTCCTCTACATCACTGCCGATCACGGCAATGCTGAGGAGATGAAGTTCGCCGATGGCAAGCCCAAGACCAGCCACACCACCAACAAGTATGTGACCTTACCAACGGGTCGCCCATTGAACTAATCAAAGCTAATATATGCTCCAGGGTCCCCTTCATCATGGCCAACGCCCCCGAGGGCTGGGGCCTGAAGAACACATCCGAGGCCGTCCTCGGAGACGTTGCGCCCACCATTCTTGCTGCTATGGGACTCCCTCAGCCCGAGAACATGACTGGCCAGAGTCTTCTGGTCAAGGGCCTGAAGCGCAACGCCGAAGAGTAAAAGAACTACAGAGTAAGCAGAGCCATTATGTGGCAGACTAATTGTTTCAATAAGAAGCATCTGTTTGTTGTGGAAGTCGTATAAACCTATACATGCATCGTTGTTGGTGGAAAATAGACTGGAGTTAGACTGGGGCGAAGAGATGAATTGGAGTTAGAACGTGGCGATGAGATTTTCAAGAATTGACGACTTTGAGATTGATGCCTTATTGATTTTGCTTTCCCTATTGCTGTCACACCTTGACGAAGCACATCTCCAAGGCTGGACTCGATGCTTGTGCAAGGATGTTCTAAGACAACAGCTCTTCTGTTGCTGTGCCAACAGGCGACACATCTCCAATATATTGCTTCGGTTGGTGCAAAGCGCTGGCCATAAACATTTGCGACACTTTGGACTGGGATCCGGCATAGCATCGATGCCCAACGGCCCAAATTGCATTTCCTCTTCAACTGGAACCCATGTTCGTGCTGCCTGCTAGAGCGATTGGATGATGTTGCTATTGCTGGGGTGATCCAAGTCGAAGGACCCCACCAGGAAATGACATGAGTCTGTCTCTTGGTGGGTTGGACGAGGGTTCGAGTTGGCAGATCAAACACCTGCCCACACTTGGACGTACACACACGCACACAGTGGGAGAACAAATGCATATGCAAGGTAAGGGCCCCTTCGCCCCCCCGCCGTTCGCATAACATTCATGCCAATGTTTGCAAACCATCAGCTCCTTCGCCTCCCACCAGTCGGTCCACCCTGCACTGATTCCTCTTGCTCTGCTATGCTATAGCTTCGGGATTCGGGCCCACTAAAACTTTTGCGCTTCTTGCGCCGTCATGGCTGCAGCTGCTGATGTGGATGGTCTCGCAGCTCGCCAATCATAGAATGTGAATGGTTGTACCGGCAAGCATCGACTCACCTCTGCCGTACGACGTGCCACCAGCCCACCGAGAGGGCGCCGCGCGCGCACCCAAGGCGCAAAGAGGGACTTTGCGAGGCCCCCAGCAACCGCCCAGGCCGAGAAACAATATAGCAAATCCAGGCCAATGTCCGGCATTGGCCGGTCGCGCGATCGCGATCGCGAGCCGAGCAAGCGCAACAGCATCACCGACCGCCTGGTCAACACCTTCAATCAGGTCCGCAACCGAGATCCGTCCTCCCCTCTCTCCCCGCTGGGGCGCCGCGCCTCGTCTGCCTCGTCCACCAGCGGGCCGAGTCCCATCGCCAAGGTCCGCGAATGGCTCGATACCTGCAACCGCGAGCACGACCATCATTGCAGCATCAGTAACCCAGCTGATGACCCCGACCCGACAGCGAGTACGGTCTTTCGTCCAGAGTGGCTGATTGACTCCTCCGAACGCTGTCTTGTAAGGTCACAGCCAGGCGACCGCTATGTGGCTCTGAGCTATGTCTGGGGCATGGGGCCCAACCAGCGGAAGAGCGAGCCAGAAGAGTCGGCCAAGCTGCTGAAGAGCAATATAGAAATGTACCGCGACGGCCTGCCGGAGAGGGATGTCCCCGATACCATATACGATGCCATCAGGCTGTCGCGGAAGCTGGGCCTCAAGTACATCTGGGTCGACCGGCTCTGCATCGTGCAGGACGACGAGGTGCAGAAGGAGGCGCACGTCAGGCACATGGCGGACATCTTCGCGGGCGCCTACCTGACCATTGTCGCGGCGCATGGCGATGCGGAGACCGGGCTGGTGCAGCTCGACCCGCGCCGGCCACCGCCAGCGCGCGGGGGTGGGTTCCGTCCGCAGGGCCAGAGCCACGATGAGCTGGTCTTGAAGTCGAGGTGGCACACGAGGGGGTGGACGCTGCAGGAGTACATGTACTCGCGGCGCTGCGTGTTCTTCTTCGAGGATGCCATCACCTGGGAATGCCACTGCGACCTGTGGGAGAACACCCCGCCCAGTATTCTGAAGGCGATTCAGCGCAAACCTACTCCCGTCTGCACGATTGCGCCGGCAGAGGCCATCCTAGGCTATCGCCACACGACCTGGCCAGATCTGGACGAGTATGCCCGTATCGCGATGGAATATAGCGCCAGGAAGGTGACCGTCCCCGAGGACGCGCTTAGGGCCTTTGCTGGAATCACCCATATGCTATCGCGGGTGTTTCCAGGCGGGTTCATCTACGGGATGCCACTCATGTTTCTCGATGTCGCGCTCTTATGGCGACCGCAAGCGTCTATCAGACGGCGGGCTGTGATGAAACCCCCTTTCCTCCCGTCCTGGTCGTGGATGGGCTGGTGGTTTGACGGAGTCCCCGCTGATATGATCCTCTGGCGAGCTGCTGCAGACTACGTACACGATACCTTGGCTTGGGGAAAGGGTGGTACCGCACCCAAGAGGTTACAGCCGACTTCTGGCTTCAAATTCAAGTCTACCGTGACATGGAGCCTCACCGATAGGCAGGCCAGCGTCCCCGTCGCCAACACGGGCTTACAGTACCGTGACCTGAGGGCAAGGAAAACGCCGGCCACGGTGCTGCCGGCTGGGTGGTCGAAGTCAGGCAGCCACTACTTCAAATATGACGGCGACCCGGACACAACATTTAAGTACCCCGTTCCCGTCGAGGACCTCCCCGAACAGGGCACCTACGAGCCGCCGGTCGGCGAGCTCGCCTACCCCGGCCCCTTATTATCCTTCAGATCCAAAACAGCCTTCTTCGAGGTCGACTACTCCGAATCCCTCGCGCCCCGGGACGCCGACTGCCCCCCCGTGGCCGTCGGCAACATCTGGACCAAGTCGAACCGCTGGGCGGGCACGTTCCGCGCCCACGACGGCTGGCTCGGGGTCCAGTCGTCCAACTACGGCCGCGACCAGGACGAGATGCTCGAGTTCGTCGCCATCTCCACCGTCATCGAGCGCCGGGGGTCGCACCTCTTCAGCGAGGAGCAGTTCCAGGCCAACAAGGACGTGGAGGAGTACATCTACATCGTCAACGTGCTCTGGATCGAGAGGATCGGCGGCATCGCGTATCGTCGCGGGCTGGGCCACATCCTCGAGAAGGCGTGGGATGCCCAGCATAAGGAGGATGGCGACATTCTTCTTGGATAAATGCAAGGCTTTGACCCCCCTTGAATGGCTCAAGGGGGCCAGATTACCCCCTTTGCTGTTCGTGTCTATGTTGCATAATTTCTCTTGAGCGTGGGATTCATCTTGTCGAATCTAATATTTCTGTCGTCTCCTCTCCCGACTGTTTGGGTAGGATGATGAGGTCCAGTAATTTCTAGACAATCTTTCGAGATCGAGGTCCGGAAAATCCGAGACCTATCTGTATTTTGTACTTGTACATGTGGAAATGCATCGCATTTTCCCCGCGATGCCAATTGTATAATAGTCTCTTTGGGCATGTATTGGCTGATTTGGATCCTCTCCCGGTCTGGTTTCGAGCGTCATCGCAAAGCGAACACATTTGCCTCCGACTTTTGCCAATTTTTTTGGAGTTGCAACAATAATAAAATTTGCTTGACACGTCGTGTGCTGAGTGGCCTTCAAACTCCCTCTTCCATGTTTTGTCTGCAAGGCAGAGTTCATTTATCTCAGGAAGTCAGAGAAGATATTTAGGGGATGCCCCCAAGCCTATTCACTTGAACATTCCATACCTAGCATACGGTATGTTTCTCTTGGTCTCGTCAAATTATCTTGTGATTGCTAGATAATGTACATTGCTATTTTGCCACTAAATACAACGCATTGGTATTAATAACGTTGGGAATTATATTTCGAACCAAGATCGTGTCCGGTTTTAACTAATATGCCTTAATACAATAGAGTGATGATGACAATATAGTACGTTGAAGTGTGTTGTTACAGGATTTACCCACGCGTAGTTTGCTTCTTCTGGGCCTTGCGCATCTCCTTCTCCTTTTCCTTCTCCAGATACTTCTTCTGAGCCTTGGCATTGAGGCCAGCAAGCTCAGCATCACGCTTGGCCTTCTTGGCCTTCTCCTTCTCCAGGAGACGCTCCTCAGCCTTCTCGTCATCCAGAACCTTTCTGAGCTCCTTGTCCATCAGCTCACGGGTAGCCTTGACTTTCTTGAGAACCTCAGGACGGAAGCGGGCAGTCTGTACAAGAACGTCGGGGAGGCGGTTGAAGTAAGTGAAGAGAGGAAGGGATTCCTTGTAGTTGTTGCCAGAGTTGAGACGGTACTTGAGAATGATGCGCTTGCTGGAAACGTTCTCGGCGAGGGTCTTGGGCTTGTCAGCGGGCTGGTCGGTGATGATGAGGTACTGGAAGGCATCTCCAGCAGCCTTGACAGCTGCAGCAAGTTCATCGGTGAGAAGGGCGTTGGTGATTTCGGCACTTTCGCTCATGACAGTAAGCCAGTCAGCCAGCTTCGAGTTATCCTTGGTGGAGGTGAGGGAGACGTCGTATCGCAGGTCGCGAACCTGCTTCATGTTGTTCTTGTTCACGATAGCCCACACGAAGGAATCATAGTTGCTCTTGCCATCCTTGGCACGAGCCTCAGCAGAACCAGGAAGGCTGGGGACAGTCTCGTTCTCCTTGCCATCGAATGGGTAGATGACGGCCTCGACGGAATCCTCGGGGGTTTCAAAGGCAGACTCCATAACAAAAGCAGCACCATGCTCAATAGCATTGACAATTGGGTTGTACTTCTTGGTGAGGTTGATCTTGATATCCGTGAAAGCTGTGTTTTGCCTACCGGTGGCGTATGAGACAAACTCGATGAGAGACTTCTCCTTGATGAGGGTGTTGGTGTTTTCATCCTCCTTGTTCGAGTTGGGAACACCGCTGAAGCCGACTAGGGCATACTCGCTCTTGAGAAGAGGAGCGTGGGCGCGGATCCATGCTCGAGCTTTGGAACGATTCGCGCGGGAACCGATTATGTGCAGGACGACGATGACCAAGCCAATGACGAGGATAATACCCTCGCTCTTGAATTCGGAAAGCGAGTGGCGCTCGTGGACGTTGTACCACTTGGTGTAAGGGACCTGGGTTGACGTGGCAGGGGCTGAACCATCAGTACCAATGACAGGAGCAGCTTCAGGGGTAGGATCAGGAGCTCCAGCGAAATCAGCGAAGTCTAATGTTGCGTGTCAGTGGTAAGCTTAGATCCGGGTTGCGACAGGTTGTCGTGTGAGAGATTACCGGAGTCGGGCTTGATCGCGACAGGCTTCTGGGCCTCGCCGCCACCAAATACGTTCTTCAGGAAATCAGCCATGACTGGAGTCCACCCAACGAGTTGATGAAAATGGCCGAGGAAGAAGAGAAGAGGAGAAAGAAAAGGAAAAAGGAAGGGGGAGGAGGAGGAGGAGGAGGGGAAAGCGTCGGCGCAAATGGCAATGACACGCGGGTGAGGAGAAAATTAGGGTGGAAGCTTCGATGTCGCCAGATGTTGGTCTAAATGAGCACGTACATGGACTTGGAGCCTATCCGCCCGTGTGGGGGGCCTTCTCCAATCCTGAGTGGCCAATTCCAGGCCATCCATCGTACTAGCCACAGGTGCGTTATCTGGGGCTCGCTTGGACTCGAGTCGTTCTCACCTGCAGAACAAATTACGGTTAGTCAGCGAATACCAGTGACTGTTGCCCTGCCAACCGCTCATTGACGGCGACCTACATAGTTTGAGCTCGAGGTTCACCACTGCAATCAGTCGAAGAGAAATTCGCAACATCGACCAATTCGCATATGTATGATGGAACATCATGGCAGGCACAACATCTTCGCGCAAGTACGGAAAGAGGACAACCAGGTCCAAGGCGGAGCGACTATTTGCAGAGCTTCCCCAAAGCCCCTGGAGGAGGAAGCCTGAAGTGCAGGTTGATGACAAAGCTGTGAATGAGTTGACTGAGAACCTCTCCGTCATAAAAATCTCAGCCGAGCAGTTATCATCTTGTGTTCCTGTACAGGTTGTTGAGGAGAAAGAGGAGCATATCAGACCCGAGGACCCGCCAGGTTCAGACGCTTGCCCACAAGAGAGCATCCAGGAAGTGGCTGCGACCGAAATTTTAGAGCCAGAACCACAGGGCTATCAACAATATGTGGCAGAAATTCACCGCGAGAGTCATGTCGAGGGACCTGGATTGGACGAAGGGGATGCGGGCGATGTTTCGTTACGAATGTTAACCTGGGAGGATATTTGTCCTCCAGGAGATCAAATCACCAAAATTGCAGAGGCATCATTCGCTGAGGTTTACCGTGTCAGCAATGAGAGAGGAACGAGCATTATCAAAGTCATGCGGCTCGAGTCGCCTCTCAAGGCGCAGACGAAAGCGCAGGTCCGGTCCGGACTGGTGGATGAAGAGCCACGCTCGGGCGAAGACGTTGAGGGAGAACTCCAGATATCAGAGTGGCTGGCCGACATACCTGGCTTTGTTGTTTACAAGGAACGCTATGTAGTGCAAGGGAAAGCACCCCGGCAGTTGATTGAAACCCATCAGGCGTTCCAAAAGAAGCTGAAGAAACAGGATCCCGGCCGAGCACAATTTTATCCTTCCCCCACCAGATATCTCCCAGATACGAAATTCCTTGTCGTCGAACTTGGCGATGCGGGTAAGGCTTTGGAAGACTGGGAGCTTACAAGCATGGATCAGCTATGGGACGTGTTTTTTCTTGAAGCCATTGCGCTGGCCCGAGCCGAGGATGTGGCTATGTTTGAGCATCGTGACCTCCATGAAGGCAACTTGTGCCTCAGGCAGGTGTCACCTCCCCGCAAGAGGCATCCGGACTCATTGGGATACTTTGGATACTCGGGGCTTGAGATCACAATACTGGATTATGGCCTGTCCAGGGCCGAAGACCTCAGTATCGATTACGCCAAACCAGTCGCCTATGACCTGGAAAAAGATCTCAGCCTCTTCACGAGCACCCATGCACCGCAATGCAAGGTGTACCGGCAAATGCGCTCGTTTCTACTGCGAGCTGATCGCATATGCCTCCCCCCCGAGAAGCACGACAGCGCCTACGCAAAAGGGATCGACGGGCCAATTTCATGGGACGCATATGCGCCCTACACCAACGTTCTCTGGCTTGCATACCTTTATGAGTATCTCGTCAATAACTTTGCAGGAAGCAAGAAAGAACTGAACCACTTTAAGAAGCTCACTGGGGAGATGTGGGGATATTTGAACCCCGAGGCAAAATCAAATGTCCCCTGTTTTGGGAGCGCAGAAGACATCGTCGGCTTTGCGGTTGAAGCTGGGTGGGTGAGAGAAGACCAGCTAATGGAGTTGGGAAATTCAATTTTGGATAAAGAGGATAGCATCATCATATCCAAGGCAGAAGATGATGTGGAGGATGCCTCTGTGAGAAGGTCTCCCCGCCGGAAACGGTGATTGAGGCATATGAGATGGCCTGCTCACATGGAGTTGTGCCTCGGGGCCATGTGTTCTTGGGAAAAGACTTGTTTGATTTAGGATAGATTTCGGTTTGGCGTCATTGTAAGCATCATGCTTCTTTATGGTGAATACCCTGGGATTGTTTTACACACATCAGCATTGGATTTTAGAATTTTTAGCGATACTATCATATTAAGATAATAGATTAGAGCCTGCGGTTTACAGCCTTGAGTATTTGACGTTGGATGACAGTCATTAAGACTAGGTAATAAGAGGGTCGTCATCTCCGGATCGGCGTCCTAATCACATTCATGCGAATTGCTACAATTAAATTGTCCCGTGGCATGATGTGCTTAAGCATGGACCAAGCAAAGCACGAGGCTACCCTGCTTCTTTATGCCTGGCAGGTTGTCTGTGCGATGGCGCTTTCGAGATGCGCCCAGCTAGCGATGCCACAATAACGATGGTTGGTGATGATGATCAACTTGCCTTCAAACTCTCTGGCGTTGTCGTGAACCTCGGACAAGGATGGATGGGGCGAGTCGGTATTATGCCTCCTTTGGTAGGTCGTTAGTTCGACGACGCATACCGGTAATTGTTTTTATTTACCTACTCCGAGTAAAGGGGTCCGGGTGTCTTTTCACGTGAGTCCGTGCCTGAGCATCCGATCTTCGTAAGTGTGACAGGGAACGAGCCTTCGCTAACTGCGGACACCCAAATCGTAGAATACAGGCATGATATTTCCTGCTCAATCGGCATGCAAAGCCAGCTAGTTTGATTCGGTGCCATGCACGGGGCGATTCGGAGAGGGATTGTGCGCTTCCAAAAAAAAAAAAACATGCTGTAGGTATCCCAAGCGGCGGTAAACCGTAATACTGCCTGCTCTCACAGCGAGGCTGGTGGAGCCTTGCTCCCCGCCACACGAGCAGCTCTCGATCCCGGCCCCATGAAGCTCAGCAGTGGATGTTGACGGTGCCGAGGCTAACTCCCAACCTGCTCGGCCCACCAGCGACAAGGCCCCCAGCTGAAGACCAGACCGCTGAACCGTCGCGCGCCTCACTTACTCCTACACGCTATTCAACGCCTGTGCATCCTCAGCCCGACCTCCATTGCAATTCTCCCCATCGGCATGCTCACTGACAGCCATGTCGCAAATTCGCTTGTGACCATACGGTTCTAAATTACCACCTGCCACTCCTTCTATTTGACCACCCATGCTCCTCTCCCTCCTCCTTCCCACTTCCTGAGGCGCAATTGCCCGTGTCGTCTCACCCACTTTACCCCGGATATTCTGGAGCCCTGTTTTCCTTTGTCGACTCCATCCTCACTTCCTTTGGCTTCCTACTCCTATCTCGAGCGGAACCTCACGCCATTGACCACACGCATGCGTAGGGCTATCTGACAGACCGTCATCAGCTCTCTTCTATCTTTGCCATGGCTACCAACGGCTCCTTTTCAGTGTTCAGCTCGGCAGCAGCAACCGCCCCAACCTCGGAACGATTTCCGCAACACGTTTTGGCTTCCTCCATCTCCTCGCTCTCCTCACCGAACTCTGCCAAACAATCTTCTCATATATCCAAGACATACCGCCAATCATCGACGCTATTCCTCACGCGTCGTCTACCTGAAGCGCTGACGACTCTGCTCCCGCTCATTTCACCTCCGGGACCGGAAGAGGATGGAGAACCTGTACCAGTTGCGCGGGCCTCTCGGACCACGCGAATCAAGGTTTGGAGCTTATATCTCACTATCCTCAACGCGATAGTTGAGCTTGAGCCTGATGAGGGCAAGGACTCCTTCGGCCAGACAGAGTGGAGAGCTCTATGCTCCAAGATCCGGGACGGAGAGATCTGGGAGGAGGTGGTGAGGAATGGATACCACGGCGTGGAAGGCGATGTCGATGCCGATGTTGTCATTAATTTGTAAGTTGATGTACAATTATTCTTCATTTTGCACCACACTGTTGACTAAACGGATGGGGCCAGGGCTACAATATTGCTCACGCACGGCCGGGACCAAACTCTCAACCAGAAGAGACTCGAGGCATACCTAGCAACATCTGCAGCGCCGAACCTGGATCTCAATGGCCGGTTTGGCGAGCCTCCCTCTCCATCATCTCGGTACCGATCTCCTGCCAAGGGGCCCAGCGGCGCCAACACACCAAGAGATCTAAATGCTCGAGTAAAGCTCTTGGAGCTCTATACACTTCATATCCTTCCTCGCAACAATGACTGGGAATATGCTCGAGAATTTATCGCCATGAGCCCAGTCCTCGATGAAGAGCGAAGAGAAGCGTTTCTTCAAGCTCTACAAAGTCTCCAAGATGACCAGCACGAGCAAGAGAGGCTGGAGCAAGAAGAACACGAGAGGCAAGAAGCCCAGCTAAAACAGGAGCTCGAAGAAGCAAAGAGGCTAAGAGCAGAAAATGAGGAGCGAGAAAGAAAACGACTAGAGGAGGAGCGCTCGAACAGAGAGGCTGAAGAAGAAGCAAGCGAACTCGACTTTGGCGTTGAAGATACACCAAGCATTTCGGGGTCAGTAAAGGGAAGACAGACAAGGAAGGTTCCGGATACTGTCCGTTCCCCGCGCTTGCCACCGGCAAATCCAAAGACGAATCGAAAGGCGGTCGCTCCTCCTACTATCACGGCGAGGGCATCCATGGTTTTGTCTCGATTTCGTGCTATCATGGAGCAACTCACCCTCTCACTTAATAGTAACCCCATGCTCTTAATGAGGCTTTTGGTGTTCATGATGGGATTCATTATTATACTGGGGAACAAGAATACCAGGCTTCGCGTTCAACGTGCTCTGGGCACTTTCTGGGGAAAGCTAAAGGCCACTGCAGGGATGGGGACGAGGGTGAGTTATATCTGATTAGTAAAATTGTTGTATGTGTAGTCTTCTTTTTGTTGCATGGGTTGGCGTTTTCTTTATCGTTGGGATTTCGTTTGGGGACGGTTTTGGGTATTGTGATCACGACTTCAGAGTGTATATATAACTCTACAGATATGTTAATTGGTGTTCTGTAGAACAATCCAAATAGTACAGTAAAGCAGCAGTTCTTTTTCCTGCACATGTGTTTATGTCATTATTAAAGCAGCCAGACAGCTCATTCTTCTTGTTGATATGCTCATGCTGGCACTGTCACAGAGTAGGCTTATGCTCTTGTATTTGGAAGCTTCCATTTAATAGTAAACAAGTCCCGTGCTCATGATGCGAGGGTAAGCTCGGTCCATCTAACGCCAACCAATGCCAAATTTTCCAATATTAAAGAATAAAAACGACAAGTTTGATATCTTTCCAAGAAAGCCCAACCTGGGCCGCTCGAGGGTTAATAATTTTGCGTCCGATTCGTTTTCTTTTGGTAGAATAACTATTTGCGAAGAAATGATGGTTAGTCTCTGAACTTGAGGAGCATCGAAGGAAAGACAGGAGGCAGCTTGGCCAGGGGTGGGAAGATAGCACGTGAGGCGTGCGAAGACGGGGGGAGGCAGAAACTCACATCTGTCCTCGAGCTGCCCAGATTGATAATCTTGGGGCAGCCGTCGCGGTCCTTCTCGAGGCGGGTGCACTCGAAGCAGTAGAAGGCGTCGGAGATGCCCTCGCCGCCGCAGACGACACACTTGTTCTGGTAGTTGCCGAAGCTGCACTCGTCGCAGATGCGGACGAGGGTGGTCGGGCGGACGTAGGAGTCGCAGACGGGGCACTTGCCGTCGCACTTGTCGCAGAGGCGGCCGATGGCGATTCCGGGCTGTTTGCGACACATGACGAGATCGCTGGAGGCAGAGTGGGTTAGTCTTCTGGCTGGGAGAGGTGGGCGATCTGAAAGGGGATTCTTTGGGGGACTCACGGATGATGACGCGACATGATGGGCTATTGATTGATCGCGGATCGGCGGAGAATAGGAACCTGAGGCTTGTGACTAGATAGGAGTGTGAAATGGTTCTGGGGAGAGCTTCTGTTGGAGGTTCGTTGGAGCTCTGAAGAAAAGATGGCGATGCTTATCTCAGCCGGCTCTGGTGTTTGCTCCATGATTCTAGGTACAGCCATTTCTGTTGGCCACCTACCCTGTATCGGTTGGACCAATCAGCCACTCAATCCCAGACCTGTTACTGAAGCTCGTAGTATTAATTCTGCGCCTACATGATATAATACATCTTCTCCTAACCTTGCGCGATTCCATCAGTTATGCCCAAAATTACGGTCATTCGATGTTTACTGATTTATCATCCTATACATTGGTTACTGGGCGGTCGTTATTCGCTGAGTGGGAAGTGGGGCGTGCTGCAGGTGCGCGAACCGCCTGGGGTCCAACCAACAGCTCCAGCCATCTACAGCTCCGGACTCGCTGGAGGGAGCTCCGGCAGACACAGACAGGCAGATGTGGTAGCATCTCAGGCAGGACGAGAACACCGTTGCATCCATGTGTTTGATGCCTGTGTCTAACCTGTAGCCCTCCGAGATCCGAGTCGCCTCAGCGACATTTCCTCCCAAACCATCATTGGCAAATGTAGGCCTTAGGTTTCGGGAACATACCTGTCGAGATAGCTTCATCCTCTGGCGCAATATTGCCTAGCCGACCTTGTCGTTTCGCGGGACTGCGCCCTCGACTCCAAACAATCGCCACGGCCAAAGAGTATGCTCACAACGATCTCTATTTCCCGGAAAACATCATTTCGGCTGCTAATCAATCTTGCGTACGTCGTCATTTAGGGCCATGGCCTCCGATTCACACATGCCAGAGGCAGACCTTGCCGACCAGGTACAACGTAAGCGCAAGGCCTCCCTTGCTGATACGACCGAAGATGGATCTCCGAAGCGGCCCAAGCAACAAGACGACACACGGGATCCCGGCAGGCCACGGCGCGCGTCTTCCCCACGCCGAAACCGCAGAGAGTCAAACGAAGGACGGTACTACGATGAAGCATCGAGGCAAAAGCCGGCGTCTCTGGAAGAGAAGAAGAGAGGGAGACGGTTATTTGGAGGCTTGTTGAATACGCTGAGCCAGACCAATACCAGCTCGCACCAGCAGCGGCGGCAGGAGATTGAGAAGCGCCAGCAGGAGCGACAAAAGAAGCAAAAGGCCGAGGATGACCAGAAGAACGAGGAAAGGTTCGCACAGCTGCGAGAAATCCGCATGGGTAGACAATTGGAGTTCGAGAAGGAGGTGGTGAGTATCAGCCTGTTCCAACTTCATTTTTGTTTGAAGGAAAGGCACTCAGACTGACGATTTGCGATAGATGCATCAAAAGCACTCCAGATTGCTCTGGCAGTCACGCCATCTGAAAACGAAGGCTGAACCCGTGATAGTACGTTGCCCGCTTGATGTCTTTACTTTTGAGGCGCTCACGTGGCTGACCTTGCCCTTAGTTCTATTCTCCGTGGAAACTGACAGGGGACCAAGAGAATGTTATTGACGAGCAGGTCAGTGCTGCAAAAAACCTGATAGAAACCGAACTTGAGGCTTTCAAGGAGAAGGAACAGCTTCATGCTGAAAAGTATGGATCGCGATCCTCTCCACGTATTGAGCATGAACTCCAGAATCATGGTCAAGAACCGCCCGAGCCTGGGATGGAGACAGAGAAAAAGGATGTCAAAGACAGGGCCGAGCCTGAACCTGAGGGTGCTGGGGCTACGGCCAGCCTGGTAACCGCAGTACACCATCACCATGATGATTCTGAAGATGTCGTCGTCGAAGGTGATGAGGATACGGTTATCTACTAATGAGCCGTTGGCTTGGAAGGCGGCCATGAAGCCTTTCTTAGTGTTTGCTATTTTCCATTCATGGGGCTTCATCTGTATCCCCGTTGTCGTCTGAGAAGCCATCCAGGGTCGTATTTTGTATTTGTGCTTGGGGTTCCATGGCTTGGAGCTGGGGCCCGTCCAATGGCCGTTTTAAAACGAGGAACTGACATGATGAGTGTTGGGCTATGCATTGGTAGTGGTACGATTTCATGAGTACAGATTAAACAAGTCTTGCGATACCACAGTGTAAGCAGGTTCCGTTTTGATTTTGCTCCTGCCGTTACACCGAACAGGAAGGGCGGTGAATCGACCCAATTTCTGCCCAGAATCAACGTCATGAGCCATACAGCTAAGTACCTGTTACGTAGTCCATTGGACGACTTCCTTGCCTGGGACGAGAAAAACATACTGGCAGCCCCAAAGGTGCTCGTACATATCCAAGACTCTGGTCAGTTGAAACGCTCCAAGCGACGCGCATATTAAGCACTAGGTAGTCCGGGTTCCCAAACTGCCGCCCAGGCAGGGTCCCTGGTGGGCAATTATCCGCAGTGACACAAGTGGCGGACGGAGTGATCCATGGTGTTGTCAAATTAGGTTGGTCTTGGTTCAACATTGTTGGGGACTAGGAGGGGCCGGACAAGATGCCTCGGCATGATCGATCGTTGCTCGCTGCGATGCCTCAGATCAAGCTTCGGCCCCGCTGCTGTGCACGAGTACATGAAACAGGCAGGTGTCGGGCCGTCCGCATCTGAATCCCGCCCGAGCCTACGGGAGCTGGAAGAATATAAAATAAAAGACGAGCGCGCCTCTCTACGTATTTCCCGGCTGGACATTGATTTATCACTATATATTCCAGCGTTCGGTGTACCGATTTGACCGCAGATATGAGTGCCGCAGACAAGCTGACACCGGGCGACACCCGCGTCAAGTATGAGACGGCTCAAATCAGAGGAAAGACATACAGCTATATGCTAGGCGAGCCTGAGGGCCAACCCAAAGACACCATCGTTCTGGTCCACGGATTCCCAGATATTGGCTTCGGTTGGCGTTGCCAGATCCCTTACCTCATTTCTCTCGGACTTCGGGTAGTGGTGCCTGATATGCTTGGCTATGGTGGAACAGATGCACCTGCCGAGATCGAACCCTACAGCTTTAAGAGCCTGTCCGACGACCTCGCAGAGCTCGCTAGGAAGTTTGTTGGCGAGGATGGGCAGATCATCCTTGGTGGCCACGACTGGGGTGGTGCTGTGGTCTGGCGACTCCCGCTCTGGCACCCGAAGCTCATCAAGGGTGTCTTCAGCGTCTGCACTCCGTTTCCACCCCCGCGAAGCGAGTACCATGACCTGAAGGACGTCATCGCTCTTGGCATTCTGACCAACTTCAAGTACCAGCTGCAATTCAGAGGCCCCGAGACGGAGGCTAACATCCAGGGCGAAGAGAAGCTCCGCCAATTCTTCACATGCATGTTTGGAGGCCGGACCAGCGACGGCGAGCCTGCATTCGACGTATCCAAGGGCATTCTCTTCGATAAGCTCGACTCCTTGAAGCCGTCCCCCCTGCTCTCGAAGGAGGAGCTCGAGTACTACGTGAAGAAGTACGCCGCGCACCCAGCACCGGAGCTGCACGGCCCGTTGAACTGGTACAGAACGGCTAAGCTTAACTTTGAGGAGGATAGGCCGTTGGCGGAGACGCCGACGGTCCTGGAGATGCCGTCGTTGCTGGTCACGGCAGAAAGGGACACTGCGTTGCCACCCGAGATGGCGCGGAACATGGATAAGCACTTCAAGGATTTGACGAAGAGGAGTGTCAACGCTAGCCACTGGGCCTTGACACAGGCTGGTCCCCAGGTCAATGGATACATTGGCGAGTGGATTAAATCAAGTGTTTGGGGTGAGGCGCTGCCTACTAAGTCTTCTCTGTAAACCGAAGTCTATGAGGAATTGGGATGGAGGGGGTTGGACCTGAGTTAAGGTTCAAGTATGCACGCAAAAGGCGCCTTTGTTGAATGAAGAGGCGATTTGGCAATTCGCTCAGCCAATACATTCTTTGAGCCGAGGGTACTCAGATATGCTCATGCTCTCTTTTGCTACGCTTGAGAAGGGCATAAGAAGCACGCAAGCAGTAAGCACCAGCCTGCCCTGGCTCGCTGATGATTCCCAAAACATGGGGGAACCTATCGGCAGGACAGATGGGACCGGGTGAGATATATAAAGTATTGGAAAAAGTTCCCTATATCTACGTAGCAAGTAACAAAAGACCCTCTTGTAGCTGTCAAGAGCTCTCATATGCACACCCATGTCTAGTTATATAAGTAGAATGACGATTTGCGAAGACGATTGCGAGGAAGGCAGGGCAACAGCTGCCATGTGGCAGTGCAAGGGGCAGGCACCTACATGGTAGGTATTTCTTGCAACGGTCAAGATGGCGACAGAGATAGATGCTCGGGTCTTTACTTCTGTGAGGTATAGTTAGAACTATCTTGTTAATCAATTGCCCTGCTAAATGTTAGAAACAATCGATGTCTGTACCCAACAAAGAATGAAAGGTATAGAATAGGCAGTACGAGGCACAAATATATTGCATGAACGAACTCGAGGTGACAACAATCGAGCTCGGCTGTGCTGACGCGGCGACACAGCAAATAGGCACATACTTGCAGCTGATCCCACCCGTCAAGCTCGTACAAGCTAGCGGACAGAGGAGAATAATAATAGCAACAAGGGACTTGGTTGGCTGCCCCCTTTCTGTAACAGTCGCAAGAAAAAAGGTGGCGGAAAGTGGGTGGTGGAGACTGCAGTGGCCTGTAAGAGACTCCATGTTCTTACCTAATGCACTGCGTCCCGCCATAGCAGCCCTCTGGCGATGATTTCAGTGGGTACGCTACAGGTCATACAGGTATTTTCAGATCAAATGCGGCTGGGCACTTTCGGGTGGGGAATGGGGGGCTGCAGAGCTGTAGCCTCCACTGGACAGCAGGTAGGTAGTGCTGTAGGTAGCATGTCGGGTCCCTGATTGGGGCAGCAATGCCACTCACTGACGACCAAAACTTCCAGCACTGCTGTCAGCAATACCCATACATTCCGAAGCAAGCAACGGGACGATCTCAAGTTCTATCCAGCATTCTCTACACTGTTATTTGCGGGCAGGGCCACCTTTTCTCTCCTTTCACCATACAGCAGCTCGACGTTCGTCCCTCACCGACAGCACAGCAGCCTCAGGGGTGACCCATTCTCAATCTGTCCCACCTCGGCGGCATCGTTCTGGCCACTGTAGACGGGAGGTCATCCAAGTTGCGCGCCAAAAGGAGGCTGAGTCCGGCAGACGCAACCTCGAGGGTATCAGCCAAACTAAGCCGCCTTTCACGACAGGACACACCCACACCCAGCTGCTGAGCAGCACCGCATTGGATACGCATAGCATCGATCCCTCGTATCCACGAATTCCGATTTAGGTGGCCATCAGCTCCAACGGCGCCCCATTCTCGCTCTTTATCCTTATTTTCCGACCGAGTGCTGGCTTCTCTTCCTCGATTCCGCATGGGCCATTCCCCGAGCTTCAACACCTCTGACTGACATCGCTCGTCGTCTCGCATGGCTGGGAGACCAACGGGAAACCCCTATGGGGGACCTCCCGGGAATCGCGATGATCTGTTACTCGATCTCGACAACGAACAGCCCGTTTACAATAACGGCCAACGATCCAACCTTAACGATGATGAAATGATGCGAAACTATAACCTCGACCAAGAGTCGCAGGCTAGACCCTCCGTTTCCTACGATGATTTTGTCGGTGCACAACAAACGTCCTACCGCCCGCCGAACCGCGACCCGGGCAACCTGAGACCAACAGGCGGCCTTCAGCGACAGTACAGTCAGACCTCTGACCTCGACAACTACCAGCGCTATGCGGATGACTATGACGACCATGACGATTCATATGGCGGACCCAGCGGGCAAGGTATCCCCCAATCGAGATCCAATGCTCGGCATCGGAACAGCGTGCTGGGTCTTGGTGGAGGGTTTTTGGGCCGGGTCAAGAACAGACTTGGTATGGGCCAAGGGTATTCAGAAATGGACCTGCCCTTGACTGAATCTCGCGATGGCGGGGGCGACGCAGGCTCATCCCAATCAAAAAAGAAGAGCAACTTTGACATGGGTAACTTCAAATTCGGCTTCGGGCGAAGTAAACCTGACCCTTCAACTCTCGGACCCAGGATCATCTATCTCAACAACCCCCCGGCAAACGCTGCGAACAAGTACGTCGACAATCATATCTCGACCTGCAAGTACAACGTCGTTACCTTCCTCCCGAAATTCCTTTACGAGCAGTTCTCCAAGATTGCCAACGTTTTCTTCTTATTCACGGCCTTGCTGCAACAGATTCCAAACTTGTCGCCTACCAATCCGTATACTACCATTGCACCTCTTGCCATCGTGTTGGCCATCTCGGCCGTGAAGGAACTGGTGGAGGATTATCGAAGAAGACAGGCTGATAATGCGCTCAACACCTCCAAGGCTCGCGTGCTGCAAGGGACGACCTTCGCAGAAACCAAATGGATCAATGTTGCGGTTGGAGATGTGGTCCGGGTAGAGTCTGAGGAACCCTTCCCAGCTGACATGGTACTTCTCGCCAGTTCTGAGCCTGAAGGTCTCTGTTATATCGAAACAGCGAACCTGGATGGTGAGACAAACTTGAAGATCAAGCAGGCACTTCCCGAGACCTCCACCATGGTTTCACCTAGTGAGTTGAGTCGCCTGGGAGGAAGCCTCAAATCGGAACAGCCAAACAGCAGCTTGTACACCTACGAGGCTACCATGACCATGCAGACTGGGGGTGGAGAAAAGGAGCTACCCTTGAACCCTGAGCAGCTTCTCCTTCGTGGAGCTGTGCTCAGAAACACACCTTGGATCCATGGTGTCGTCGTTTTCACCGGACACGAGACGAAGCTGATGCGGAACGCCACTGCAACGCCGATTAAGCGCACCAAGGTCGAGAAGAAGCTCAACTATCTAGTGCTGGTCCTCGTTGGCATTGTTTTGGTTCTCAGCGCGGTCAGTACCGCCGGCGATCTCATCATCCGCAATAGCAACCGCCTCTCGGACGGCGAGGAGGCTGGCCAGGAGCCATACGAGTATCTGAGACTGGGCACACTGACTGACGCCGGCACCATCGCAAAGATTTTTGCAGAGGACATGGTTACTTACTGGGTGCTGTTCTCTTCTCTTGTTCCCATTTCGCTCTTCGTCACCGTTGAAGTTGTTAAATACTGGCATGGCATTCTCATCAATGATGATCTGGATATGTACTATGATAGAAACGACACTCCCGCAACTTGCCGAACTTCGAGCTTGGTCGAAGAACTTGGAATGGTAGAATACGTCTTCTCCGACAAGACTGGTACTCTGACTTGCAATATGATGGAGTTTAAGCAGTGTTCTATCGCGGGCCTTCAATATGCCGAAGAGGTCCCCGAAGACCGCCGCGCAGCAGATCAGGAAAGCCCAGAGCAAGGCATTTTCGAATTCAAAGATCTGAAGGCCAATCTGAAAAACCGCCACGAAACTGCCGAAGCGATCGACCATTTCCTTTCCCTGCTCGCCACCTGTCATACCGTTATCCCCGAAACCGACGAGAAGGGTAAGATCAAGTACCAGGCAGCCTCTCCCGACGAAGGTGCTCTTGTAGAAGGCGCCGTCCAGTTCGGCTACAAGTTCTCTGCCCGAAAACCCAAAGCTGTGATTTTCGAAGACCCCAATGGCCAGCAACTTGAGTACGAGCTTCTTGCAGTTTGCGAATTCAACTCGACTCGAAAGCGCATGTCTACCATCTACCGCTGCCCAGACGGCAAGATCCGCGTCTACTGCAAGGGAGCAGACACTGTTATCCTCGAACGCTTACACGACCAGAACCCTCATGTCGAGGCGACCCTACGCCACCTCGAAGAGTACGCATCTGAAGGATTGAGGACGCTTTGCCTGGCAGTGCGCGAGGTCCCTGACCACGAGTTCGAAGAATGGTACAGGATCTTTGACGCTGCCGCCACAACTGTCGGTGGAAACCGAGCCGATGAACTGGACAAGGCTGCTGAGCTCATCGAGCACGACTTCTTCCTCTTGGGCGCCACGGCCATTGAGGATAGACTTCAGGATGGCGTGCCAGAGACAATCCACACGCTCCAACAGGCCAACATCAAGGTCTGGGTGCTGACTGGAGATCGACAGGAAACGGCTATCAATATCGGTATGAGTTGTAAGTTGCTCAGTGAAGAAATGATGCTTCTCATTGTCAACGAGGAGACTGCAGTGGCCACGAGAGACAATATACAGAAGAAACTGGATGCCATTCGGACGCAAGGCGGCGGCACCATCGAGATGGACACTCTAGCCCTCGTCATTGACGGAAAGTCGTTGACATTTGCCCTTGAAAAGGACCTGGAGAAGCTTTTCCTCGATCTTGCCGTGATGTGCAAGGCCGTCATTTGCTGCCGTGTGTCTCCTCTTCAGAAGGCCCTGGTTGTGAAGCTCGTCAAGAAGTATCAGAAAGAGTCGATTCTGCTCGCTATCGGTGATGGAGCCAACGACGTGTCCATGATCCAGGCTGCGCACATTGGTGTGGGTATCAGCGGTGAAGAGGGTCTCCAGGCTGCTCGCAGTGCTGATGTCGCCATTGCCCAGTTCAGGTTCCTCCGCAAACTCTTGCTTGTTCACGGTGCTTGGAGTTATCAGCGTGTGAGCAAGACCATTCTGTTCTCGTTCTACAAGAACATCGCCCTGTACATGACACAATTTTGGTACGTCTTCCAGAATGCCTATTCTGGGCAAATTATCTTCGAGTCTTGGATTCTGTCAGGCTACAACGTCTTCTTCACTGTCCTGCCCCCCCTGGTGCTCGGTGTCCTGGATCAATTCATCTCTGCTCGCCTCCTGGATCGATACCCCCAGCTCTATATGATGGGTCAGAGCAACTCGCATTTCAGACTCAAGATCTTCGCAGAGTGGACGCTGAATGCCATCTACCAATCCATCATTATTTACGTCTTTGGAGTCTTGATCTGGTGGGGAGACATGATCCAGGGCGACGGTCGGATCGCTGGGCATTGGGTCTGGGGTACCGCCATGTACAACACGATCCTGCTCACAACTCTTGGCAAGGCAGCGCTGATTACTAGCAACTGGACCAAGTACCATATCATTGCCATTCCAGGTAGTATGGCTATCTGGTGGGTGCTTTTGGTTGTACTGAGTTACGTTGGACCTATGATCAACATGTCGAACGAATTGTTCGGCATCATCCCCAGGTTGTACTCCAGCCCTGTCTTCTGGTTGCAGATGTTTGCTCTTGCCTTCCTGAGTCTTTCACGCGACATTGCATGGAAATACGTCAAGCGGATGTACTTCCCACAGACGTACCATCACATCCAGGAGATTCAGAAGTACAACATTCAGGACTATAGGCCTAGGTAAGTTGCGACCCCTATTCATCAGACCCGGATAACCATGATGCTAACCGCGCGTGTAGGATGGAGCAATTCCAGAAGGCAATCCGAAAGGTACGGCAAGTCCAGCGCATGCGCAAGCAACGTGGCTATGCCTTCTCGCAGGCCGACGAGAGTCAGACTCGTGTGTTGCAGGCGTACGATACAACCAAGCACCGTGGCCGTTACGGAGAAATGGCCAGCTCGAGACCCGCAGGTCAGTAAAGGAGAGGTTCCAGAACCAACGAGCAATACATGAAGGGGCGTGTATGCTTGAGTTTTCCATATACACACGAGAATATATATATCTTTTGCCCATCTTACTTTTTCGGCATCCATCTACACAGGAAGGGAATGATCATTTACTACCACAACGGGTCCGGAGTTGAGAGCTGGTTTTTGTCTGTGGATGGGCGGACCAGTCTTTTATTCTTTTTTTTATATTTTGCTTCTTGTCGCTTCTAATTTTCATACTCCCCTGAAGGAGCTGGCTGCTGTATATTACATTATTTTCTTGGCCATTTACCTTGACTGCGTCTCAGTCGACATAAAGAAACAGGGGGAGGGAAGAGACAGATGGGAGAATAAGGCTGGGAGGGGAGAAAACTCGGGATTGATGCAGGGAGCAATCACTTGTGTCAAGCCAGTACGTTGGCAGAAGAAGTGGAGCGTCATGACATCGAGCGTTTGAGGAAGCAGGACCATCGAATCACCTTGACTTTGTTGTCACCAATCAGGGGCACCGAGCAGTCTGTGGGGAAATAGGAAAACTGAATGGGAGTTTTGAATGTTTTTGTCACCGTGCAGGAGGCCCCATGCTGATTCTGATTGAGTATTTGGAACTATGGATAACTCCCATGCTAGTGCTACCGCTATTGCAAGCCCAAGTTGACCCGTTCTCCCTGGGCTTCTCCAGGTCGGTCTTCCATCCGAATCCTAGCCCCCAAAGCCCATTCTTGGCGCAACGGGGTAGATGATCAAATGGAATGGGGTAAGTCAGTATGTGGGGGCCATGGAATAGAGTGACCTGTTTACAATGACAAGGTAGGATAGGATGTGATGTACATGCTGCGAGGTGATTGAACGGTAACTGGGACGATGAACACAACACGTCAGACATCAACCATTCCTCATCGCGGGTTCTGCTATCCAGACAGCAAGATCATATGACGATCCTCCCCATCCAGACCAGTCATGTCTCTCGAACCCCTCCGGTCCTGGCCGACAATGCACCCCCCGTTTCACGATGTTTCTCACGATGGCTTCAAAAGCCACTAGCCCAGTCGACACGTCGAGTCCTGTGACTTTGTGACAACGCAGGTCGCTGGCACGCTATTCCATGGCACTAAAATACCTTGCTTTTTTTTCCACCCCCGCAGTTGTGTCTGATCAGCTAATGCAGGCTTCCATGGTTTTCTTTTCTTTTTTCCCCTCGGAGTGTTTTCCCCCATGCGTACCTAAACTGCAGTGTAATGGACTATATTACGGCCCTGTACGGCCCTGTACATTATACTTACTCCCCTTGCTGCTTTGCTGGTCACATGTGCGGGTTTATTTTAGCCTCAATTTCGTTTCGTTCCTTGATATCCAGCTAGTACTAGTAGGCACTGTGATGTGATAGATTTCCTAACCAAAACCCTGATCGTGATTCCCCTGGGAGAGAGAAATCCTGTAAGCCAACGAAAGAAGGAAGCGAAAAAAGGTCCCAAATCTCGGTTGGATCCCCACTTGATGCTGGCTGTCAGCTTGGTCATCTATCATAACCGTCATCATCGTCATGACCAGACCAAAAGGCACAGGCTATGTAGCTACGCCTCATCCGCGCATATCTCGCTTGCTCGCCTTCCTGGGTGTGTGCGGTGGCCGGCGCCTAGCAAAGGATCCTTAAGGGCACCACACACACACAACACATACACACCGGTTACCGAGGGGGCGGAACCGAGTGTTTGGTTTCTGGGAATAGATACGGATGGATTACGTGCCTCTCTCTCTGTCTCTCCCACGCCCTTCCCTTCCCTTCCCATCCCTCCAGGCCAGGGCCAATTGGGGGCCAGTGCCACCACATGGCTACCACCTGCTTCAGTCAGTCGGGGCCGGTGTCCGGATCTCAGGCTGATTGGCTGCTTTCTTCCCCCATCCCCCCCCCCGCCCTTTTGTCTCTGCCCTCAAGCGAGGGAGGGATGGGGTGCTGTCTCATTACGTAGGGATGGCATGGAAGCACGCGAAAGGGACAAGAAAACAATTACAATCAATTGAAGCTAGAAACAAGATCCAATCTGGAAAATGGGGCCAAAGCTGATGCCCAGGGCTAAGACATCAATTCCCTTAGCTTCGGGGACCCTCACATGATGTGGTTGCCGTACCCCACAAGAGTGAGCATCTCATGCCCAAACGCTCTGCTGAAACCATCCATTGCCTAGTGCAGTCACGAGAAGGAAAGAGAGGTGAGATAAGAGAGAGAGAAAGAGATAAACAAAAACTGGACTGCTTTGAGTGATTCGCAACTGCGGGACTGGAATTGGCCCGTATCGCAACGCACGCAAAAGAAACAGCCGAAATGGGAAACCCGCCCGCAACGCTTCTCGAAGCAGCGCAATTGCCACGTTCGGCCCCCGTCCGTCTCGTTTATTTCCCTTCAATCTCCTATCCCGAGGACCTTGCCTAGGGAGAACACCAACGCCCCCCCAGGTCCGCCCCGCATGATTCATAACCAGGTATGTAGTACATCGCTCTAAAATCCCCGCCTTTTCTCTACCATGTTGGCCAGGAGGGCAGAAAGAGGCAAAAGGGGAGAGAGGCTAGAGGCAGATAAGCAGGCCAGAAAGACTACTGGTGAGGCACAGCTGTAGCGCGCCCGACTAAGCAAGCCGTCGGTATAGCGCGGCGTGGACTTTGGGACATGCGACTGCCTCCGCATGCGTCACTTGTATCATATCATATCATATCTCGAAAACGCAAGAGGGACAGGTTGAGCAGCCAGCGCATACACAGCCTTCTCGAGACAGCTGAGGGTGGGGTTCTTTGTGCGCTGCATGTGTGAATGAATGCATGCGTGTGTGTGTATTCGATATGAGACAGGTCTTTCCTAATGCGAAAGATGCAAATGCCAACCCAATGATGCTAAAACAAGATGTAAAACAATGGGAATTAAACAAGTCTGATGGCTGTCCACATGCAAAACAAGTCTCGGGTCCTGTTCTTCTCCCCAACATGCTGGTTTCGCCCATGAATTGTATCCATCAGTCTCTGCCATTCCACCCCAAACGCTTCTCCTCATGCGCACAAACCCTTCCTTCCGATGCATTGTCCGTCCGTCAGAATGAAAATGTCCGCTTAAAATGCCATGTTAAATCTAAGTATGTGTATATATATATATATTATGCCTTGATGCATCTGCTGAATTGTAAGATGTGGTATAAGTCCCCCCAAAACAAAGTGTAATAAAAACAATCTCACACCAGAAACAAATGTCAAATAACTATCTGAAAAGAATAATGAAGCCTCGTCAATCGTGATGGGAGATATGTGCCCTGCCCTTCAGACCACCATGAAAATATGCGGGTGGTAGCCGAGGAGGGATGTATATGTAAAACAACAAGTTTAAAAAAGCAAAATGCCGCCCCAAGCTCCGGGAAAATGTGATGATAATGATAATGATGCAGTCGAAACCCAGTACAAAGACAGATGACAGAAAAATCAATAAACTTTTTTTGCGGACGCCTCTTCGTCCTCATGATAACATGCGCCAAGGCGCGGGTGATGCAAATATTGGGAGGACCCTCAGCCCGAAAGGTCTCGTCCTGGTGACATGCTAGTTGTTGCTGTAGGCTGGTTGTCTTATCGGATGGCGTTGGGTTGCCTGGCATGCAAAGGTCCTGCGGCCCCGCACTCGCAGGTCACACATGGTACACGGGGTAGTGTGCGGAAGGGGGGTTGCTGAAGGATCGCTGAGCTGAAGCCCATGACCCAGCCAACTCCTCATGCACAGGACCATCTCCAGCCCGAAGAGCTAGGCACCCACACTAGCGTCGGCAGACACCTGTGTAATAGGGTGCCCTAATCCGGAGCGGAGGCAGGTTCGGCGCTTGGGGTGAGATGGCACCATTAGCGACCATCCGTATGCACCGACTACCGCCCACCGACCATGGGAGTAACGAGCTCGATACTCTTTGGGCGGGCATGGCTTGGTCGGCGGGTGGGCAGTGGACGATCCATGCCATTTGATCCGTAATCGTATGTGTAGTAGCCGCCATTGTTGTAGCCAACGTCGTACGTGGACGACAAGTAGGCCGCAGAGGGCCGAGAATAGGAGGTGCTGGGACTGGTTGCAGCACTTCGGTTGTTGTTGAATGGCCAGAAGTTGCTGCCACCTGCCGATGGTGAGGGAGGGCTCGGTGGTCGTCCATGTATTGATCGGAGCGCCGAGAGTGCCGAAGTGTGGTATGACGTTGTAGCCGGTGTGGTAGGGGTTGGTGGTGAATGATTGTAGATCGTGGAGCTGGGACGAGAAGGTGAAGCTTGAGGAATAATATCACGAGGCTCAGGCTCCCCCGCCGAGTAGAAAGGGTAGTTTCCATAGCCATAGCTTCGAGGCATTGAGGATGTTGCTGACGACGATTGATCGACCCTTCGGCAGCTAATTCTTCATGTTAGCACGCGAGATACATACTGGCGCACAACGCCCTGTACAGGACGTTGCGAATAGGAAGAAGGTAGGGAGTGGCGTACTTCTCGGAGCAGTAGAGGTGCTTGTCATCGTAAGGAACGAATTGCTTCTCGCAAGTCATGCTAGTTAATTTCTGTTAGCACAAACTCGTTGCCCAAACCCTCTTGGTAGAGAGGGAGAGACAGAGCATTCTGAAAACGCCTGACATCGGAGGGAACCTGAACACTTACCAGAATTGTGGGAAGCTCTCACGCTCGTCGTCAAAGGCTTCATGCCATTCTCGTTCTCGCTCCCGCTGGCTCTTGCCAAGCTTCTGGCCGGTGACAGGTGTTTGCCTGCGTGATAGGCCGGGTCGTCGATGCTTCGTCATGTCTGTTACGGTTACGGATTTTCGCATGTCTGAAGTAGACGCACCGCCAGACTTTCGGCGTTGGTGAGGCATCTCGGGTTTATTTATCAATGGTCGAGCTGCCGCAGGACCATAGGGCGAGAGAGGCCGAAGTCGGAGAAGGTTGGTCCTACTATAGAGTAATGGACAGGGATTGATGTGTAACCAAAACCACTTTTTTCCTCCTTCGAAGAAGCGTTGTCAATGAGCAATGGCAAGGTCCAATGGGGGTGAAGGTTGAGTGTTGGTCTTGTCGAGATAAGATGTGAGGGAAAGCGAGAGGGTGTGCTGATGTGAGGGTACCTGAGGGGTATTGAATTAGGCGAGAGACGAGACACTGGTTGACGATAGCAACCAGTGGTAAGGAGCCCAGGTGGGAAGGCCGCCGGGCGGGAGAGTCACTATGTATGTATGGGGGAGCAGGAACACGCAGGTGGATTCCCTGCAGAGCACCGCGCGAGTGGTCACGAAATTGCGCCCGAACCCTCCGGGTGCGAGCAAGGTGTTGTGGAGGGTGAGATAGAAGGGGCTATCAGCTGTTGGTGGTGGGATGATCGACAGGGCTCCAAGAACAGCAGCTAGAGAACCGCCAGCTAGATAAAGAAAGCCGAGATTGGAGGCGGGCTATCAGGATAGTTCAATTGCAGTAATGCCGAGTTCCCAAGAACTGCCCTGCTCCGTCCAGAAGAAGGGGGGAAGATGTGGGATGTCGTCAGTGGTGCTGAAGCGAGAGTAATGGACATGTATGGATGGGGCTGCGCGTGTCTATGTATGCACGCAGAGAAGTGTCCGGTGATTGATGCACACAATGCAGCTGATGATAAACGAAGCCTCGAAGATTGCGACTTAGAGATTGATACCGGGCATGTACCTCGTAAAAGTGCGGGTGGTACCTGCTAAGAAAGGTAGGAGGAACAAGGCGTCGACGCCGTCCAGATAAGAACCGTCAGGTACGCGGTACCTGCCAAGGTCTCAGGTCGAGGTACCTCAGACAGGTACGTGCAGAATGGTGGGAGTCGGGGTACGGCTAGCAAGTACCCAGTTAAGTAGCAGTGACTTGTGTGGGAGAAGGATGGCGGAACGGCTGGGCCAATGCTGGACGAAAACGTAGCGAAGAATGCTTGTCGATCTTGACAACCAAGGGGAAAGAAAAAAAAAAGAGGGAAGAATGGTCTCGATAAAGTAAATTCCACTCGAGAAAAAAGTTTTATCGTGGCGGCCTGGAGTGGCCTGTCTGGTTTTTGCACGATTGCGTGTGACTCTTCCCGTTGTCGTGATTGACTGAGAGGGAACCCGAAAGCGGAGAACTGTCTCGAGGATGACTCGGAGCCAATCAAAGGCCAATGTGCTGGGCGTGTGATGCTAAGGGCCTCTCAGGAGGACAGTGGTTTGTGTAGGCAGGTACAAAGACTGGGGGGAGTGCCCGGCATAAATCACCATAAATTGCACTGAACAAATGGGTTCCTTGCACGGATCAGAGCAAGGGTGTGTGTAAGGCGGCAAGGGCGTTGGTACCAAGAACTTGCTTCTTCTGACTTGTTGGATGACGGTATGGTGACCCGAGGCTGCGGCTTAGAGGCTGCACTTTAAGGTTGGGTTCGTTCGGTGTGAGAAAATGGAAGAAAAGAAGCACACACACAAGCAAGCCTTGTTATGCAGTAATACGTTGCGCAACAGCCCTATCGCCAGCTCATGCCCGGGGAAGTCTGAGGAGGACGATGAGACGAGGGAGCGAGAAAACAAGAAGTGACCGCATGCTATGTAGGTAGGTACAACTAGGTGAAGTCGGTCTGGGGAAGCCTGGCCGGTACTTAGTGGAATGACATACATAACGCCATCTTCCCTTGATGGATAATATCCATAAAATGGTACAATCACGACATCCACGAACCATATTGTCCCGCTGTCAGGTACAGGCACACGCAAAAATTGCTTTTTAGCCCAAGCCCATCCTGCTCTAGTACATAGTACGTGCTACAGCACCTTGCCTGTCCGTGCGTGTGGGCGGGGGCGCTCAATGAGGTGCTCGCGGCTGGCGGCCGTCATGTACATCGTACATGGCCGTAATGTAGGAGTGGCTCGGCGAGATGCATGTACATGCGTACACCTGCACTTACGCTTCCACACTCATGCACACACGGCCTAGCTTAGTGCAATCAGTTGGGACAGGTTATGCGTGTGGGGGGACTAGCTCGAGCTACCGGGATTTGGGCGTCTGCATGCACAGAACCTCAAGTAGATGCCGATAGCTGCAGTACTTGACGTGTCCGCGACCCCGGCCAATCAAGGCAACCTGCCGCAGCACCATCTGGGCGGACTCTGGGCCAGGAGCGGATGCAAATTTTAACTGGCTGTAACTTTGGGGGCTCACGCTGTCGTCTGACTTCATCTCATCCACCCTGCTGAGCACGTTTTCACCTAACACCCAGCTTGCCAACGAACCGTCGTCGTGCGGCCAGGGGCGCCGTTCTCATGGCCTGGTCATGATTACATCTTATTGCGCCAGTCTGGTGCCAAACCCGCCTAGTTGCGGCTCCAATTCGTCGACTCGCAAATGTGGCTTGCATGCGGGCGCCACCCATCATCTTACCCCAACCAGATGTTGTTGCAGCAGCCCTGGGCGGGACGTGCAACAATGCATCGTCCCCAGATGCCCATCGCCAGCAAACTGCAGGCATGTACCCTCCTGGCCACAATTTGGCCGGAAAAGGGTGTCCTGGCAGGCCTGCCCTTGTATCTGCTACACGCTATCTCCTGGCTACAGTCGGTATGTAGCACTACCAGAGCAAGGTTTAGGAGAATTTTCAAATCCTGGCACCCACCGTTGATTGTTTTATAGTTCTCTTCGTTGTGATATTGAGCAGCGGAGGGTTTTGATTTTTTCAAGGTTTTTTTCCGGGTCCCCGTACAGGTACACATCGTCACCGCCGTGAGCATTGCGCAAGCCTGCATTGAGGTGACGAAGTGTACACTATTACGCATCATCGCCGCAGGCAGCACTATTCTCAAGCGCCTGTGGCTTGGTTAGTCCTGCACACACATAATCCTGCCTCAAGTGCATGGCATAGTCGCTCTGCGCTACCTCGGTTGGTATTAATTGCCTATCTCTCATGTACATACGATACCGTCCCTAGCGACGATGTACACACCAAGCTCCATGGCAATTCTGGACCACCACGGGTAACATCCTCCAGTCTCCAGGCACACCCAGCAGATCTTTTCAGCTGGCGGCCATGCATCTGCAGTAGCTTCCAGAGCGCCAGAAGTGCGTGGGGGCGGGTATCGGCCAATTAACCCCAGGGATCAGGGCACAGAACCACCTAGACCTCGCGCTACCACCCGGGGTACAGCGAAGAGACTCGGCACAACTGCTGGTCTAGCACTTGGCTAGGCTGCAATTGCACAATCAGAACCGCCAGAGTGAAAGAATACCACCCTGCACGCCTCCTCCTGTCGCGTTTTGGCTCTGTTCCTTGCGGTTGGACCCCTGCCTGCCCAGCGGACTTCTTATCCGACATCCCCACCAACGGAACATCGTTGCATTCGCTCGCCTGCAGAGCCCTTTTTAGTCTCGCCTTGGGGGTGCCTCAGCTCAGGCCTTGCCGCTGGGCAGAGCAGCTCGGATTACTATTCCTGGAGCTCGCGGCTTATCACGACAGTCTTGGTCCTGAGCACCAGATATCGCTTCTTTCTGGTGTGATTGCGCATCTTTCTACATACATACAGACTCGCATTATCAGGATTGCCATCCAACAGCGCAGATCAGCCACCCCCGGTTTCGTGGACCGTCCGGGACAGATTCTACGCCTCCGGCCAACCCGTGTTAGTGCCTGGCCCCAGCTTCCTGTCCCTGGCCGAGCAGAGAGAGCCAACACGATGCGGCGGTCAACAGGCCAATATTGATGTCGCCTAGAACCTCGCTCCAGGCTTGGCGAACATCAGACCATGGCCTTCGCTTCGATAAGGTCCTTCGGGTCCCTATCTGGGCAAGTAGTTCCATAACCAGCCCGGTGGATGGGTATCGGTGGGTGGCCTCTGCGTGGGGCGGGCGGTGGAGGCTGAATTTTCATAAATACTAAAAAAAAAAAAGTCCTATCGTGAGGACCACACAGCGAGGGGGATCATGCCATGCCGCATGCGGGAGGGGCAGTTTTACCTCCCCGAGGCCTCGCCAGTTGCCTCGGACCCCCTTGACGAGGGCATCGTGCCCCCATTGATCCTATCCCTCGAGGACGCCGGCTCCTGCAAGGGCTTGATTCCGAATCATGGGGCCAACGTTTGGACGTATCGCTGCCGCCGTGGAGGCCGTTTCCCATGTAAAGGCCCCATCAGCGTTTTCCTTGCCCTTCCCGGAAGCAGTTGTCTCCGTCAAGCAGTGTTTCGTCCATGGCTCAGTTCCTCTTGTCCCATCTTATCGCCACTCACAGCAGGGGTCTGCAACACCAAAAATTTTGCAGCCAACCTTGCCAGTCCAGCTCAATTTCGGTGAGATGGTGACCGCTCGCCATTGGTGTGGGCTTTGCGGCTAATCAATCGAATTTCCACTATCCAGTCCAGCCGACCTGGAGAAGCACTAGCTTTGGTAGCGGCCTGCCTCATGTGGATTTCTCTTGTCGTTGGTCAATGACTCGAGCCACGATATCGCACATCAGTCATACATATTACCGATGTACATGAGACATGCGGGCGGCGTCATGGGAGAACAACCCGCTCGTGACAACACGAAGCATCCCGCGTTGAAACACTGGCATCTCCAGACCCAGCGCAGGATGGAGCCCAATACAACGCGCCGCCATCAGGGCTCAGCATTCCCTTAAGCAAAACCCCGGACCTGAGGTCGCCTCCAAGGCCGTACAGCGCCTAGGGAAATGGTGGGCCAACTGCGAGGCACTTAATCTTGAGAGGAGGGAAGATCCGCCCAACCGCAAGTGCCGGGTCTTCCCTCACACGGCATGGTGGATACCCTCCCACCGTCCAAGAGCTCAAGTGATTCCAATGGCTTTGTGGGTTGAGCTAAAGAAAGAAAGGCCTTTCTGGAGAAGCCTCCTGTCCAGTTGGCCATGCACATTCCTGACTGCTTGGCCAATGGCGCACCTGCTTCTGGTCTGTGGCTTCTGGGCAACATGCGGGCTTACACAGGCATACAGACGTCCTACGTTCCCAACCAGGCGCTATGATGTTATTGTGGACTTTGGAACCCGACTGTGCAGTTTCACTTCTTCGGCCTTGACAAATCGTAAGACGGAACTCTCTGAATGTCCACTGCCTCCGGGGCCCTCGGGTAGAGTAGGAGTGCTAGCTGAGTTGTCGTCTGACGTGGATAATTCTCTGAATCTCTTCTCTCTTTCCTCTCGAGATCACAGGTCCACACGGCGTAACATGAAACGCGCACGTTGCGACCTCATCACCCATCTCCTCCCCGCCGTCGACGAATGCCATCTACCATCCCGTGCAGCATCTCGCCGCGCTGCGGGCTCCATCACATCCCCCGACCCACGGATGATGAGGGCCCAGCGCATTCCCTCTCTCGTATGTAGCCCGCTCGCCCGGGATCCACCTGCCGTGGTTGAGGGGTTGCCTCACTCGCTCACTCTCCAGACCATGAACGAAGGCCATTGGGCGAGGGGTGTGAAAACTCCAGGTTCAGAGAGCCCAATTGCATAATCTTGCTTGGGATGCCATGGACCAGCCCTCCGGACCACCCCTGCGTCGATGGGCGAGGCTACCGTCGAGTCTAGAAAAACGGTCTTGGACCGAAAGTGGTAATTTAAACAGGAGTTGGACTGTGGAACCTCAATTCCAGAAACTGTGACATCCTTTTTGATTACTGTGGACTACACAAATAACGGTGTACAAGAAAATTTCAAACTTCACTAATTGTATTATGTACGCTATGAGAGTCACACCGTAACTAACTATGGGACGGGACGGCATCGTCGTATGTAGGGACGGAGATGATTGCCGCGGAACAGGCCAATGGACGCCGGTTCGCCACTCAAAATATCCTCCCGCCCCCCCTAAGGCGGTGCCAGGCCGGTATTAATGCAGGCCGGCCACTTATTGGTAGGTGGACAGTTAACCAAAGACCACAACCGCAGCATCTTGGAGATGTCGGTCTGAGTGTTGAAAATTTTTTCATTTGTCGGGCGGTCAACGGGCCCCCCTCCCCGTGGAGGAGGAACATGGAATTAGACTCAAGGTTGGCGGCGTCTTAGTTGCGGAACTTGTGCTGTGGTTCCTGGGTCTACTGCTCCGTGTGGAGTTTTGCTCGGCGGTGGCTTTCCATAGCCTTGAGCGAGTCATTCAGCGGAGGCTCCATCATACTCCTGACCTCGTCTATGGTGAGAATCTTCGTGGGCTGCTTCGGGTAATTCGTTTGCTGGTCCGCGGGGGGCACTATTCCCTTGACGATCCACTCAGAGTCCATTCTCTGACACTCGGCCAAATCTGGGTCTGAGTTTGCACTCCCTTGCTGTTGTGCAAAGGACTCCGGACCGGAGACTGAGAGGGCCATGGGCAGTGCGCGGGAGAAGACGTTTTGGATATGTGCTTCTCCTGTCGTGGTCTTGCTAACCTGTGCCAAGCTGTGTCCTTGAAAAAGATTCGAAGTGTATGTTCTCCATTCCCTCCAAATAGTCCGTAGAGCACCAACGCGTCCTAGAAGAAGGATGTATTCCTCGTATGCCTCCCGTCTCTCTTCGCTCTGCAACTCAGAGGTTGGATAACCAGAATCGAACAGTAAACCTCGGAGGGAGGCTCCATGTGCCAAATTCTCACCCAAACCTGTTAAGATGGTGAACAAAAGCTGGCGCTGAGATCTATGCTCCAGCAACTTTGTCTCGTCGGCCACCTTATTCCAAGATTCTAAGCTGGCTCTAATATCCGGCAGGATGTTCAGCTTGCTGCTTAGCATGCCAATTGTGATTCTACCTTGAAGTTGCCTGACAGCCAGGTCGAGTTTGCCCAGCCGAGCCAAACATCTTAGCCGGAGTGCAAATATACATGCCTCTAGGTCCTTGCGCATACGCGGCAGTCTATGGCTGAGATTGTTGACAAACTCCAAGGTATCAAAGTACGCTTCGGGTCCTGGTGATGCGTCCATCACTCGGACACAAGCATCTCGGATCTCTTGGGCAACACTGACTTGTTCTCCTTCTTGGGCCGACGAGTCCAAGTTCAGGTCCGCATTGGCGGTCAGGCTATGGAACACAACTCTTCTGATCCCGTTGATGCTATCCTGCTCCTGCAGGTCATTTGCAATTTGCTGCGCGGATGGTCGCTGTTTCTTGGATTTGATCTGGTCGAACCGGAGCGAATCCCGTCGACTCAGCACCCATCGCAGCAGGAGCTCGTTATTTTGGGCAGCATGCTGTGGAATTCCATTGTGTGCTCGTACTTGTTCGAGAAAGTCGGGGTTCCGACGAGGATCAGCCTGGTCAGAGACAGGCATTCCTTGTTGCTCACTGGCTGGTTGTTGATGAGAACTCTGATACTTCTTCATCTGAGCCCCTTGGTCCGGCGTGGCGTAAGTGAGAGTGGAAATACGAAGAGTGCCAGATTCTCCGTCCAGTGCACCATCCTCTATCGAGTCCTCTAGGGGCGCGAGGCCTCGAAGAGCTGCAGAGATCACGTCGTGAGAGGTGATGCGCCATGGGTTCGTCGAGCTGGATAACACCTTGCTCCGAGTCTCTCGGGACTCCCCAATCATCTGCTTCAGGTCTTCAAGGCGCGACTGAACGTATCTCTGCTGTTCCGTATGAGCCCAGATACTGGCCATGGTATGCTCATCCTCATTATCACTTTCGCGGACATCCTTTACGCCATATGCGTCAAGATCAAGGACGATGTCGGGCATCTGGAACAGCTCATCGGCCCTCAGTTGCCGCGGAGGATCCTTTCTCTGTTCCCGGGGCGTCACTATGTGGAAGGCGTAGTGGCCGTTCGGGTCGAACATTGCCGTAAATGGCTTGCCAACTTTGAATGTGCCTTGAAGTTCCCGATCTTCAATCTCCTTTTTGAGATCATGATCTTTGATATTGGGATATGAGCCTCCAGAATAGCCCCTCTCAAGGCACCATGCTGGTCTCTTCGCGCCCGCCGGGTCGAACTGGGACCGTCTCGAAATGAGGGAGCGCCTCATTCTGGAGTTGTCGATTCACCAATTTAACTTCGAGTTCCAATGCGACCCCTTGGTCTTTCGCTGATTTGGTGACACTGGCGCATTCGTCTGCCCAGATGCGCGGAAGCAGTTCTGGGTGACGTACGATGAATGAGCGCAAAAGCCAGAGTTGCAATGAAAAATTTCCAGTTGCTCACATCCCGATGTGACATTTACCGGCAGATAGAAAAACCTGGGGTTCTCATTGAGGGGTGGCCTGACGGGAGTACCTACAGCGGAGTTTACTGCATTCCTCCTCACTGATATCGCTGTAAAAGCCCCTAGAATAGAAGGACAATCAGTGGACCCAGCAGCGTCCCGCCGCCCGGTTTCCCCGACTCTCGGGGAGTTTTAGCGGTTGCCTTAGCACCCTTTGATTTCTGGGGAAGTGGGATTTCATCGCATGGGCCCTGTAGGTTTTGGCAGCTGTGGCGGTGCTGAAGAGCCACAGCAGCCTCGGAGTCGCGACCACTTTTACCCGTGGCGAGTGCGAAAAATAAAAACACCCGCTGGCTTAATTTCTTGCACCATGATTGACTAAATTTGTCTATGGCTATACCAAAATAAGATTAGCTTGACTTTTTGTTCTACAAAGTAGCAGGAGAAGGGTGAGAATACTGCCACTCGACCTGATTCATGCAAGGACCCTCTCAAAAGTCAATAGCAACCAGGTAACAGGCGTGATTCGGGTTCGATACCAGAATTCCAACGAGTCTTGATCATCAGTCCATCCAACCACAAAAAATGTCACCCCCTCCGGCAAAGAAACGCAGAACCTCACCTGAAGCTTCTGCACCAGCAGATGCGGAAGAGCCCTCATCAACGACGCAGGCCGACCAGCCCAGCGAGGACGGACAGCCCGCAGAGAAACAGGATGCGACACCACAGGCAGACAGCAAGCCCAAGGCCACCGACCGCATGGCGCGGTTCAAAGCCCTCCAAGCCCGGGCGAAGTCGGGCTCCGAGACCAACCTGAAGGAGGCGACGCTCGAGTCACAGCGGCTGGCGACCGACCCGGCACAGCTCAAGACGCTGCACCGCCAGCGCGACATCGCAGCACACAAGCTCCTCAAGGCGGAGACTGAGGAAGCCGGCGAGGACTTTGAGCGCAAGCGCGCGTGGGACTGGACCGTCGACGAGAGCGAGAAGTGGGACAAGCGCATGAAGAAGAAGGATGCCCACCGGGACAACGTCGCGTTCTCGGACTACCGCCAGGAGAGCAACAGCGTATACAAGAAGCAGCTGCGGAACGTCAACGTTGACATGGATAAGTACGAAAAGGACAAAAAGGCGCTCATCGAAAAGGCGGCAGCGTCAGGCGGGTTGGACATTGTCGAGACCGAGGACGGAGAGCTGGTCGCCATCGACAAGGACGGGACCTTCTACTCAACGGCTGACTCGACGAACTTCACACAGAACAAGCCGGACAAGGCGGCTGTAGATCGCCTTGTTGATGATCTGAAGAGAGCCGAGGAGCAGAGGCTCAAGAAGAGGAAAGAGAGAATGGCAAAGAACGGTGATGAAGGGGACACGACATATATCAACGAAAAGAACAAGCAGTTCAACCAGAAGCTGGAGCGGTTCTACAACAAGTATACGGCAGAGATCAGGGAAAGCTTCGAGAGAGGTACGAGAATATGATTATAGAAAGAACAGAGGGGGGTTTGGAAGAGGAGCAGGGCCTCCTGTGTTGATGACATGAGACTTTTTTGCTCGGTATTAATGAATGAATATACATCCGCGCCCACGCCCAGTCTATATTACATGCTTTTTTCTTGGATAGTGTAGCATACAGTCTAGCGAATAATACACTGGCTTAAAGACCAACACCCTTCAGAGCATTGTCTTACGCCATGCCTTGGCTGAGAGGTCCTCAATCTCGGGGACCTCGACAGGGCCCTTGATTTCTTCATCACTCAGAGCTTCAACAACCGCCTCCGCAACAGTATCAACCTTGAGAGGCTTCGCCCCGCCGGCACCGATGAGGTTCTGGAAGTACTTGCCAGTGAGCTGGTTGAAGATGGCACCACCCCCCGCAGCAGCGGCCATGGCAAGAGTGAATTTGCGCGAGCTGTCGTACATGAAAGGTGCCCGGATAAACAGACCTCTCATGTCGGGGAAACTCGAGGTTACGATGGCCTCAGCCTCCCTCTTCGTGGAGATGTAGCGCTGCGGGAGGACCGGAGCACCGCCGGCGGCCGAGATGTAGCAGAAGGCGCCAACCTTCTCCTCGGCGGCGTGCTTGGCAAGGGCAACAGCGCTGTCTCTGTTCATGACCTCGTACGAAAACTGGTCATTGGCGTTGGCCGGCTTGATATCCTCCCCGTATTTGGCCTGGAGTGGTTTGATGCCACGGTCTCGGGTCGAAGCAAACACTTTCTGCAGGCCAGTTATGGGCGATTCCTTGCCCGACACAAGACCCTTGTAGTCGGCCTCTATCAGAATACCCATACTATGAACTACATAGTTGGCCCCTTTAAGAAGCGGAGCATAGGTAGAGGGACGAAGGATATCGCCTCGCTCCCAGCTCACCTGATGAGACCATGATGGGGGAGAAGGGGATGATGTGACGTTTTCCCACCGGGGATCACCGGAACGGCTATAGATTATAATTTAAGCGTGATGAAAATATATAAAGTTGGAAAGATCGCGTAGAGTTGCTTATATCATTGAGAATGAAGGTGCATTGGGAGTTGGGGATACTTACCTTATAGAGGTTACATCCCATCCGCGGGCAACGGCGTATTTGCAGATCCTTGAGCCCAGGAAGCCATTGCCTCCACAGACAACCAGTTTCTTGGCCGCGGCGGACATGGCTTGTTTGTTTGGTGCTCAGGGCTATTTGTGGGAGAGAGCTTGAAAGAGCTTGGCAGCCTCTGGCAGGGTTCTCGGCAGGAAGAATGCGACTGCGCCAGAGCTCAATTGGGGTACGATGGGGAGCCAATTAGGATTGTGAAACTTGTTCAACGATCGCTGCAGCAATGTGCTTCCAGATACTTGCTGGCAAGAAAATGGAACGAGGTGCAGTCAGCTCGTGAGGTCCATCAACGAAGTGGTCTGAGAGATCCTGGAGCGGAACGTAAATGATTGATGAGATCATGCATATTCGGAGCTACCCTGGCTGCCAGGCAGGGCCCAGTCCAGCAACCGGCCAGTGAGACAGCAGCTGGGGTGGAGGGTCCAGCTGCCTTGCCCAGCGCCTCACAGCACTGTAAACTCAACTGAAGGCCTGGAGAGCTCAGTGAATGCTGCTGAGTCATCAACCTCACCATCGTCTGCCGCCCAGATGAAGATGAGACGAAAAGACTGGCATATCCTTGCCCCTCAGGAGACTGTGGTTTCAATCAGGTAAAATCAGGCCAAAGGACTCTAGATAATTGGAAATCACTCCATCCCAAACCGTTCCGCGGAGTTGCAGCAGCCAACTGGGTCCTGGCCTATCAGAACCATTCAGCTCGCCAATAGTAATACGTAGCGAGTAATAGATATGGGAGGAGGTTATCAGGCTGCTCACCTCCAATGGAACCCGCGGAGATGTCAGCTATCGGACTTTTTAACCTCTTACAAACATGGAGCGGCATGTGAAAACAGCAATCGGATGCGGGATTGTCAGCGGCTAACGGGGAAAGGGCCTGCAATAAATCACAGACTGCCAATTACCACTGCCGGCGTGGGTGCGGATAATCCCAATCACTCAAGCCCCCGCCGAAGTCGGCAAGATATCTGTAGGTTTGTAATACAGCGATCGGATTTGCGCTCCCCACCCCCACCCTCCAATCATACGCTAACAACCCAAAAACCTACAAGAACTCGCCTAGCATCCCTTCACTATCGCCTTCCACACCCATCTCTCCGAAATTTGCTTGTTTTCCAGTCTTCCTTTACTGCTCCCCGTGCCCAAGAGCCTAGACATATTAGCAGATCCAGATACGATGGCTCCCGGTCCTGTCATTATCGACGTCTCCGACGACCTCGGATTTGTCCCCTCGGTCAAGTCGGTCTCGAGGCGCAACCTTATCCTTGCCCCTCCTTCCGTTGCTGCCCACGAAGAACAACTGCACGCCGTCTTCTCGACCTACGATCGCTCTTCATCCGACCTCCAGATGCTGGATCGCCTGAGCGCAGGCCTGGTCCCTCTTCCTAACGATGCCTACGATTTTGTCCTTGTCCTGACAGGCACCAATGGCGGACTGAGGCACGAGGCCCTCCAGCTCCTCACCCGCAAACTCTACAGCACCCTGGTCCCAGCCATGAAGTCTGGAGCCAAGTTCCAGCTGCAGGATGGCCCTGTCACACTCTCGGAGGCCCGCGAGGCTATTTTGGCTGGATTGGTTGAGAAGGACGGTGCATTCGAAAAGATTGAAGAGGAAGAGGTTGTCGTCCCTCTGCGATTCGGTGCCAAGAAGAAGACGAACGGCCTGTTGAATGGAACCGCTCCTGCCGTTCAGCCATTCAAGCCTGTTCAGATCAACCTGGACGATGATTTCGGCAGCGATGATGAGTTGATTGACGAGGATGACCTCCTCACGGCCGACGACTTGAAGCGACCTATCGTGCAGCGTAAGTTCCATAACCAACACCCACTACCCTTGTTAGTCATTTTACTAATCCATACCATATTGCAGCCCCCGAGTGTCGACCTCAGCCAGGCAAGCGCCGACGAGCATGCAAGGACTGCACCTGTGGCCTCGCTGAGAAACTGAATGCCGAGGACCAGGAACGACAGGACAAAGCGACAGAGCAGCTAAACGTCATGAAGCTCAACACAGATGATCTCTACGACGAGCTCGACTTCACTGTCAAGGGCAAGACGGGCTCCTGCAACAGCTGCTCCCTCGGTGATGCTTTCCGCTGCGCAACCTGCCCCTACATCGGCCTCCCACCCTTCAAGCCAGGTGAGGAGGTCAAGATTTTGAACGACATGGTACAGCTATAAACAAACTTGAATTTCTGGGCGGTTTGACATTTTATTTCATCATACCAAAGCTGGCGTACATGGGAAAGGATCATTTTCGAGACATAGACACTCGGGTCCTTTGGTTGATTGGTCGCACCCTCGTGTGCACTTGACGGTTATTGCATATAGACGGCACTTTGATTCTTGTGCGTTCATGGGTTGGCAATTGTGGTTTCCCGGAGTACAAGGACTGAAAACAAAATAGTATCCAGGCTTTAACGGGACAGGATTCCCAAGATACTACAAAACAATACTTTGAATACTCGTCCCTTTTCCCCACCCGTGAATCGGTCTCCTGCAGACCCCTATGATGACATTGATGGATTTCGTGTCCCATGAACAAGTGACAGGGTGCCCTGTAAATGCATCCACTAGCCATTAACCGGCATCTATCCTGCTGCACGACGAGTGCTCTGCTCCATAACGAGCGTTTACCCTCACTTTGGTGGGGATGGTTAGCTGGGATGCGCTGCTTTTAGCCAGAGTCCTGATCCCTCAGAGATGACTAAGCGGCTCGGAGGTGAGCACAAGGGCGGCACTGACTCTTGAGTGGATCTGGATGCGTCTTTCACCCATTCATCGTGATCGGCTTCCCAACTCACCTCAAATCTGGGCCTATGCGCCCATCCTTCGAGCTTCTCATTGACGATGATTTGTCCCTCCGTGTAATCAGCCCATACCGAAGAACAGCGCCCCCTTTCACACCTTGACAATGGCGCCCCCAAACCAGTTGGGGAAGCGGGTGAAGCTGACCCAAGTCCGCCGACCTTTCATCGTGGGCAGCACCGCGCTGCCCTTCTCAGAAACCAATCCGCGACCAGCCGGCGTGCCTGATAACCACACGCACTCCTGGCAGGTCTTCGTGAAGGGGGTCGAGGATACCGATATCACATACTGGCTACGGCGTGTACAGTTCAAGCTCCACGAGTCCATCCCTAATTATGTACGAAGTCAGTAGCTCCCTACTCCTACACCCTCCAACCGAACCATGATCATAACTGACAATCCGTGCGCTAGTGGTGGACGGCGAGCCCGGCAAGCCATTCGTCGTCAACGAGACCGGCTGGGGAGAGTTCGACATCGCCATCAAGCTGTACTACGTCAACGACTCGGGCGAGAAGCCCCAGACCCTCTACCACTACCTGCGCCTCCACCCCTACGGCAGAACCGAGGAGGAGAAGCAGGCGATGATAATGGAGAACGGCGAGATCCGCTCCTGGAGCTACGAGGAGCAGCTCTTCAACGAGCCCTTTGACGTCTTCTACCGCATCCTCACCTCCGGCGCCGTGCCCAGGGGCTGGAAGGGTGCGCCCCCAGCCTCGGGCGGTAAGGGCAAGGGCGGCAAGGGCAAGAACAAGGCGCCCCCGCCGCTGCCGGCCCCGGACGGCGGCGACGTGTGGGAGCGGACGGCCATGATACCCAACTCGAACCGGCCCGGGCAGCCGTTCAGCCGGGAGACGGAGGCGGCGGAGGTGAAGAAGCTCAGGGACGCGCAGACGACGACGGAGGAGTGGGCGCAGAAGATTCTGCAGGAGCTCAAGGGCAAGGAGGACCTGCTGGCCAAGCTAAAGGCCGAGAACGCTGCCGCCGCGGCTGCACCTAAGCCCTCCTAGGAGGAGGACGGGGGAACGATCGCGGTACGAGCGAGGATCAGGCGGACGCCGGCGCCTGTGAGGAACCGTCACCTCGAAGACGATTATTAAGTGTTGATGCTCGGTCCACAACCGCTGGGTGTCTACGGGGGCCAAGGGGCGTGTCGTTCCGGCTGAGATTGGGCTCGCTTCGAGATGTGCGGTCGCATTTATGCGATGCCACCGGACGCTTAACTGGACATATCTGAGGATTCGATAGCCGAGAACCTTAAGGACAGACGAAGCGGTGGGACGGTTTAGAAATCCCTGGCTCCTGATGAATTGTCCACGGCACCGAATGACCGTGTCTGGATAGTCAGCTGTTGGTAATAAGAGCAAGAAAACGATCCTCATGCTCTGAACAGCCGGTTCATATCAACAACGAACCCGCCTATCAATGAAAGTAAAGAGAAATAAGTGGTACAAGATACCACGACATATGTTTCTTCACAGATTAGACACGGTTCAAAACGTGTATGTATATAGTAGATGGGAGTGTATTTCATGAAAAATATGCAAAAAGCTGCGCTATTCGCTCAATCTGATGATCATATAAAAACCCACGCATCATACACACCAGTCTCTTTGTGATTCTCTAAAACCACTCCCGATTCCCAATCCCGGTCATCAAAAACCTCGCAATCCCGCCATGATTTTACTTTTAGAAACAGTTTCCCGCCCAGGACCGGTGTAAATAAAAATATCAAAAACAAGTCTGTCGCTCCCGGTTCGACGTCATGATGGATTCGTGCAGCAGACATTAATGGTCGTTAAAGACAAAAGGAAAAAGGATTCAACCATTTCATCTCTGCTGATCCGTCCATCGTCGTCGATAAAGAAACCGTAAAATCATGCCAACACCCCTGAACCCTTCTTTTTTAATTTCTGAAATCTCTTTCTCAACAAGAGAGGATAAACGCCCCGCAAATCGCCCCAGACCGGTAAAAAAATAACAACCAAGAGCACGCCATCTAGGCCGTTTTCTATAAAAACAAGCGCCAGCGCACATGAGTAGAGACTGATGACAAAAAAGGAAATATTAGCTAGTGATAGGACGCATACTATATCGCTTGAAATATGCAATGTGGCTGAAACAATTAATGAATGGCAGCTTCATAGGTAGGAGGTGCCTCTTGCTCCTCCCACACACTGCCTGAAGGGTTGTTGTTGTCGTTGTTATTGTTGTTCTGACGATTCTTTTCGTCATAGACACGACGAGCAATTTC